ACAAATGCCGCCTCAAAAAAATTTCCCTTCAATACTAAACATGAAGCAAACATAATCAATCACCTGTCCAAAAACATCCTCGTCCACTGCAAAACGCAAATCCAAATCATCCGGATTATTATCTTTGATGTAAATTAAAGAATTAAAATACTCATTATCCACAGACTCCATGTCATTCAGCGTGATTGCTTTACCCAGCATCATCTTATAAAATGGTCGAATAAAAAATGCTGAAAAAAATGGCAATTTGAGAAAATATTAAATAAAAAGCTCTTGTAAATAATTACAAAACTCTCTTAAATACTTGAGAGATACAAGACCAGTAGATCCATCATAATACTGAGTAAAATTATAGAATAAGTCACATTTTTTTACAAAATATAAAAACAATTACAAAAGTAAATTAATTATGGAAGAAAAATTTACCATCAAGCAATTTTCCGTGGTAAATAGCAATACCAATGACACGACCAATGAAGTGGAAATAAGATAAGTGTTCTGGGTTACAGGTTTCCGAATGTGGATTTATTTGTAAAGTATAATTATCTCTAAAGTGGAAATACTCCAGTTAATTTTTTCTTCTCTCATGCGTAAGTTGTTACATCCTGCGAAACTTTGAGCATATATGTTCATTTAGATAAGCTTTACATGAATTTTAGAAATTAATCACAAAAGTTTCATTTCAAGGAATATGTATGACATACGTCGCTGAATATTCGAAGAGGCCGTAATAGGGGTTGAAAATGTCATGAGAAAGTAAATAAAACCATTCGCGAGCTACGCCACCATAATCTAAACCTGTTTCATTTTCAAATTCAATCCAAAGTTTAGCACGCAAAAGACTAGGCGATAACTGCATTATCTGCCTGAAATAGAAATATTGTCAAAAATCAAACCACAATATGCTAGCTAAAAAGAATGTGCTACTAGTCAACCAAATTTTTACGAATTAAATAAGGTATCCCGAAAAAACAAAAGAAATCTATTTCAGGTTTTAAACTGCACGAATTATTAAAATGAAACCTATAAGAATCTTCGAATAGCTGAATCCGTCGTACGGTAATTTCACATTTGATGTTGCTAGGTGATTTCGGGAGATGCGATCTCAGATATTCGTATTTACACTTATAATCACGTGAATATGGGACAGCTGGGCCAGCAATATTCGTATTATCAAATCTTGGATCTTCCCATTGTGTTCGACGAGTGTTATGGTCAATGTAAAATATCCTACCATCAGCATGAAAACGTTTTTCCCAACCAGCAGGCAATTCACCCAGTTCATCGCTTCGCACTTCTATAAGTGATAAGTTCACACCATATTCTTTACTCTATGCTACACACAATTAACCATTTTAGGATTTTACCACATTGTCGGAATTCTTTCTGCAAAAAAAAATTCGAAAAGCATAAGCAACATCAATTTTCTCTTCTCTTAACCTTTTAAATAAGAAGAAGCTGAAGCCTGGCCATCTCTTGGATCAATCCATGTTGTTGTCTTGTGTATATGATCAATGAAAAATGTCCGTCCATTTGGTGCCACTTGAATATCCCAACCTTGCGGCAGTAACCCACGACCATCATTTGGATCAACACGACCACCAGATTCAAATTTTGTTCGCAAACCAGCTTCCAACTGAATTAAGCTTAATCTTTATAATTTGACAACCAATAATAAATAGTGAAAGAAATGGAAAGTCGACTGAGTAGTCATCAAAAAGACATAATCAGGAGCGTAAATCTCATTTCGTATTTCAAAAGTCAAGATTGGCATTCATTGTATTGGTTTGCTATTGCAAAATTATGGCCAAACATCTAAAACTGAAAAAACAATCACTATTGAAAATGAGAACATCATTCATGTCAAATATAAATACTAACACTAGCAATACTGTCCTCAACATGTTCTTCACTAGAACCTTGCCAACGACTTTCGTAATTTCTGCGCAAAGCGTTCTCTTGCTCTGTTTCATCTGACTCAGATTCGATACCACTTCTGGAATTAAATTTGTCATTTATTTCATTAATGCCATCAAAATATAAAGATTCAAAACACTTCCTTAGGATACAATAATCATTAAAAAAGTAGAAGCAGAAGTTTACCTCGTAGGCCGCATCCACTGTGTTGTTCTCGATATATGATTGACGTAAAATGTTCGACCGTTTGCATCTTGTCGCTCTTCCCAGCCTACAATATATTTCTTTTTGCATTGAAGTTAAACTTTAATATTCTTATTCTTTGCAGAAATATTAAAAGAGAACAGAAATATTAAAACCTAACTTCAATATGATCATAAAATTTGACAAAAAATCTACTTCAATCATGTTGCAAATATCACCTTCGGGCAGACAAGTTGGACCTTGTCGGCTGGCTAAATTGTTACCACTCAACTGCTCCCAATCGCTGTCATCATTGGTAGGGCTCTGCTCTGTAGCCTGTTGTGTAGAATCAGTGACATATGAAAGTGAAAGTCGTACGCTACCCTGAACTGAAGAATAAGAACGATGTGAACGAGCATTCAGAATATATGATGCTTCTGGAATTGGTATTCCGAACAGTTCATGCGGGATACGTACGTGTGCTAAGTTAATTTCCACCATTCCAAGGAAATTGTCCCGTGTCTGCAAAAAATAAAAATAAGCTGAGAAATCTTTAAGTGCTACTATAGAAAAACTGTTTTTAAGTTTGTTTTTCTTATTTTACAATATTACATTATGTTTTCATTGTGATATGAAATTGTTATATGAATTTAATTATGTTTTCAATGCAATATAATAATTGTTTATACGAATGCAAGAAGTTTCCAACATTCATTATGGTTCATTCCATAAAGTTATTAACTCAAGAATGTATCAGTTCATCAACCTTTCTTAGTAAAATTTATGCATTCATTATCACCTATTCCACATATCACGACAAAACATTTAACGCTATCCATAATTTGAATCTTAGATAAATTTAATTCTAGAACTATCGCTTCAAAATATGCAAAGTATTGACTTCGGAAAACAGCTCCAGTAAAAGAATAAGATAAGCATCAAAAAAATTTTATTTTTGTATGAAAATAATTATGGAAGTATGTCAGAGAGTATAAAAAATATTCAAAACAAACTAACAATGCGCCTTTCATCAAAAATCTGCACTGTTAATATGCAGTCTTTGCGTACTACGCGAAATACAAATTCTTCGTTCCAGATTGGTTCACGGGTCTAAATAGAATAAAAAGTTACTCAATTTAGTCGAATGGTTAAAGCGAATGTTGTTCATGCTGTGTGACTTACTCTTCGACGTGAATTTTTTTTTAAATTAAAAAATTGCAAAGAAGTCTTTATACGCACAAAGCAGCACATTCATGCAACGCAAAGATTTGATATTCTTTGTTAAACGGTTAACAACAGTAGATTCAAAATAAGTCCCTTTTTTACCTTCAATTTCTTTCGATTTGCTTTGATCTCAACAAAATAGAAAAACAGGGATAATATGAACATAATTGCAAGTCTTACAACTATCTAATTTATAATCAAATCTAATTTCTATAAACAACACTGATGAAATAAGGGGTAAGAACTAACACGTATTTATACCCTTTTTAAATCTTTTCTTTCTCCTTATTTTTGTTTTTGCTGATTCTCTCCGGCTTTTTTTCTTTTATATCCTCCATCTGCCATAATCATGAAGAATTGTATAAATTCAATAAAAAGACAAATAAACAAAAGTAAACATACCTTTCGCAGTGTTTTGGTTTGAGCTTTATCGACAGCAACATTACTTCCATCACGTTTCAGCAAAATCACTGCATATGGATCACAAACACCGAATATATCTCTTTTTGACAGACGTTCTGCCTTAACAACTCTGACGCGGAGAAGTTCAGTATCCTAAAATATTAGTGTAAGAATTCCACACCTACCTTCTCTGTGTCCAAATAAAAAAATAAACTTCTATAAAAACATCATTGGAAGATCAACAGCTTGAAAATCATATGAATTAATCAGAATAGCCTAAAGATTACCACAGATATACAGCGTAGAGATAATCACACACTAATTCACATTAAATGACTACACAGTTTTCATTAAGCTACACATTTCTGATGCATTTCAGTTCTTTTGAATAGAATGATTTCAGTACTATCAAATCCCAATCAACTAAAAAATGTCTCAAATATGTTAACGAAATGAATATAAGAGACCAGGAATGTTTACCTCTTCAGTTTCAGGCAAGCCATAAACTTGACCTCCTGTTGATTCACTTGGTGACATTCACTTGCTTTCTAAAAAAATCTGCTCATCTTTGCTTGAATCGTTTTAAAATAAATTATACAATATTTTAAATTTGTCTGCCCACATTCCAGTTTCCTTTATCAACTCTCAACAAAACCTCTGTCTTTATCAGTACTGTTAAAACTTCTACCTCAGAACTGTTTCCTCGTAGCCATAACTCTTACACCTCTCTCTCCTCATGTTCCTTGCAGATTCACAGGAATATGTAATCTACCGGATCTTATGCACATCAATTAACTAATATTATTAAAAAACTTTCATACAAAACACAATGTCAACAATCTATGCATCTGAACCGTGTAAACCAACCCCCAAAGAACGGTCTTTTTCACTGCGCCCAATAAAATCAAGTTTGGGTTAGGGCGGTAGATTGAGTGGCAGTGGGGTTTGGCTAAAGTGGTGGAGGACAGAACGCGGTTGGTGTTAAAGATGAATGATTGATTACTGCTGGAATCATATTTACCAAATAACTAAATAAATGACTAAAGGAGAGAAAGAGATGATGTGGCTGTTATGATACTATTTAGAACGAGTAAGTTCTTTGATGTTTCAGTCTGTGTTATTTTTCGCGAAACTTCTCCGTTTGGACAAATCTCCTCCATCAATGTCTTCTTAACTCACTTCTTTTAATATTTAAAATAGAAAAACTCTTTGGTGCTCACACGAAGCAGATTTCCTCGCAAAGACTGAAAACCGAGCAAGTTTAAGTAGTCAGAATGTGTGAATGGCTGCTTGATTTGTTAACATTCGTTGGATTTTATTTCATTGCTGCATATTGTATTGTGGTGGAATTTTATGCGGATCGGATTCATTGTTATGATGGATTGTCGCGAGTGAAATATTTGCTTAAAACTATAGAAAGAAGCAAATTCATTTGTACATCAAATCGAAAATTAATTGCCGTAGTAACCGGAGCGAATGGAACAATTGGCACCGAAATAACCCATTTATTGCTACTAAATAACTTCAAGGTATATTTATAACATTCCTGAATTTGGTCATATTTTTTATAGATTCCCGTGTGTGTTAATTAATCATTGTAATTATAATTTCGCATTTCAGCACAATTATTTTGCATTTTAGTATTTCATTTTTAAATTGGCAATATTGTACTCGGATTTGTAGCGAAATAAGCGACCCTTCCAGTGAATTTATAGTTGATCAAATGGGTTTTGTGCACGAAACACTTCTGAAGCTGTTCTCTTGAAGGTTGTGTGTTTAATCCGAAATCATGACGACGGCAACTGGCTGGATAGTTTTGAATACCAGCCGAATTTGGTGGTGCAACATGTAGATTTATCCAATCTTCGGAAGGTGAAGGAAATGGCAAAATTACTCGCAAATGAATATCCTCACATAGATCTCATTATTTGCGGGGCCGGTATTATGCTGCAGCCATTCAAGCTCACAGCAGACGGCTTTGAGACCCACTGCGCCGTTAATCTTCTTTCTCATGCCGTGATGGTTAATTACTTGTTGCCGTCCCTAACTAAATATCCCGCAGGAGAAAGCTGTACCCGGAGTAGTCGCATTGTGTTCTTATCCTCCGCCACCGCACATCTAGGAGTTTTCCGTTCTATATTTCAAGATATATCCGAAATATTTTATACCTATCGGAACGGTTACCAGGCTTATTCAACATCGAAATTTGCCTTATCCCTCTATGTCGAGGAAATGGACAAGCAAATGAAACAGAAATCCACGGTGGTAAACCAACGGATAACCGCCATTTCTGTGCATCCAGGTTGCGTTGCAAGTGGTCTATACGAGTATGCAAACACTTTAACCAAAACCCTGATTTTCCGATTTCTGTGGCCTATAATGAGAAATCCAGCTTTAGCTGCAGCGGAAGCGGTAGCTCTCGGATGTGCTGATGATTTGAAAGGTGGTTGCTACTATCAACACATGGCACCGACTAGAATTCTATGCAGCATAGCAAAAAAAGAACAACTATATCAACATGTAAGAAACATCATAACGAACATGGAAGAAATATAGAATTAATGCATAACAAAAATCACCGAGAATCAAGAAATTCTTTCCACAAAAATGAATGTTACATATACTAAATGATATTGACGATATTCCATGCTCGTATATTAAAATCTACAAGCAAGATTTACGCGAAAGCATAGTGTTTTTAACTCTTATAAATGAGTTTTTTTCTTCTATTTGAAAGACTTGAAGTATTCATTTAAATTTGTTCATATAAAAAGACTCGAGTACAATGGATATCAAAATAAGTTGTACAACTGAGATAAAATGTGATCGAAAAAGAATTTGTTTCAGTTTTATATTTAAATCTAAAATAAAATGGAATTAACCTTCCTGTGATGTCCTTCGTAGAAGATTCCTGTTAGAAATTAGATTCAAAGAAGGAAGTAAAATCATGAGGTCAAATGTGAGAAGCTAATTTCAGGGCAGATCTGGTCTGTAAATAGCAATTTTGTTTGAAGATTGGTCTTAACATACAAACAGTTAGAAACAGGGCAATAAAATAGTGAAATCCCTTCATGAAACAAATACTCTTGTTTTAATTCCTATTATGGAACAAAGAGATCAAATGCGCTGGTACTCACAATTTTTTATAAGTTTGGTTAATCACTATCAGAATCAACTATCAGTTTCTGGCGTTTTCGCTTTGAGTTTTTGTTCTCGTCCTGAAAAGGTTTGCATATAACAATAGCGAATTCACGTTTCCTTTACATTTTTGAGCCACAGCTTCAGCTCTTAGACTTGATATCTTTGTTTCTAGATTTACTTGTTATCTGTAATCTTTTAGCAAAAAAAATTTGATTTTTGATATATATGCGTGCATTTTGTTGAACAACTAGTTTTCTGAAATAACAGTTAAGCGTTTTGGAAGTATTTGATGCGATCATAGTGCTCATAACACTTGAACTAAAAAATATACAAATTGAGTACAACTTATTTCTTGTAGCTACTGATTGGTTACAGAGGGTTTAAATCATCGTACCAAAAGCACCCATCATACGAATGCAACAAACCCTACGCACTGCTACTTGAATAGACTACTATGAAGGTCAGAACAAAATCTTCATATCCAACAAAACATAACGAGTTTTAAAGCAGAATACTCGCAGAATGGCACCAACTTGATGGAAAGGCTTGACATAGTTCCAATGATCTTTTGAAATAACTAAGCAATAGTTGCCAATGTTTTGAGACAACTAAACAATATCAAAATAAAAGAACAAACTAATGGTAACATACATCGCTCACATCGGTTATTTTTTTAGACGTTTTGGTTCTTCTTAAAGAACGAGCTGTTTGTGCATTATCATCACTCAATATTTCCATCACAGCAAACAGCTCGCTATAGCGTATTCGAAGAGATGACACCTAATAAAATTTAAATAACTTCTTATTAAGATCAAGATTTTACAGTCAGCTCTACTTCAATATAAATGGAAGAAGTTTCAATCATAAAGCAATCATGAAAGTTAAAGCGAACTAGCTCCAAATGTAAAGAAGTTCTTCACGTGTGCAACGTCTGGATTTACTAAGCAACGTCTGGATTTACTAAGTTTTATTTCTCATATCAACTAAATTAGCCTAATTTCAGAAATTTTCAGTGGTCAAATTCCTTGGGGTTGAATCGCAGGGAGATAAAAGATACTTGGAACTTTAATCCATATTTTTTTCAACCACATATCTCTAAAGATTCTGGATTGCTAGAATTTTAGAATCGCAAAAATTCTAACTTTTTCAGCCGCCCTTGCTGCTGTAAATGCTTCCTGTAGAGTGGGGCGAGCCAAAAACGCTTCCGCCACATGACTATCCTTCGACAAACAACTCTGTCGAAATTTGTCAAGATGTGAAAAAAGCTGATCCAAACAAACATATCTGAATAATAGTCTGTTTATAATGTCTTGCAAGTCATCCTTCTCTGCTTTTGACTTTGATAACTTCACTTTCAGTATTGACTTCATAATGATAGTAAGATTGTGGAAGCTACAAACACAGATTACATTATTCTCAATTTCGATCACTGTCAGGAAATTTTTTGATTTTGCATCCCAAATCATTACTTGGAAAAAATTAAGGCTTTATATTCCTCAACTACCTTTGTGCTGGACGCTTCCCTTTTGAATGAATTGGAAGAAGATCACCGGATTGAATCAATTTGTCAATGAGATTGGAAAGCAATTCTGCAACTCGAGTTGCATAATCTGGATCCTTGATCATCAGTTTCAGACAATTTACAGTAAACATATCAGATGGTGTTCGAGATAAAAGATTTCGTATAAGGCCCATATTCGGTTCGCGATCCATCCTAAATCATATGTAAATACCTTTAATGTTCATACATATTGCAAAATAAGTCAAACAGATTACTTACCAAGTTGTTTATCTACGAAACAGGCTACTAGAGAATTATTTTTCATGTAATTTTGAAAAAATGTTAGGCCTGAAGAATACGTTAATATATATAATGTTCTAACCAATTAAAGATTAAGCTATATAAGTTGACGTTGACCTAAATTTAAAAAATTTATTAAGTGCAGCACTTACTAACTTTACAAAGCGAGTATCAGGTCACTTCTATCACAATGTGAATACACATTTGGGAAGGATGTATTTCATAAAGAACCTTTGGAGCATGATATAAACTTGCGCAATTGCTTCCGAATGTTTTGGATATTGTAGTTTAGAAATCATTTGTAAAATCCAATCCACAGGAACACCTTCTGCATGTACTAGCTGCCAGAAAACAAACTGAGCGGTTGTTTCCCATGTCAATGAAGCACTAACAATAGGCAAAAAAGAGTCTTTCCTGAAATTTATTAATTTATTAAATAAGAATCCAAATACACAACACGTAATGAGCACATCCAAAAAACTGTGACAAAGATGCTTTTTTTTTTTAACAAAACTTAAAAATCAAAGTAACTAAGGAAAGACTTTTTAAACAAACCTAAAAAATGAAATATTTTCCCGAACCATTTCACCAATAAGATCAGCAATCTGCCGCCCATCTAATGAATGAGCTAGCAATTTCATCAATTCAATACTACCCATTGCTTCTGTGGCAAATTTTTCATACACATATGGAATAAGATGTGCGAACAGTACATAGTCATCGATGTGACATTGCTTAAAGCATATTTTCAATTAAGAATATTTTACTTAATTATCGTCCTTTAACCATTTTAAGACTTTGCAAAGACAAATACTGCATGCTCTTAAATAAAGCAATCCAGTTTATGTTTCAATTAATAACAGTTAATATCAAGTCCTGCAACAAGTGAAAAGCTTGATAAAGATATCTACGAAAACAACCATTTAAAGATCTAAACATAAACTATAATAACTTAGAGAATCAAGAGTTTGATTAAGTCTTCGAAAAACCTGCAAGTCTGAAACAATTTGCTGGATTGGTGGGTTATCTAGAAGTCGACATAGATCAGTATAAGCAGCAATTGCAGTATCGTTCTGGTCACGACGATTTGAGGATGTGAAAAATAACAATAAATACGATATAGAGGAGCACCTGTAAAAACATCATGCTTCATCACTTCTTATAAATCAAAATTTCCAGTAAAGCAGAAAACATCTCCCCTTTTTCCCACCATATTAAACAGAAGAAAGAAACCAAATTTCAGTATTCTTCAGTTCCTTGATTATAAGATGGGGAATTAGTTAAGAATGATGGTGTATCTTTAAGCTTGATTTTACATTCCAACACTGCGGTGCATAGTTCAAAGTGTTAAAAGCATTCGAGAGACCAGAACACGTATTACTTACGTTTAAAAAATGAGGCTTTTATAGTTTAAAAATGCAATACAAATCATCAGAAACATACCTTTCACACATTTCAGCAATTAGAGATAACAGCAGCTGTCTCGTAGCATCACTATCCGGTGTAAGACAAAGATTTCGAAATATTACATACAGCGGCTGATTAAACATTTCCTCCAGAACTCTAAAATTTGGATAAAGATTTGAAAATTACGAATTTTATGTAAATTGTTTTAAATTCAAAATTCATAAAAATATGAAAATAAGCATTACTCAGGTGTGTCCAAAAAACCTTCCAACAATGGTTTTCTATTTCGGATATCCTTTCGGAAAATAAGCAGGAGACATTCCGATAACAACTCAATCTGTTCTTCATCCAGTAATTCATCCTAAAATATTACCAAATTTCAACTTCATTCCAAAGAACAGTTAAATAAACATAAGTCTCAAATCTTAGGCAAAGTAAATGAAAGTAAAAAAAAAATGATGAAATTAAAAAATGGTAATTAGAAAAATAAAAACGAGAAAAGAAACAAAATTTAAGAATTATTTAATAATAGGATAATAGTATATAACAGCAAGTTACAGCACTTCTCTGAGATTTTCATTTTTTACTTCTCATTTATTTGCTAAAGCATAATTGAATAAATGGTTTATAAGATGAAACTCACATTATCGAATATAGAAGATAACAACTTTTGCATCATTTCACATCGCATATCATTGTCTGAATTTTTCACATTCGATAGATTTTCAATTGGCTCTCGAAATTCTTCTTTGACAGCAGCTAAGAGTGTCATTACTTTTTCTTCACATGATAAGCCAAATTCCTCATCAACTGATCCGCCGTCTTCGACTATTGATGAGTCCATGCTAACAACCTCTTCCGTAACTGCTGAACCGGTTTCGCTCGGCGCTACTTCTACATCAGATATTGGTACCTCAATAAGCTCTGAAATGTCTTTTTGTTTCATTCTATTCCCACCTTCAACAGAAAATTGGCTAAGACATATCGAACATGGTCTTAAGTTGAATACGCTGTTGAATGAATAAGTAATTTCATATCATAATTACTAATGATACGAATGATATACGTTATCTATTCTTTTCTACAACTTTTCGACACGGTAGTACTGTGCCAGCCATTCAAAACTTGAACATCAAGTGTGATAAATGCAACAATTTCATAATTAGCTTATTCAGCTTAGGAATGAAGATCATGCGCTCAAAAGTGGGAAATATGTTACGGACAATAATGGTTACTGCGATACCTATTCCTGAAACAGGAAGGTGTGTTTGTGTTGTTTGCGGTGGTCGAAAAAGTCCTCGAAATGTATCCCGAAAAATTTCTCGCACATTCTTTTGCAGCACTGGATTATCAAATATCACGGAAGGAGACCTGGAAAAATCAGACAGTCTGATAACATGTGCAAATGTCAATTCAATTCCGATGTGATTTTTATACGGCAGTTATTTCAAATAAAGAACAAGGACACCCTACTACACAGATTTAGTGAGAGACTATGGGGATTAAAGAAATAATAAAAACAAATTGCGAATGAAAATGGCAAAAAAATAAAAGTAGAGTATGTATATGCAATAAACTAACCCTAGAACATTGTGATCAATCAGAAACTTGAATGAATTTGTCACTGAAGTTGTTATTCGTTGCTGTAGCTGCGGATGAAGTTCATAACTCATCTGAAATGTAAGGATTTTGGTGCTCATTTTCTCTTCAAATCAAACTAAAAATTACTAAATAAACTGTATTGAAAAATTGCCGGACTTCTGAATGTTCTGTAATAAGTGGGAGATCATATAATCAAAGAATATCTATTGCATACAACAAAAATTCATAGTCAAAATATAACCTAATGTGCTCTGTTTCTTGCAATGACATTTATAATTCAATGGTATTTAAAAATTTTATATTTAAATTAAAAAATAATTCACTAAACTGATGAAGAGAGGTATATGAATATTTACAATATTCAACAAATATATAAACAAATAACATACTCTTATCATAAAATCAACAAGCGAATTCGCAAGTAACGGTTGGACATGCAAGAGATGACGTAATACGTGAAAAGCAGGCTCTAAAAGAGACAAGAAATTTTTTTAAAGAAATATATTAAAAACAAGTCCAAACTTTGTTTAAAATAAAAAATGCTGTTGAAAAAAAAGTTCCAGACATCAAACATAAAGAAATAAATATAAATGAATATTAAAACATTTATATCTTGATTGACGTTCTCAGAAATTTTATTTTCCATAATATTCTCAGCTTAAAATTAATTTACATAATTAAACTTTGTCGAAGAATCATTAAAGTTTAAGTTCATTAGTTTTTCATAATGGTCGTTATTTTCTTTATTGGATTCAAATCCAGTACCATATTTACGAATGATTGAAAAGTACTTACCAATTAGAACATGACCGCCAGTAGTGGGATCATAACAAAACCAGTCCCATAAAAGATGCAGCTTGCACCACTGCTGCTCCATTATGCTCTATAAACACCTTCACTACATCCTTATATTACCGTGGAAAAAAAATCAAATGCACTATTTGCAGTTTAAAAAAAACATACATTGCAAGTTCATAAAAAAAGCATTTAAACATACACTCGCTTGCGGGAACATTGAAGTAATGAAAACAGCTTTCATCTCCTGGCCAACTTGAGGTGTTTCACCGCATGAAAGAAATATAGCACAACGTATTAACTCAGAACGAAGGCTGCCAGCCTCTGGATTCGATAAATACTGTAAAAGTAATTTGTTTCTGCCTTACTTTCCAAGTGATCCAAAAGAAAATATGCCCTAACTTGATTCTATTCTAGAAAAGCAACTAGTAAATCTTTTGGTGATCAACCCAACCTGTTTTTTGAACCAATCCAAGTGTCGCTCATGTGTTCCAGGCTTCACCTTGGCAAATATGAATTCAAGTTTTCGCTGCATAGCTACAGATATCCGGTAGAGAGGAAAAGTATGTGGACACATACGGTTCATTAGTTCTTCAACTGAAATAGTAACTTGATTTAAGTGTTATGCCTGGGTTCGGTTTTATTTAGTAGTGGATATTATATAGAAAACTCTCACCGTCACTGACAAAAAACTCTTCAGTACATTGAGAAATACATCATAGTATAATTACAAAATAAGATTTAGCACCAAAAACCATATAACTCTCCATTAAACTGTTATTGGGCGCTGAATTATTATAAAATAAGAAGTATTCCACTAAAAACTACCATGAAATTATACCCATTCCAATTTCAGAATCATAGTTGATAATGACGATTCGTTATAAATTCCTGAGCAATGACAGAAAAAAGCAGAATTCAACACAGCCAACTAACCACTAATATTAGATCCCAGTTTGTTTGGGTTATAGAGAAGTTGTTTCCATATTGCAGCAAACTGTGGTATTTTCGAAACTCTCATTAACGCCAAGACTAAATCTCGTCCCAACTGTGCACAGTCCACAAATCGTTCTGTAAGCAACCAGTGACAAACATTTATCATCTGGGTGCGTAACAGTTCGAATGCGTTGAAAGAGTTAAAGTCACAAATAAATCTGAAAATTAATCACTAGTTGCGGGAGAATGTGATCACTTGAACGAAAAAGATGAATGGATGTGGAAAAGTATCCAGACAATGCGCTCAATAAAAGCAGTGTAAGCAGTTTACTGCTGTGATGCTCTGAATAAAAAAAATAGAAAAAGTTTGTCTAAAATATGGCTTGGTATCAGCGGTTTAGTTTTAAACTTTCGAAGCAACAAATAGTGATAATGATTTTAACCTTGTAAAAGTGAGCAAGGTAACTGGAATAAGAGAAGCTTTTGGTTTCAGTTCGCTCAACCAAGCATGATGATCGTTTAGCATACCAGCGACAGCACTTAAAAGAGCGCAAGTTTCCTTTAAATCACTTCCTGCAGATGTTGAATTCATTTTTGTTAACAGCAGAGAGAGATATAAGATGTGAATTACGTTATAAGCAAAATTATTCCTAGAATTTTTAAAAAATCTGTTTAAAGATATTTTGTGCCAGAAAACCTTCATAGGTTTTCTGCATCGTTGAATAATAAATTTCTCTCCAACAGCAAAATGATGATTCTAAAAATTTGTAAAATTACCGTCATTAGCGTTACGAAGATAATTGATTAGAACGTTGTCAATTTTCGGAACATTTGATTTGATTGCTTCTCGAAAAAAGTACACAATTTGTTCGCGCACTTCTGATCGCATTCTCGGATAAAGTTCAAATAATATCATGTTAACATTGCATAAAGCACAGAACCAACCATCACGTGCTAACAGCGACATGAGAGAAAAATACTAAAATGTGTTTAAGTTAATACTAAATACATAATTTTAATCCAACGCATCAATTGTTGGGCATAATTTCAGCCTTCTCTGCTGATCTGCCACTTTCCAACATTGGAATAGCGATTTATCAAGAATAAATTAACTAAAGGCAGCGAATGATGTACTTCTTTTTCTACATATACTAAAAAAATACAAACATTATTGAAATTAACTGTTGTGAGACAATCCTTAGCGTACCTTTTGAGCATTCTGTGGTTCTGTTAGCAATCCGTATAAAAGGCCCCCTGTAATACTCTCAAATACCTGTAAAATGCAAATAATATGATAAAGTAGAACAATGCTTGATTCTAAAGGCTAAAAAATTTATTAATATGAGTTTGCAATAGTTCAATGAGCAATCAAAGATTTTTACAGTCAATCTTACTTTTCCAGTTATACATTAGAATGAGATACAGGAAAATGATGAAAAAAAATGAAAAAGTAGTTTGAGAATTGCAACCTTTGTTTCTCCAGCCATCTGCAACAGAACATCGTATGATTCTTTCTCCGGAAGACCGCTTGTTCGATTTTGAACCATACTGAACCCATTTTCCAATTTCTGCAATTTGCTTTTGGTATCTCAACATTATTTCAGCATAAGCTCTTTCCATTTAAAACAACTAATACACAAAAAAATTTTGTGGATCGCAGTACAGACAAATAATCACGCTTAATTGCGTGTGATGTACCTTACAGTGATAAACTAACTTATTAATCAACTTATTAACCTTACGGAGCAGAAAAGGTTCTATTCTTCAGAGCCCTTTTAGATAATCTTTCAGTCACCCATTTTTTACAGGAACTTATAGTTCTGAAGATGAAACTTAAACGGTTGCGACAGACAGCTTAATTTTAGTTAAATACTGAAAATTGTTCAAAAAAAACTACCTCTTCGAGCTCATCGCGTTGCTCAAAATTGCTTAAATTGAGCAATTTAGACGGCCGCTTTACGCGTGCATTGGATGGTTCCATTGAATGTGATCACGTTTAGTCCATACAAAGTTCTACCTGCAACCGCAATCAGTTAAATTATTCTATCTCTATCAATCTTCGAAACAACAGTTCCTTTTGAAATCGAGAGGATATGGGAGAGAGGGAGAGAGAGATGGTGAGAGAGAAAGAAGAAGAGAGAGATATTACTTCAGACAAGATTACAGCGATCCTTCCCCTTATTATAACACCTCGCCTTTCAACCTTCATTAGCACTCTTGTTCCCACTGCGCGACGCATAATTTTCATAACGGTGCCGCTGCAACTACCTTTGTTCTTTCATTGTCCCATGTTACTCTGCATGTGAAGTTTCGACCTTGGAGAGGTTGACTGTGTCATTAACTTGCGGAAGTGCTTCATTTTCTAACTTAAGGTCCTCTAAGGCCTCTCTGTACAGGAGAAAAATCATTTGCGCTTTCCTTTATTTGGCACAACCTAGTGACATTATTTATAGCTGTAGCTGTTTGTCGTATTGTTCCATATTATTTTAGTGCTACCTTAAAGTATGCAAAATTCATCCGTAAACAACAGTACAATTCACTCAAAATCATTTCGAAAGTATATTAGGTTAGCGTTTTGTTGAAGCTTAAATTTTATAACTTTCTAAAATTAAATTGCTGAAGATATGTGCTCAGCATGGTTTTACTTAGATGCTTTTGTCGTTAAGTGTTCATTTTCATATATGTTTCTTCCCCTTTCTTTCTCTGTCCTTCTCTTCACTAATATATACATTAAGTGTTCACTTTCATATTTCCTTTCCTTCTCTCTCCATATAAATATATAAATATATATATAAATATAAATATATATGTATATAATATTTTCATATTATAAGAAGTGCTTAATCCGTGCTAATTTCTAGGCAGACATTAACACTATGTGAGAAAGCAGATCTACTGATTAATGAAGATGACTTTAAAACACTCATACCTCCCGAAATTCTCTCACTGCGATCCAGGTATAAACTGTTATATCGAACATTGAAAATTTTTGAAATTAAAAAGCTAAAACCTGAATTGTTACTTTTCATTTAGACTTTTGTCGTTTCTAAACATTTAGACTTTTGTCGTTTAAATTATATCTTTACACATTTCACTTAACAGAACATATGTGCGAATAGGAGTATGCAATTTTTTTTCATTACTTACTGATCAGAAATAAAGTTAGCCAGTTGTGGGAAATCTGGTACTCGGTTTCATAGTTTTATTTCAGGGTCATTAGACTGTGCAAGACCGTATTTATTGATCCAGAATGGGGGCGCCGAATTCTTGAGAGGGTGTGGAAAAGCTGGTATTACTCGGTAATATGTCGAATACGAAGAGGTGCTCTAAGTGTGGAACAGAAGAATTGGACCGAAATGCTGATTTCAACCTTTGTAAAAGAATTGTGTGTATTCGCCAATGACTTTCCACATTTACGTGCAACAATATGCCTGTACATCGGTGATCTGCGTCGTTATGCATGGATGATCTATGGTGTGGAAAGATATAGAAATTTGGCACTGCTTTGTTATCGGTAATAACTTGAAAATTAAATTGTCAGTTAAATTTTGGTTTAAAGGAATTCATTTTTTAGAGCGAAAATCACGGAGTTATTTTATCTTGATACTTATCGACTTTTTTTTTATTTTTACACTTTTTTTTATTTAGTATAACTAATGGGACAAACGCATTTTAATTATGATTTAAAGTGCAAAAGCAGAAATTCAGCATTTTGAGGTGCATATTTTGCTTATTGCATATGAAATCAGTTTTTCAAACTTTGTATCTAAAAATTCATTTGTTTGGAAATTATTATGTTGTAGGAAATCGGCCAAATTAGACGAAGAGAATGGAATTGCATTCAACCAACTTGGTCTTCTCGTTCAGGAAGCCAGTCCAGCATGTGCTTTACTGTATTTTCTACTAGCTGATAATGCGCCATTGTCTTTTGATGGTGCCTATACAAATGTTATTAGTCTATTAAAACAGCAAAAAGAACAGAAGATGGAAGATTCTACAATGTCCATCCTTGAGCACTGTTTCACATGTTTCAGGTAAGAGTTATTGTATCTTGTTATAACCGCATTGGAATTGTTTCATTTTGTTTATTTATGCTATAAATGGAAGAATACAGTCTTTTAGTTTGTTAGAATAGAATAAGGCCTTATCCATGTTAGATGAAGCAGCTCAGAACGGCCGTGAGGAAATTTGGAAATAATAAAGCAAATCTTCGTAGAAAGATGGTGTAATTTTTGTTCTATTAATAATAGAATGTCATTTGGACATGCATTATAAAAATCAGCTTTTATTATTACATGAAATATCATTTAGGTTTTTTAGTACAAACATAACTCAATTCTCAGATAACTTATTTGGATTGATTTAGGCAATCGTATTTTGAAGAACTCTCGACAAAGTGGTCGGAATACGTAATATCGCAATTAGAAACTCGGCATGCATTTCACGTTGCTTTGTCTATCAATGTCATCGTCCTAGCAGCTACTACTTTATTAAAAAGGGGTGATTTTCTTGACTTCTCATTGAATTTCGAAGATAAATCAAAACTGCATATTTGGGACTGATTTTATTTTCTGCCAAATGAACTGAAAGACTGCCAAAACAGTTTTTTAATATCAAAGTCTTAAATGTTGATTGTAGTAACAATACTTTTGGTACATATGTTGTGTATTTTACAAATTCTTCAAATTATAATACCTGTGTGATATATCAGCACAAATTTGGCGAAATGATATTTATTGAAGGAATTAATCATAAGGCAATCTGACATAATGCAGCATAAGATCAAAAGTGACTGTAAAGATTTTTTTCGTGAATGTATATCAGAGTTAGTTGCAGGGAAGGGAATAGAATTGCAATGTCTTAGCAAGTTGTTTTTTCGAATTTCGGAAATTACGATTCGAAACCTGGAAGAATGGTGTGCAGTAGAAGCTGAAGCAGTTGATTTACGAAGGCGCCGAGCTTCATCTTCAGATGGAAGTGCGGAAGAGGACGAAATAGAGGAAAGAGGGGAAAAACATTGCTCGCGGTCCTCATCACTGGAAAAAGATGTGGTTTCGGAGGATGATGAAATAATAGCGGAAACAGAGGAGTCAAGTCTCAGTAAAAAAAATCATGAGACACAGCACAGAATCCAATCACTTCTTGTTGCTTTGCTTCATGCTGCAACTTGCTTAGCTCCTCACGTGTATAACGACAAAGTACCATCAGCACTTCACTGTGTAAATTTTAATCAGTTTTTATGTTTGAAATTTTTGATGAAGTAACAGCAATTGCATTTTTTGGAAAAGTAACATCGATAGAGGGGATAGATATTGTTTGCTGGTAGTCTAAAGTATCTAGGTATGTTTAAATTGTTTGCAAACATTCATGTCTTGAACCCATTAAATCGGCTCTAAAGTTGTGATTAGTGTTCCATCGTAAGAGATATTGTTTATCTCAGGCTGAAAAATCGGTGTAAATGTCATTACATTGTGCTTGTCAGATATTAAGAAGAGTGGTAACAGGAATGATCTGTGATCATTTTAGTGCGAGTGACTTTCATAGTTATTTTGCTACATTCTTTTAGATTTTTTAAACCGTGATAAAAGATTATCTATCTAGGATGCATCATCTGTTACATATTATTTTTAGCAATATGAAAATTTTTGTCAGCAGTTGATCCAATTTTTGAATCTTCTGGAACTGCATTTGGAGGGTAAATCAGAGAATATATGGCAGCTTGGCGGTTTAACTCCATGGTCTTTGTTGCCACGCTTTTTGCAAGCTTTCGTTCAATCTTCGCATACTCCCGTTGAATTTGATGAATTCTTCGTGTATACACCAAAGAATTCGATGAAGGAAAATAAAATGAAAAACATGGCAAAATTGTGGCTTGCACATGACACGGAAAAAGTATGTAAATTTTTTTTTGATTGAATTTTTTCAGGATTTTTGGATGACACACATAATGTTCCTTGCCAACGATGTTTTAGTGATCCCATATTTTCTACTCTACAGCATCCTAAAAAATTTTAATTTGGCATGCAGTTGAACAAAAAAAAATTTTTTTTGAAGTATTACTCACTCCTAAGAATATGGGTTCTTATTTTCTGTCTTCGTTTTAAAATTCGCACTGTTTGGAGCAAGTAGGAATGAAGCTAGATTTGCGAATTCTTCAAAAGAAAATTTTAAAATAGTTTCTTTTTTTCCAGGAACAGATACGAACCTCTCTACCATTATATGTTATTCCGCAAGAGGATGTTTTACTGCAGCGACTGGAAGTTATGAAAAAGATCCTGAAGAAAGATAAACTGATAGTGGCTATAGCAGAGGGTACATTTCGGAGTTTGGATATGAAAAAGGATAAACCAGAGGTGCGGAAAGCGTTGCGTTGGATCAATGCGCATATATCAAAAGATAATGGTCGTCTACGAATTATACCGAGTTTAACATCTGAAAAGTGTGCAGAAAAGTTGTCAGCACAAGCACCGACCACATCCACTGTATTTGTTACAGTGCTTACATTATTGCGGGTTGAAGCTAATTCAATTATCAAACGTAATTATTCTTTTCTTTGGTCTTTTATGCCTCCAACAGGTGTTTGTATATCAGAGAGGCTTATTTTTAGTTCATATATCAAATTAGCTATCTGAAATCAAATGTCTAAAAATTTGGCAAGGCCTGGTCTAATCTGTTATCTTTTCTATTACTAGAACAAAATCTTCATTCCTTTCACTCCTCTTCTCAATCGTCCTTGATCTTAAATAGCCATGTAAATAGCTTGCCCAAAAAACTTGCCGATTTTCCATATAAATAGCAGTTACCGAGGAAAGAGAACGCCTTCGTTTACTGTTTAAAATTATTCTCAAGTACTCAAGTACTTTATTCTCAAGTACTTACTTGGTAATCTGGTCTGGTAACAATGCTTATATCAGCGAACCATTTCTAATTAGATGTTTCATATGTATGAAGCTTTATTAACATTTTCAAACCTGCGGAGTGGTGGGAAAGAAAGTGAGAGAGAGAGAATTCAGATTCGGAGAGGGCTGTTTTGAAGTGTTCACACCTAAAGTAGTTATCGTTTCAATCACCTTTTCGGCCAAGCAATCATCAAGGCAACAGAGTCCTACGCTATTATTTCAAACATTCGCATTGCTTTGTAATTTTTGGGTTTTTTCGTGATATATGGTATAGAAGTGCAGTGCTGCTGCAAATACATTTTTTCATAGGGGCTATATGAGATTCTTGTTTGTAACCGTATCTTTTTTAGCGATAACGATGGAGAACGTTGAAGATTTTTGCGCCCGATATGACAAAGCTGAAAGGGATTTCTTGCTGTGCCACTGACACGTGTATTGAGTGGATGGTAGCCGCAAAATAATTAAGGTGATGAATAGTTTGGTTGAATCGTTTTTGCAAAAATTTTTAATTGCCATCTGTGACACTCGTCCATGACTCACTCACTATCTTTAAGAAATTGGAAAAAAAGTACGAAGGAATCTAAGTGGAACATATGTATGTTAGTATGGAAGTGATTACAGGCAAGTAAGACGCAGTTGTATGTTGATTTGCTAATTAAATAGGATGATTTAACGTGGGTTTTCAGCAGGTCCATGCACGATAGTTTATGGATGTAATGCCGCTACTGGTGGTACATCCATTCCTTTAAAAATTCAAGTTCTTATTAGAAGCAGAAAACGAATCATGAGGGGATGGTCGATAATTGTTCCCTTTTTGTTAGTGGTGTATATACGCATCTGATAAGTAATCATAAAAGCAAAGCTTTAAATGAATCCTCAAAATTAAACATTCGAAGGGATGGGAACGAAAGGTAAAGTGCGTTGTAGTAGTAGTCAATTTGTGTGTGTGTCATATTTAGTTTTTTGTGCTTCCTGTTTTATTTCCCCTCGCCTCTTTCGGACAGCATTTACGCATAAGAGAGGAGAAAAGAAAGAAGATGGAAGAGAGAGAGGGAGGTAAGTCTCAATGGTTAAAGTACCATGTAATACAACCTTTTTGTTGCTAAACAGCAATGAGCATCAGCAGGAGGTGGAGATTGTGGAAGAAGAGGTGATGACGGTAATGGAACAATTTTGGGGTGTTGAAGGCGATCAATGATGAGGTTATGCTGTTTGCTTGAATGGATGAGTGGCTGGGATAATTCGTCGTCGCACTCATCATCGGACAATCAGTCATTTTTGCCTACGATCTTTCGGTCAAGATGCAACAAAGCATCAGTTAGCGATGCTTACCGGACAATTCCATTTGTTCCATCGTGAGGTTCTTACGGCTTCGCTGCTGCTATTAGTGATGGTGTGTGCAGAAAGTCTGTATCACAGAATGTTTAGGAAATGGGAAGGACGAATAGGTGAAGTAGAGAGCATTCAGTGGTCGCTGGAAGAAGTGTGAAGTCTTGGAACTCCTTCTGAAGTAAAGGAAGGAAGGAAGGCAGTGTAATTGAAAGAGAGGGCAGATTGGGAAGAGAAAGATGTAAGAAAGCATGATGATGTCTCGTTATGCTTGTTAAAAGTGTTTATTTGTAAGGGGCATCAAGGGAGATGGGGCACGGATATTTGGTTTCATTAAACAGAGGGGAAGAGGAGTAGTAGTAATGGTTATGCGTCCAGATTCGTTGGTGTGTACAAATCCATTCATCACCATCACTATCATAAATGAGACAGAAGGGGTCGCTCTCCTTTTGTCCTCCCTCAATCTCGAAGTATTGTTGTTGGAATAACGGTGACATTAGAATGGATATCTGTTTTGCAGTTGCAGCAATAATTGTGTAGGCAAAGCACACACTGCTCAGATAACCACTCAGTCGCTATCATTTCAAATAAGTTTATTTGTCAATGAGGGAAGGAGGCAGGGAGGGCGATGTGAATGGCTTTCTGAATTTTTTTTTTTGCATGCCGCTTTCTTCATTCACTTGTTTCATATTCAGTGACTATTCCACTCACTTATAATTTATTCATATACCCCAAGCATTTTTCCGCATCAATCATCGGTCCGGAATTTATTTTAAATAAGGATAACCAGTCTATCCATTCGTGCAATTTATATCGGGTAAAATATTCCATTGCAGATGCAGTGGCACTGTTGTGGATTGCATCAGCTCTATCTAATCCCTATACTATTAACGGTGGAAACATACTCCTTTATATGTGCTTTTCGCTCTATTCGTTACTATAAATTCGTTCGAGAGTCTCCACCAACCAATCAAATTGGTATTGGTACTTGTTATAATAATAGCTTCCTTCCTTTCAATGTGTCTTTTATGTAATTTTTTGTAATTTTAGGGTTCAGGATTTGTCCTTTTCATCTCTTTGTTTGTAGTGAAAGTCATAAACCAGATTTGTTGGTTTACAAAGTTAGTTCACTCAATGATTTTATTATGTAGCACACTACTCAATGATTATGATATCTTATACAATCACAGTTGAATGACATTTAGTATTTGGCTTGCATGCTTATGAGGTTGAGTAGGTCTAAGATGCAAAAAGCTGGAAAAGAGTAACTATTTTAGAACACATGTTTGTATATAGAGGGTTATTTTTTCCTTTCATTGAAATTCTATTCCCTAATCGGCTCTTTCTTTCGTTTTGTCTGTCTTCACACATCTGTGCCATCGAGAGCCTTCCATTGTAAAGTCCATTCATTCATTTGAGGAGATAGCTTATAGAAGTAGTAGGAGAAGAGTGAGTAGGGAAAGGATTAGCGATGGGAAGAGGAGGGGCGGATGGGTAACAATTTATTTATTATATGTGCACAGAAGTATAAGCGTCGTTCATCTATGTGTATCACTGCATTACAACTAATTTAGTCATTTTCCGTCACATTATTTACTTGTTTATGTAAGTGCCTCATCCTCACACGTCACATCGTTCACTTAATTTATCTCAGTTACATATGTGCATTATTAACCTTCGGTTCTCGAACCGTTCTTCCAACAACATCATTCTTCGTTAACTTTATCAGCTCACCACTATCATTTATAAAATGTCATTACTGCCAGTTTGGCGCCTTGGGTTAATGTACTTGTCATATCTCTCCATGTCTTTTGTTATGTCGTAGATTGCCATAAAATCTTTGGAAACGTGACTCTGCAGTAATTGAAAATTTCAGTTTCTGATACCATTTTATTGCTGCTCAACAGTTTTCAGTGCTGTTTTGTATTTACAAATGAAATTCCAAAAATGCATCCACTTTTCTCGTTTAGATTGCGTTTAGATTGTTTCAGCACTGAAAACTTTCACTTATGAAGGTGTGAATTATTTTAACGTTTAGTAATTTAAAGTACTTGAAACGACTTTCGGCAGGAAGCAAACCAGTTTTTCATGGAAGCAAATATCAGCTGCATGTCTTAACTGAATATTTGCATGGAATTGGGTCTCTGAAGTCTTTTGTAATTCTTTGAAGGTTCGAGAAGTTTTTAGTTTACAAAAAAATCTCAACTTCGAAAACCTGTTCTGTTCACATTTTTATCTTCGTATCACTTCTTCAAAATTTTTCTTAATGTCTTCTGAACTTGCATTTGGCAACATATGATTTTATTGTTAAATCAAATGTTGAATTTCGGAAAGGATTCTAACGTCACCTGTTATATGTATCATCTTGTTTTTATGTACCACACGTCCGGTTTGACAGCAGTGGTATTGCGTAATAAGGCAATTCTCAGAAAGTGAAAAGTAGAAGTAATGTCTAGGTTGTATTCAACCAAACTGTCAAATTAATTGAAAAATGGACATAATTAATGGAGATTTTGGGAAACACTTTGTTTTATTCACTGGGAATATGTTTTCTGCAGTGGTCAGATGAGTGCGAATGTGATTTTGTTGGAATGATACCAAATCAGCATGTAAGAATGAAGTGATTGAAAGAAGTGTGATTGGCATTATCCACCTTCGGAAGCTTTGTTACATGTCATGCAGCTGGTTGTTCAATGGTGTCCTTATGTTATTCGACTGCTGCGGAATATAATTTTTGATTTAGATTTTGTTTAATCTGTAGTATCTACTGTAGATTGTTGTTGCACATGTGACAGTAGTACATCTTCAAATTGATTAATACTGTTGATTAGGGAGAATATCGAGTGTTTTTGCGAGCGCTGGGCATTGTATTGTGGTATTTGTAGAGGAAAAGCCGTTGCTTCTTTCTGCTTCGAAATGAATGATACATTAATCCACTTGAAATAATATTTCAAGTATCAAGGAAATAATATCTTCATTATTTGCTATCCTTTGCACAATCTAGGTTTACAGAAAAAGAAATTTTGTACAATTAGTACTAATTGAAAGAAATGGACATTGTGATTATTTTGTATGCGGTTGGGCGACACTTATTGAAAATTGCAAAGGATTATTCCTCGTTCAGAATTCTATGGGTATTAAGTGTGCATCTGCAAGTGAGAAGTAGACAAGTCGAATTGGGAATTGGAATTGCAAGTATAGGCCATGCTTTGTTGTAAAATCCTTGTCCTTTACCTTTTTCCATTTCCAGAATGAATGGCAGTGCGGTAATAGTCTAGACAAACTAAGATTTTCGAGTTTCATGACTGCTTACAATAAATTCCATTAAATTATTGTTCCTATCCGATACATGGTAATCAATTTCAGGCGAAAGGTGCTGTGCACTGGTAAGTTCCGTTGAAAGCACAAATTTCATTGATCGACTGACTGTTTTGGTACGATGTTCTAGGTTCAAAGTACTCTGGCATTAATGGTTAAGCTCACGTCGGAAGAATATCGTTGTCTATGGAATATGTTAAGCTCAAATAAAATTTAAGCGAGAATGTGATGTGTCATTGCTACGTTACCGAAGTTCTAGATAGCCGGACAAAATAATGTCATCATCTGATATCTGTTAAAGTTTAAAGAGCATTTCAAATTGAGGTTGTGTCATGGCGCTTGTAATTCTAGTTAAATACGCCCCTTGATATACCAGAAAGTTGTTCGGGAATCACCGAGCTATGGACATGTCTTATTTTTCTCAACTATTCTTGATGAAGCTTATATTTTGCGTTCGTCAAGTTGTGCTCTTTTTTTTTTTCCGTGTGAGAAGTTCAATAAAGTTCGAATAATTGTGTTTGGATTGCCGTTTTCATCACCAGTGATTCCACTGTTCAACGATATTTTGCTTTTGTAATTTACTGTAAATTTCTTTTTGTGATTTTGTTAATGTAACGACTAGATTTATTGGAAGGACATCGTCATTTGTTTAATTTTCTTGTGTTACTGAGTTTTTACTGCCTAAATAGCCAATTCTATATGAAACCAAAACTTTTTCTATAAATTTTCAGCTGTATGTTGATGCCGTGCCAGAAGTTCTGAAGTTGAAGTCCAAACATTTTTCATGAAAAATTTCTTTCTTGTTCCAGTTAAATTGTAATCCGTATGGCTTAATTATTGTGGAGAGAGGAAGGATTAAGCAATGAAATTGCTGATAATTTCTTGAACGATTTTAAATCAATGTCTTCCGAGATGCTGTTTTTTTTTTAGCGAAGGCTCCTGTGTGAAACAATGCTCTATTGCTGTCACTGTGGGGTAGTTTAGTGTGTTTCATGATCTGCACGGGAAATTTATTTGATCTAATAAAACAAGCTCTAACTCTCCGTTATGCAGAGTTGAAGCAGTATGGATTGTATCTTCTGTCAATGGCCGTGGTCATTGTTATTGGAGTGCTGATGAGATGTCACTTGTCATGTCCCACGTGTAGTTATAGCTTCTGCTGTGTAGTAGCAACTGATAGTAACTATAGGTAAAAAGAGACATCTTATTGTCATCCTGGTCGAATTTGGTTAAAATATTTCGAAATGCAGGTTTACGTCTTTTGCAATACGTACTGCTCGGCGTTTTTTTAGTTATTAAATATCGCTCCACAGGTCTAAATTTGTGAAAAATACGATGAATTTTCGAAATTTTATCTTACAGTTGATAATGATTGAATTTGTATTTTTGTTACGTGAAGATTAAATATGGTGAACGCTTACAAAGGAGCATTTTCTAGGGCCTATCTGAATCTGTGATGGCTTTCCAGAAACAGTATTAGTGGCAATAAAATGTGTTTTGCATTCACTTTACAGAGTGATTATAATTATCCTTGAATGGGTTGGTATTTGTCGTTTTCGACGTCATTCTTTACCCGTCTACTTCCCTCGCGCCATCTGCTCATTGTCAACACTCCCATCTCCCCTTGTCATTTCCGAATCTTTTTAGCCCTCCGTTTATTTTCTTCGTCACTGATAATAATTTTTGACACAGTTTAATAATCATTTTCAAATCTAACGTATTGCTTCCAGTCTTTGAATTTTTATTAATTTTCTGAATTATTTCTCCTTTTTTTCAAAACATTGTTGATGGAAAGCGGAAAGTATCGCATGCTTTAATTCTTTTTCGATTAGTTGAAATGGCTTTATAACTTTTAACCTTTTTTTTGCTATATTGGTTGATGATGATATTTTAATGACTGGAATGAGCGGGGAAAGGTAAACATTTTGCAACTATATAAGCTCTGCAGTTCATTGTGGAGTTTTTTAAACGATAAAGAAGATTTTAAAAGCTCTTAAGGTAAATAGTGAATTTCTTCTCACCTTATTAAATTTATTTTTAGTTTCATTAATCTAGCAAAATTTAATTTAAAGATTATGGGCGCAGGTGGGATTGTTCTGTTGGATTTGTCTTCAAAACATCAATTTTAATGATATGTTAAAATGACAAATGCGGTTTTGGCTTTCATTTTCGTCGTGTTATTTTTGCTTTCCGGGGAAAGACATAATGAAACTCTAGCTTTTTTCTACTTTTCAGTTTCAATGGAATTTGACGTAAAGCGCTTGCCATGTTTTCCTTAGGATCCATACCCCATCAGCACTGTTTTTGTTTTTAAATACTACTGGGATCTCAAAATTTTTTGAACGAATCTTTATTTGTACGTTATTGAACCCGTATGTTTCAAAATCTCAAGATGTGTATCATCTGAAGATTTTCTTGTTTCTCTTTTTCTTTTTCAAGTTCATTACTGTGAAGTTGAAGATATCGAGACTTGCATATTTGCAGAAACCTATTCAGGGCGAAAGTGTTGGTTAAACGCTCAGAGTGTTTTTGTCGATCATTTTGGTTATTAGGGAAGTTGTCGCTCTTTGATGGATGTTTACTGACCAAATTTGATAGAAAAGTTGAATAATTGTGATATTGATCAAGATATCTTTATCAGTGAGTGCTAAATGAGCTCTGTTAGTAATGGAGTTTCTGTGGAGAAACAAATCAGGAGAGGCGAGCAAGATCGATGATCCTCAGGTTCCCTTCCATAGTGAAGACGTCATCTATGAAAAAACATAGACGAATGAGACAGTAATTTTAGTTACGTTAGCTAATGTATTGTATTCTCAGCCTTCTTACAACTTTTTCCTTTTTCCGTATGCTAATCACAGTAGCTAATTTTGTTTTTTTAATTATGAGATTTGCTAATGCTGAGCATATTCACAGAAATAAGACTGTATATCAGGTATTTGTGCCGTGTTTAATTATCATATTACTTGTTATAGTATTTTTCGTATCCTTTACAAATATGTTCGGCGTGCAGTTAGTTAACAATCATTACATTGCAATCATCCACTATTCTTATTTCTTTGTAACATTTAGTGAATACCCTTGAAATGCATTTTTTCAGTAAATGAGTTACGCATATTTTACATAACCATCATTTGTTGAATTTCTTGATTTCTAGTACTCAATACGCAGGAAGTTTAAGTTAGGTTATTATATCCGTTTTCGCCACCTCTCGTCAGCTTTTCTCAAAAGAAATATTTACACTAAGGATCACAACAATTTAGTTCTTAAGTTAAGTTAGTATATGCTGGTGTTCGAAACGTGTCATTAACACTAAATTTTCAATTGAAATCTCTTATCTTACATTGTGTTTTTGCAGTTCATTCATTTGGGATGTTCGTCTAACTGCTGGATATTACTACATTGACCAATGGAAATTGGTGTTTATTGGTTAAAAAGGGAAACAAATCCGGATGGCTGCATCAAGTTGGATTTCTAAGGTTCGTAAACGAAACGATGTGCGCAAGGAAACTTTGAAGGTTGGGATGAATTCCTTCCGAGAATAATATAAAAGAATCTCCTTTTTTTGCGTATGCACCGAACAAAAGAGGCTTTTTTAGAGTTTTGCTTGAATTCTACCAGCTAATTAATATCGTATCTGAAATCGTATGTTTCAAAAATTACAAGCAAAAGATTTGGAATCCTGTAGATTACAGTTTAATTTTTTAACTACTTGCAGTACTTTTAAAATTTAGTTTGTTCAGCTCCAATATTGTGACCTGAGATTTTTAAAAGTACTGCTGGATAAAACACCTTTAGTTGTTGGGAAACATCGTTTTTAACTTTCTTTTATGATGTAACTTCTTTTGATTGTGAGTTGTGGTTAGTCCTCTGACCCCGCAATAGTTTATTTATATACTTCTCCGAAAAGAAAAACGAAGTTTTTGTTTGTTTGAAGCTATCCGTTGTAATTGTGGAATCTTCTGCACTAAAATGTTTTATCTTCAGTTTAGTTTAATATATAAATGCCCACACGAAGTGATGTAAAGCGGATAATGTTCCTGAGGATGGGAAACGGATTTGAATGATATATATAGTTCGTGAAAACTGGAAGAATGTTCCTCCATTTATATCCCGCCGAGCACATTGATCTGGGTGAAATTGGACCCAATGGTGAAGGGTTGTGTTTTTAAAGCAATTAAATGTTTTGTTTCACCAGTTTTTTAATTGGTTTTTGCTGGTTATGATGTTGGAATATAGAGGTCATGGAAGTGACTACTTGATGACTTGTTGTGGAAGACAAGAAGGTGCTTACCTGTAAAGACCATCTACACTTACAATCGACTGGCCCGAAGTGTTAGATGGTTTGTGAGAAGTAGAATATTATGATTGCGGTAGGAGTTGAGTATGGCTTAGCGGAAATTGAGACAGAAATTGCAAGAGTCACACCCATAGGAGTCACCCAGAAGTTTCTTCCAGGTGTTGAAGAGAGGAGGAGCAAAGAAGCTTTGGAAGGGAATCTGCCAGCCATTTTGCGAAGGATGGAAGGGCATTCATCTCTCATCTCTTCCATCGATATGTTCATCCACTCGTGTTCATCGATTCCTTGAAATTCATATATGTTGGAAAGGGTGCTACTGCTGCTGGAGGATTAGGGGTACATGTGCATGTGCATACATGTCTCTGGAGAAGTCAGTCAATCAGCGTGGACACTGTAAAAGACATTTTGTATGAGTGTCGGACAATTTACATCCAAACAACTCGCAAATTTCATATTGATTCGATGTACGGGGTCTATGTGAGCACGTCCCCACCCGTCCGCAGTGGATGGAGAGAGAGGGTGTAGTGTCGACCGGCACGCCGCAGAGCGCGCTCACACCATCCGCTGATCCGTTCATCCTACCATCCTTTTCTCTCTGTCATCCATTCACTTTTTTATGCTTTTATGTCCTCGTGCAACCACATGCACATACGTACGTACATACATACACACTCAAAAGCACGCACACATACACAGACACACACGGGAATGCATAAATATCCGCACAGATTTACTCTCTCATCGGTGGACGCATACACACATGCAGACAGCAATGCATTCACACTCATAAAACAATACCTTTTCATCCGAATTCCGTTTTCTCCAGTTGTTTGTGGAGTAAGCATGCGTGTTTGCATGCATGCTTCATTTGTTTGCATTTTTTTTCTTAACTCATAGGTTCACTATGCAGTTTGTCTTTCTGTTTTTATTCTCTTCTCCATGATGAGCTTGGCCGATGTCCAAATAGTGCTATCGTCCAAACATTGTTGTTACCGGTCATTCCGTTTCACAACCAAGTAACAAGCATCATCAATTTTATTCTCGTCGGAGCAAGCATTGTACGAATGTCGGTCTCAGATATTCAGTCTGTAAAGGATATGAATCGAATTGAAAGTAAACATTCCATGTTAATGCATTTCCGAATACTCTCATAAATTTTCATTTTTGTTTTAGAATGCACACATCGTTCTTAGTGTTGACAGTCTGTTAATGCTGAAACGGGCATGCATAGCCATAACTCTTACCCATAACTATTTATAGCTTTGAAAGAACGCATGTTCGGAAGTAAAATTAGTTAAATACATGACTGGTCTATCAGGTTATGTTCCGCTCGTTATAACATTTTGGTTTAATTGTCTTCTTTTCTTGTTTGCCTTCCTTTTTATCGAAAGAATACGACACAATATTGAGCATTTAAATGACTTAGACTAAGAGACCAGAATAAGTAGTGTACTGTCATCAAAGCATCTCTGATATTGCTCATTTTTGAGGTGGTTTTTGTGTTTGGAAAAAACCAATCGGGTTAATATTCGGTCCTGATCATGTTGCTTTGTAGATTTTTTTCCTTTTTTTAACCATCTCCTTTGATGGGGCTATTGTGGTGAATTGAGAGACACCCAGGTGTTGTTTTTGTTGCTCAACTGAAACACAAGCATGTTCAAATGGAATGTGATGCAACAAATTAATTATGCGGACTACATAGTCTCTAACATCATCCGATACTTCATTCGAGAAGAAAGATCAGTGAGAAAAATGGGGTGGGGAAGAGGAGAAATAGTACTTTATTATATGGGCATCAGTTGTCTACTGGCGTTCTCGTCCTTTCAGAACTGATTGTCATTCTCCTTTACTCCGGGCGCAAGTCATCAGAGATGAAGTTATGAATTGCAGATATTGTTTTGTGGTGTCACTACAAGGAGATTAGAGCTCAACAGTGGGTATGCATGAACATGAACATAGCGCTTTTCTCATCGCCATTCGCAGATTCGATCCTTAGGTGTTTCTGTTTCCAGCTTCTTGAATTCAGGTATTTAAGACAATTATATAAACACTGACAATTTTGGAATTAAAAGGAAATGAAAAATGAAAGTTATGAGATCTCGGCGTTCTTCGGAAATCGAATCGACTGTTCTCTTTGGCATAACTCATTTCATTCCATGAGAAATCACAGGTTGGCAGAGGAGATTGTGCAGACGCTTGTTTCCAGCTTTTCATTTCTGAAGCGTTCTTTCGAATGAAAAGTACTTCTATAGTCGAAGAAAACAATTATAGTTGTGCTAAATTGAGTTTCTCAAAATTGTTTAATGCTTGATACCTAGTCGCTCAATGAAATTGATTATTGGAATGGATACGGAGTGAATAGAGTTTGTGATGCTATGACGAGATTGTAATGCACTTTTAGGTTTACACCTGCACTATTTGTTCCTGGTCACCTTTTGAAAGTCAAATGAATGAAATTGTTTTTGAGCTGTAATAAATTTGATATGATGGTGGCTTGTGGCAGGTCATTAACTTCTCATTTCTTCTTTCACTGATTATCAATTGCTCTTTATTTGTTTCCATTATCTAATATTTAAAAAAATTATGGGTCATTTTGTTATTGACTCTCCCTTCGACTCTATTTCATTCAATTTTATGACAGATCATATTTACTGATATTTGAAAAAGTTTGAAATAATCGGGGATGCTATATTTCATTTGCGCTCTGTGTTTCAGTTTATTGAATAGTTCTTATTTCCTTCTAGTCACTTGCGATATTTTAAGCTTCATGTTAAGGAATTTTCGCCAGAGTGGATGAAACTGATTAAAGGTTCATTCGGATGTTAGTAAAACTGCAGTGGACAATTGTTGCTATGTGAGGTTAATTCGTAATGATGGTTCACGGCATTATAATCTCAGTATATATTGGTTGAAGGCACAGATATTCATAAAGGAAATCTATTAGTTTTTTCTGCAAATCACCCGAAATATAGGAGACATTCATACATTTCTTTTTTCAGATTTTTAAATTAACCTTTGGGAGGTATCCCACACTTATCGTTGGACAGTAGTCTTTCCGTTATTAATATCCTCACATTTTTGGTTGGTAACAGGAATCGCTCTTGAAGCTCTTCGGCGTGAATATGTGGAAATAATTTGTCTCATCAATTATTGTAGTCCTCAAAATTTTTACACAGAAATCCTAAACGGATAGCAAACAAGTCTACTTTTTGATTTGCTTACAAGTTACGAATGTGTCATTTTTAGGGTACTCCACACCAAACCATGAAGATGACAATTTTGGATCATCTGGAACGAATAAAAGAGGAGTATAATTTCATCCAGACGCAAGTACAACAACAGCGAGTGGAAATTGAGAAGCTCTCACAAGAGAAAGAAGCAATGCAACGTCATTACATGATGTACTATGAAATGAGTTATGGTCTGAATGTCGAGATGCATAAGCAGACCGAAATTGCCAAGCGGTACAATGCTATTCTGTCACAGATTATTCCGTTACTTCCAGCCGAACATCAGCAGTCAGCTCTTGCGGCGATGGATCGTGCTAGGCAGATAAGTATGGCTGAATTACATCAGGTGACCATGCAATGTTCCCATGTTGTTTCCTTATGGACACTATTCCGGTGTTACGTATGAGTCGCATGGAATTTCTTATGGAATGATTTCTGTTAGAGAATAATGTTAACGAACGATTATGATTGAAACATAGTGTCCAGTTTCTTGTCATCCTATGTAAGAGTTTTCACATGACTCTGAGAAAGGGAAAGTAACTTTGATATGGGCATAATCTACTCATTTGTTTGAGGTTCGAACATTTCCGTCACATCCGTCATATGCTTTGTCACTTATCCATGTGAAATATATATCTTAATTATATTTTATCTGGAAATTTTTAGGTTATCGGAAGTCAAGTGCATGCTCAGCAGCAATTAGCAATGCTTCCTGGTATGGGTATGGCTGCCCCCATGAGTCTGGCAGCTCAAGGTCCTTTTCATCCTATTGCTGCTGTTGCAGCTGCGGCAGTAGGGATGGGAACTAAACCAGAGGAAAAGAATGATGATCGCAACTCGAGTCGGGCATCGCGACCCCGTTCCAGCACACCGGAGACAAGTCAGAAAAGAGTAAAGGTTATTTTCAATGTCGTTGGGATGTCGTATATATATATAAAATGTACTTCTGGGAGGATGAAGGTTTGCCTTGGTTTATCTTATGGAGTCCAGCAAACTTTTATTTTTGAAGAATTAGGTTGGATTAGGTAATGACTGCTTGTTTTCTAGAGCGAGAGGAATTCTTGACACTTCAAGAATTCGCTTTTGTCTCTGGGGCCGTTTGGGTTCCAAGTTTCGTTGAATTTTAATGCTGTTCAGGTCGAATCAGAAGATGGTGATGGTGATCTGGAGATCGATGTGCAAAATGATGATCCCTCCGTAACAAATGGTGTGAATTTGAAAAAAGATGGCCGGGAAAGTACCCATTCCGTGTCATCTGGCGATTCGACACCCGGCAAAGCACGAATTTCTAATACCCTCACACCAGCTGATGCCATTGCATCGATGGCTTCGTCAGTGCTTGGCAATCCGGCACTGGCTTCTTTTGCTGGACGAACTGCTTTACCCGCGATGTTAGATCCACATGCGCAAGCTCGTTTCATGGCTGGAATGAGTCAGGCTGGAGCCATGTCAAACGGAAAGCCTGCCTACAGTTACAAAACGACAGAAAGCGGGCAACTGCAACCCGTAGCATTTCCACAGGATGCATTAATGGGGCCAGGTATACCGCGTATGGCACGAAAAGTCCACGACTTGCAACATGGGGAAGTCGTTTGCGCAGTAACAATCTCACATCAAAATCGACATGTTTACACAGGTGGCAAAGGTTGTGTCAAGGTTTGATTTTGCCGTCCAAAATATTCTATAGCTTTACATGTTAAAGAAGTCTGCAACGCGGGGAATGACTTTCTACGTTATATATCAGATAGCAATTTAATCAAGTATGTTTTGTTTGAAGTTGTTAACATCTTTGGACGACTGTATAACTGCTTGTAGTTGTTAACATCTTTGGACGACTGCATAACTGCAAACATTTACCGCTATTTATTCACTCTGAGATCTTAAATGGAATTGGAGAGTTAGTTCTATGATACATGGTTAGTTGTGATATTATCTAGATTTTTAGAATGTATATTTTTAGAATATTGCAGATATGGGATATATCCAGAGCGGAAACGTCGAAAAATGCGATCTCAACATTAGAGTGCCTCAAGGACAACTACATTCGATCGTGCAAATTGTTCAATGATGGTTCTACCTTGATTGTTGGGGGTGAAGCACAAACAATTACTGTCTGGGATCTGACGGTGTGCACTCTTTTTTGCCTCGTTTTTTTGTGATGTATCAACTTTTTTCTTTGATGATGCAGTATTGATGTGTCAACCATAGGATGGAAAATCTCTTTAGAAACACTATAAGGAATTGATTTGAGGTTATTATTCTTTATTCATATGACCATTTAAGTAAACATTTTACAGGTATAATTTGCCCTAGTATATGCATTTTATCAGACTTGAATAAGTAACTAAAAAACTTACTCCAATTTTTCAGACAGAGAAAGTGAAAATAGAACTTGACAGTGAAGCACAAGCATGCTATGCCCTAGCAATTTCACCAGACAACAAATTGTGCTTTTCATGCTCGGCTGATGGAAAAATTATCATTTGGGATCTTGACAGCAAAAAAATGGTAATTATTTCCACAAATATTTTAAAGTCGTCGGGGACCATTCTGGTTCTTTTTCCTGATCGTCTCTAGAATCTCATTCGTTTATCTATTGGCGTGTTTAGTATTGCTCATCGTTATTCTTAGATATTACGAAACTCTCATTTCCTGCCTTCAAGTTTCTTGTTTGTCAGATTCACTGCTTACCCGGACATCAAGATGGTGCCAGTTGTGTTGATCTTTCAAACGATGCCGTACGATTGTGGAGTGGTGGTTTAGATAATACCGTTCGTTCATGGGACCTGCGTGAGCGGGTTCAGTTACAGCAGCATGATTTCCAGTCACAAATTTTTTCTCTCGGATGCTGTCCATGTGATGATTGGGTTACCGTTGGCATGGAAAATAGTAATGTTGAAGTTCTTCATGTCAGTAAACCTGATAGGTCAGTTTTGAATATGTAGTTCTATTTTTTGTTTATGACAGATATCGAAACTAATATAGTAAATGTGAGTCCAGATGTGCAGATTGCGCTTATTTGAATAAACTTCCTGTCTAAATTGTCTGGGCGGAAAGTGGAAAGTTATATGAATTTGGTAGAGAGCTCATGAATGAATAACATTATTTCTGTAGCTTATTAAGATTATTTGACAGTTCGAAGTTTTTATCACGAAGTTGCTAATGCATGTCAAAGATAGCAGAGCTATGTATGAGTCTCACAAAACAATGTTCGTTGTCTCATTATCCATCACAGTTGCTCGTCTATTAAAAAGATTTCGGTACTCCTAAGTTCCACCAAGCAAATTAGAAGAAATATCTTCATAAAAAAACCTAACGCTTAATGTCTTTTCCTCCCATGTAATAGCTTTCATAGATAAAATTTATTACATCTTTAAAATCCTTTTCATTTATGTTGGCAGCGAATAACCTAAGGCACTGCTAGTTGCTTTCAACTATATCAACACATCGACAAAAATTTGCCCCTGCATTGTCCACTTTATGGAAAAAACATATTAGGGACATTATATTTATAAGCCTGGCATCACAGTTTTACGTTAAGGCTCGACTCCTGCAACCACTGTCAAATGCATCAACCGCATTATCCGTAACTTTTAGAGGTCATCCAATAAGGAACCAACGTATTGCTTTCTATCAAATTATTAGAGAATTTTTTTATTTCATGAATCAGAATCGTTCAAAAGCTCTCATAATATTGTAGGTATTCGTTGCATATGCATGATAGCTGTGTGCTATCATTAAAATTTGCGCACAGTGGAAAATGGTTCGTTTCAACGGGCAAGGATAACATGTTATGCGCATGGCGAACACCCTATGGAGCATCACTTCTTACGGCTAAAGAAAGCTCGTCAGTGCTGTCTTGCGATATATCTTTCGATGATAAATATATTGTCACCGGATCTGGTGAAAAGAAAGCTACCGTTTATGAGGTGGGTTACTGATCTCCTTACTATTTCTTGACTGTTTTTGTTGCCGTGATAAATTGTCATATTTTCATTGATAAAATCTTTTCTTTATCACTTTGTATCTATTCGTTTTGTCTGTCTCAGCTATTTACATTTTCTTAGGTCTATAAAACTGGTGTTAGGGGGGACCTTCCTCTCCCTCTTGAAAGTGTATATCGGCGAAGTATTTAAACCTTCCTCTTGAAAGTGTGTATCAGCGAAGTATTTAAACAGGTCTTCAAATAAAGAAGCCCTAAAGATGGCCAGTTAACGGCTTTCCCTGTACTAACAAGAGTAAATCAAACGGCATGTGCGCGTTAGTTCCTCATTTATTCTCTTGCCTTCACGTCTGTTAGACTGTTAAAATTTGAGTCGATGTTGTATTGTACAAATCTCCGATAAGAAATACAGACAAAGTATAAGATGCGAATAGAGGTTTTGCATTGCCTAATTTTCATCCTACCATATGAAAAGAGGTGAAGCAACATGAAATGCCCCGGAGCAAAAAAATATCACCCGTAAACCTCTCAAATTGTTTTTTTAACGAATTATTTTGATAGGACACTCTCACTTCCGGTCCTCTCAAATTATTAAGCTATTTGAATATCCCAATTTTTGTTTTTCATTTATCGCTATCTCAAGAAGCACTAATGAAATGCAGAAGGGGGAATATGTGGTCCGTTTGAGTTCGTGAGCATAGATCATATTGCGAAGTCTCGGGGTAGTTTGGGCTATTCATGAATCATCCAATGGTTTCCAGCTATTTGGTTGTTTACCAAATGATCCGCAGGGAGTAGGAAAAGATGTCTAGAATAGTGTTGGAATGAAACATTAAACATTGAAAATGGTCCTACGTTAATAAATCCTTTGTCCTTAGAAATTTTCTCCTCATTGAAGATTAGGTTAGCTCTCTGGAGGCTTGGTGTTTATTGGGAGTAGGTAGCTTTGCTTAGCCATAGCATGCCGAACTTGTATTCTAAACATTCATATAATTCGTCTTCTGAGATGCTTTTGCGCCATAACGACTTGTGCAAATTGCTTTGTCCCAAAATTGCAAGCTTTTTGAACAAAATCCTGCATACGTGCCGATAATGGGGGCAGGGACGTTGCTCAGCACGGGTTTGCAGCGCAAACGCATTCCATCGTTTTTTTTTATCGGTTCCGTTGTTGATATCGGGGAAATTCCCTACTTTTGTCATTTTCGCTTGATTTGTGTTGTAATACTTTCTATTAGTCATGAGAAGTTAATTTCAGTGTAACTCTGATTTTGTAGTTGCTGGTACCACTTCTCATTTGATCAAAACAACCGCCCATTATTACTCGTTACTTTTAGTCATTGTTTTCACCAATTACTTTGTTTTACTTCAGTATGAAGACAGTTTCGATTTCCATTGAATTTCACACCGTTAAACGTATTTCTTACTTGTTACGCTAAACCGAATAACTACTTCCATTTTATAGAGTTCGAGAAAAAAGGGCGGCGGCTCTTTCGTGTTCCCTTTTCCGATCCATTGCAACGAGACACTTATTACTGGTAAAACTGCATTGATTTTGATTAATCACAAAACAATTCAATGTGTTATTCTGTTTTGTTATAGTGCAGCTTTATTCAGGTCATCCATGCACTGCGAATAGATTTGTTTATAAGATAGCAAATCCATGCAAAACAACAAAAGTTGTAGATAGTTAAAAGCAATATGAAATAATACCCTTCAGGCTCATGCGAGTTAACGTACACACACCACAGATATTCCATCTTCCTAAGGTTTGCAATTCGGTTTCATAAAAAAGCAAGAGATAAAAGAATATTCTTCCCAGCAAGAATTGTGGGTACCTGCGCTACCTCATGAAAGCAGTAAATTGGAAAACAAAACATATGACGCCGAGAGATTAATTGGGTGGAGAGGAATCCTAACTGGAACCGAACTATCATCTATTGGTTACCACTTTTAATATCGATAAGCTTCAACAGAGTTTAGTAAGCAATGGGATGAAGGTCCAAACAGTCTGGTTTGGTCCTTGCTTCCGCTTACCATAAATGTTGATCCTATTGGTTAGAAAATATATAAGATACAAGAATTAGGAAACGCCAGATCAAGATAAACACACCACTGGACTACAAGAAGTAGAGAAGAAAACCATCTTCATCAAAATAGCTGTGGAGGAGAGAGATTTCGCCAGGTTGTTAGCAAAAACTTAACAAGTAACATCAAGTTCCTAAAGGTACCGACATCGTTTTTGGATAAGCAATGACAGCGAGTCGTGTTTTAGTAATGCCGCATCGCCTAATGTACGTTCAATGCGTAGTATCATATCTTAAAATCATATGAAATGTAGGATTTGGATAGATGGGCTATCCTTCTCTATGCAAAATGACGAAAGCACCTAGAGCAATCAAAACCGCGTATTTAAATTTGGGATAATCATTCATCAATATTGTGACCATTCCAACATAGGGTATGAGTCCCTTTGCTCGACCAACAACATCTTTTCGAGTCAGCCAAAACTGCCCCGATGCATATAGGCCTCGGTCGTCAACCTAAAAAAGCACGGTTAACAACCATTTTAATGCATGTATATGATATTAAAAGCTGATGCATGCACAGGTAACAACAAAACTACTGTTTGCTGTTTGCTATTTGAATGAAAAGTGTGTTGCTCGGATTCAGAAGTGGATTTCTAGACTCTAGGCTGACTTCGATTATAGAGGCTGTATTCAGGGTAGCTTCTAAATAATAAAATTTAAATCTGAAACCCTTAGAATTCTCTGAGATAAACTACGAGGATCGAGGTCTCGTCAATTCAAGATTTTGAAATTCAAGTTTCTGATAGTGGTTTAAAAAATACCTAAGTGTATACCAGTGGCCTGTTTATCGAGATGTCAGCACATGCACAGGCGGTATGTTGTTAAAAATTTTTGATAAAATTCCAAATTATAACCTGATTATTATCTCCTTTCGTCAAGAATTTTGTTTCTTCGTTGCTTTTCTCATGGACTTTAATGACTCGATGCACAATCGGAATATCACGTCCCTCAATTTTAAAGACCGTAATGTCGCCGGCTCTAATCGGGTCTGAGTCATCATTTGTTAGCAACAGCAAATCACCTCTGCAAACTTTGATAACTATATCGCTATAAAGTCGTCATATCGGCATAATTAGGACTGTAAGTATTTAATGAATTGGACATTGCAGTTTTTTCTTTGTTAAAAGGTTTTGCTCTTATGAATGCTTAAAAAGGTTGAAAACAACTCTTTCTTTTTGAATTCTTATTCCCTGAAATCGCCTCACAATCCAAAATTTTTATTTTTATGGCATAAGTAACAAATGCTTGAAGCACACGTAAAAAGTTTTAACGCTAAATGCCAAAAAATCCAGAGTACCTGTAAAACGCAGGCTCCATTGAACCTGATAACACAACCACAATAGGACTTTCGGAACCGGTAATAACCATCAAGCCTTTCCAAATCATCAAAGCTGAGGATACTATCATTGCAAAGTTCAGGCCTTGATACAGCAGCTGCCTGACGTTCATTCGTCTTACCTCATCGAATATTTCCAAATTCCAAACACCCATTCCAGATGTGGAACTTCCTGAAAGAGGAAACTTCTGATATCAATACGAATACATTAATAGCAGATTGGAAGAATATCACAGATGGAAGAACATCACCTACTCGAGAAACAGCACTTTCGGAACACATCATTTTTTATTATAGGAACTAAACAAAGACATGCAAAAATCACAAAAACAATTCAAATATGAAAACACCTTAATGAGAGCAAGTGGGTTTCGCTGCATGAGATGGAACAATGGAACAAGAAATATATAATTTAAAGAATGAACTTTTCAATTATTTGCTGTTATGGAATTCTAAATCATTTAATGACCCAAGCAACATTTAAAAAAGAACCACAAGTGAGAAACAGATCTAGTCAATACCTGTGACAGAAATAATAAAAAAACAGCAGCTCTACATAGTCAGCTTTTAGGACAAATAAACATGACGAAGAGTAATTTATGTTACACTTGAATGCAAGCTGAATAATGCAATGTTATTCACGATATTAATAGCATTCTAGCAATATAAGAACAAAAATTAGGTTTTTTTTTTTAAATAACATGAAAATCGGAGATAATAAACACAGAACAGAATAATACAGAATGTCAACTATGCATGTCATTTAAAAGAATTTGGTGCACTTTAAAGAAATGAATTACTCATTAGCAGAAAGACCAAGATAGTCATCCATCAGAGTACCAATAGCAAAGATATCGGAAGCATCCACCCTTGTACCAATCAGTTTCACTCGGATTTCATCATCTTGCTTGATGACAACACTTTCATCTGCTGTTTTATAGCACGGAGGATTTGAATTTGGTTCAAACTCCATATCCGGTGGGATGCAATGACGACTTACAAAGCATGAAAGCGGTCCAATATCGCAAAATAATCCAACCTATAAATGGATAATTTTTTAAAGGTTCAATTAAATCTAGAAAGAAAAACTACGACAGGCAACTAAGAATATGCACATATGATGTTGTGAACAAGCTGAATACTGTCATTTATTCCATAATTTTCGTAAAGCAATTCCGATTATTTTGAATATAACGGAAGAGAACAGTGCCGTCGGCTAATTCTTTTGTAACATGATACAAGGTAAGGACAATGCAGCGCGCTAAGCTGCTATATCGATATCGAGTTCGAATTCTAATTTCTGCAAAAAATCTCGCAATCGTGTCTCTTACTTTATTTACTTGATTTACCACAGCGTCGACAACTTGTCCTTTGAATGGCCTGAATACTATTGCTTTGTATTTCACAGGATACAACACAAAACCACGACCTAGAAAGAGCAATACGTTCATTTGCAAAAATCTTACAGTAAATATAAAACCGAATCTTATTCAAAGCTTGTCATTAAATAGAATTAACATCATAAACAAGAACACTATATTCCAAAATAAACTCATGGGATTAATGACAACAAATGAATACCTGGCTGAATAAGTCCCGCACCAATATTATCGATTGTAGTCACTGCAACAACAAAGCCGTACTTTCCAGTGCAGGTGCCTTCGACCTCATTAAACAATTTTCGTTTCACGGTCTCTAGCAAATCGGGACCGAAATATTTAGGATGAAGGCATATTTCATGATCTAACGGGATATGATAGAACATATCATTTATACTGTTTTTTTTCCTAAATGAACCACATAAATATTAAATAGTCGACATGATTAGCACACAGTTCCATTTACTTCACCATAATTCTGTTCCCACACAGTATCACTCTGACCGTAGGACAATAATATTAAAATATTAACTATAAGTGGCACCATACCTATGTCACTCACTGGAAAGATACTGACAAGATGTACGCCCACTTCCTGATCATTACCCATTCCACACCGCCAGATTATGCGACACACTATATTCCAAGGCAGTTGGAACAAATCCAGCTGCAACAAATTGAAGATGATACGTAACGCGGCCTGTCATAAAATGAAGCCTAGTTGTCGCCAGCGCAATTTTAGGGAGCTGTGGTGTGTGACGGTGTGGGGTTATGTCACAGGTGTAGGCGTCGGAGGTAGTTTGGAGATGGAGTGTCCGTTGTTGTGAAGTAATGTGCGTGGGATTGTAAAAATTCTACTTTCAACATATACATGTCATTGTCTTTCCTGCCAAAATTTATATATGTGAAGTGAGATCAAATGGTTTACCATGAACAAGTGAAACATGAAAGTTGGATTCATTTATTCGGAATTCTGCATTCGGTTATTCAAAAAAGTTTCATTTCTTTCTTTTGATTATTTCAGGTGACGTGAACATTCTGGCATATAAAGCGTTCGCGGCAACCAAAAAGATTGTACGCAATGGTGCGGATGAGTGTGTTAGCTGATGCGTTGAAAACTATCAATAATGCTGAAAAGCGTGGCAAACGACAAGTTCTAATTCGACCATGCTCGAAGGTATTCCTTGAGAGTGAGGGAAGGAAGACTAAGGAACTGTAGTTTGCTGTAACTGATTGAACTTCAGTAAAAGCAAATGCAAGCTTTATTATTGTTGAAATAATACCTGGAAGCATAGTTTATCGTTTCAGTATAGCCTATTTTCATCTGAATCTAATGTTAAATTACTTACAGGTATACATTGGAACGTTCTTTTTCTTTATCTGTTAAGAGGATGAGGTCATATGCTTAGAGACTCTGTTCTGAAAAATTTAGTATTTATGAACTTTAATGTAGCGGTCAATTTTCCAGGTGATAATACGTTTTCTAACTGTAATGATGAAAGCTGGCTATATTGGCGAGTTTGAAATCATTGACGATCATCGAGCAGGAAAAATAGTTGTTAATTTAACGGGTCGCATTAACAAGTGCTCCGTAATTAGTCCACGTTTCGATATTTCCTTGAAAGATTTAGAGAAATGGACATCCAATCTTCTTCCTTCACGCCAGTTTGGGTAAGCATCAGTTCACTTAATGCACATGTTTAATATTATTGTGTGAAAATAGTAGTTGAGCTTAGAGTTTGCGGAACTTATTGGCGATTTTTCTTGGGAAATGATGCAGTTTGAGATGTGGAATCTTATTTCGTTTTACAGTGTAGAGGTAGGTATCTCGAAATGAAAAATATTGAAGACTTTTGGCTGAGATACGGAGTAGGAGGATATTCAAACTGGAATTCATACGAATTAAATGTGTTTTATAGACATCTTGTACTAACAACCTCAGGTGGAATTATGGATCATGAAGAAGCACGAAGAAAACATCTTGGCGGAAAAATTCTCGGGTTTTTCTTCTAATTGCTTTTGAAAATCGTTTTATGTTATTTGTTTGCCAAATATGGATGATATTAAGGAGGAAATGGAAATAAATTTTGTTATTTGTTGTTCTGCTTTTCGAAATATTGTTTTGCAAATTCCCAGATAAAATTTACATGAAAAACAATTATGAGTCATCATAGATTTTGTAGGAAATGTGAAGGACAAAAATTGCTCGATGTTTCCTAAAACTGGTGACCCGAACATCATCCGATATTGGCAGCTCCCATCAGCTCGACTAAGTGGTAATAACTTCTCGATAGTTACAATAGTGTACTGAGGAATTATTACTAATTAATCGAGCTGGCTGGTATTGGATGGTTTAGGTCACCAGCTATATGAAGCATCGGAGTAGTTTTTGTTAGCCATAACTTCATTGGATTTGTAAGAGGTAAGCATGGTTTGACAGCGGTTTGTGGCGTTGTAGAGTACTTGGGACTGAAACGCTTGTGAGCAAAAAGAATTGTTTGTTTTTCCCCTGTTATATATCCTTTAAAATGAGTATGTGAGACATTAGTTCAGATTTATGCGATGGTCTTCAATATGTTTTGAAACCGATATATCTATATCGAAGCAGAAAGAAGAGTGCTTATTGTCACTGCTCGGTAAAAGCCAGTGACAAGGGTCTCATGACAAGGGTTTTTGACATCTACCAATTCTACAATTAGCTCTCAGAAAGGAGACTTATAGAAATAGTATTTTTTGTCCGCAAGATGTTAGTGACTTTATTTCTTTTCATAATATGGGAAAAGTTTGAGGATGCACTGCAGAAATTTTGAATATTAATAATGTACTTGAATTTTATGTGGATGTGGTTGTTGGATTGTTGTGTCAAGGGATTTTTAATTCTTGTCACACTGCAAATTATAAATATTGCTCAAGCAACAAATATACCATCGCAAGTGGTTGAGCTGAATGATAAATTCCTTCAAGTCAAGAATGATGGCCTCTGGTTTGTTGATGTATGAGATGTTTCTGATTATTTTAAAAACTCATTCACAATTTGAAATTTGGCTATTGTTGATTTGATTATTGCAAAATCTTAAAACTTTCCATTTGCTGGAACAATAGTGTAAATTACCTCTGGGTGCATGATAAAATAAGGTAGTATTTTTCTTTAGCTAATATTTAAGGACATAACGTTGAATTTATCAGTTACGACGTTTCCGATACTGGATCTCATTTGTCTCAGAATACAGGTGCGAAATATTTCTGATTTGTAAAGTATCTTTACTATGCATTTGTAGTTTTATGCTCCGTGGTGTATACATTGCAAGCGTTTGACTCCAATTTGGGAGCACGTCGGTCATGCATTAGCTGATTGTCAATCTCTTGTTCGGGTCGCTAAATTGGATTGCACTCGTTACACGAATATTGCATCGGCTTTGAATATTCGAGGATATCCTACGATTATTTTGTAAATTTTAACATTTTATTGTAAGAACATGAAACAAAATATTCCGGATAATAAACTTCGCCTTCTATAGAATTTTTTAGTTTCAAATTGTTTTTTTGATATTGCTGGATCTTGCTTTTTGAAGTCAATGGAAATTTAATTTCGAAATTAAATTTCATTAGCTTATTCATTTTCATATAGTTTTCGGAATGGAAAAGAAATAGTTTATGAAGGAGAACGAAAAAAAGAATCAATCATTGACTTCGCAGTAAAAGCAGCTGGTCCAGTGGTGGGCGTCATTGAAAATGTTCAGCAGTTATCACAGGTTTCTTTTCCTTCTTTTATATTTCAATTTAATGAATTGTTCAAGTATAGTTTCACCCTCAAACTATTTACGATTATTGTGAATTTTATTATAATTCTTCTATGGGCCAAAATTTGGATTTTTAGCGATGAATCAATAGATTTTTCTGCGATTCACACGTGCATGCTCATTCTTCATGCATGCTGTGTTCTAGATGCGAAGGAATTTGAAAGAACCATTTTTTGTGTATGTGGAAGGAAATCAGGATGCACAATTTCCTGAATTATTTGATAACTACAACAATGTTGCCGAAATGTTGTTTTCGTCGACGAGGTTTTATCGGGCGAAGAGGGATATGTTTCCTAAAGCCGTTTCAATTCCCGAAATTCCATCAGTTGTCGTTTTCAAAGATAGCGAATACTTAATCTATAAGAGAGAAAGTGATTAATACAAGTCTTTGTTGTTACTGCTTACATTTTTGCTGAATTGTAAACTGGCTACCATTTCATGAGCATTGTTCCTGTTTGAATTATCATCTAATAGCAAACGGTATACTTTGACACAAAATCTTATTTTGCCAATACACCACAGTGTATGGAGGACTGTGCTTACGGGAAAGTAGCTTCTACTTACTTTTGTAAGTAGACCGTTTGCTAAGGCATTAACAATTACTGGAAATGAAAATTATGATTTAGTAAGAAGTTACTTTTAGAAGAAATAATTTTTTTTCTAGGAGGAAGTTTAAGTGATTGGATTTACAGCGAACGCTGGTCTTTAATACCACTTGTTGCCTCAACAAATGTCATGGAAGTTGGAAGAATGCGAATGCTAGTTTTGGCCGTCATAAATATGGTTGAGAGGAGAAATGGTACAACGCAAGTGGGAAAGTTTGTCCAAATGAAGTTTTTTTTTTCGGACCCTTAAACTTTTCAAAGTCTTTTTTGTTAGATTGTTTTTTTTGCTCAAAGTTTAAAATTTTTAGTTATCGATCGTTATTGATTTTAATTGATTTTTTTAATTCGTTAAGTTTTAATTTATCTATTTAGGTTCTTTTCGTTAGTCACTAATGCAGCCCATATGGTTCGTAAAGATTCCTATCTTTCAAATATTTTCCAATTTGGTTGGCTGGATGGTAATGAAATAGCAAATAATGTTGTTTTGGGTACTGTAAATCAACCAGGTATGTAGTATTGACATCTTTTCTCTTGAATCTGATATTATATTTTTGTTTTTGGCCTTTTTATTGCATATGCTACTCACCGTTATGAATAAAGAAATGGATGCCATTCTATAGTGAAATCTAAAATGAGGCTTAATATTCTTATAATACATTACCCTTCATTAAATTATAGTCAGTATTACGGGCGGAAAAAATATTTTGTGTGTAGAAATATGCCGGCAATAGTAGTATTTCTCTGTCTTTAGGTTTACTAGTTTTCAACGTTACGAGTTATGAATATTATTCAAGCAGTGATGCTGTAAGTGTTATGACCGAAAAAAGTATTATTTCATTCTTGGAACGGATAGCGGCAGGTGATGAGCCACCTCTTGGAGGACGTTCGTTATCGCTGCGAATCAAACGCCTGTGTTTTGAAGTACCGTCTTGTGCATATTTTGATTCATTTTTAAGCGATAAATTTTCAGTTATTCCAAATTAGATATTTTGTTTTGGGGTTAGAATTTATAATTGTAGAAGGTTAGGATAAGTCAGGATTCGATACTGCACCTCTAATATAGATCAGTTTATTTTCGAATTTATCTGCTTTTATTTTTAGCATTTTTTCAACATTTTTTAAAACTATTTGCTCATTTCTAATACAGTCTTTTAAATGTTATATTTTATTTTCTACTGCTAAAGAGAACAGTATTTTCATTTCCCGAAGTACGTATAACTTGGGAATAAATATTTATTTCTATGAAATAAGTGAGCGTGTAAAAAATTTTCTTGAAAATTTCCAACTATTCGCTTTCACCTCCTGAAAAGAAGTTTGAGACAAAGAATTTCTATTGTAACTTAATTTGTAAAAAAAAATTGAACCTGAGTTGTAGAACGATTTTGAGCTATTCGACATCTAATAAGCAAATTTTGTACAATAGTCGCAGTTCAAATGAATTTTAATGGGTCACTACTCTTTTAGTTTTCAAATTCAAGTTTAATGATTTTCCATCAGGATTTCAGCTTTCTACAAACATAGCGGAAATGTTCAGAGCACAACCTCTGCTAACACTGTGTTTACTTGGAGTGCCGTTATCGTTCCTTTCATTAATAACTTATTGTATTTGTTCAACGGACTTCTCGGTGGACCGTGATGAAATTTATCCGGATGAAGATGATGACAGCTTTATATCAGGTAATTATAAGACTGTAAATTAAAGATAAGAGAATTATCAAATATTGAAGTTGAAGGCAGAAAAAAATTTTAACATGAAACTTGAAGATGACGAAAATCATCGAAAGGAAGAGTAAAAGTCGGTGATATGTGGAATTCTGCATGGAAGACATTACCGTAATAAAATTTATGGGGATGAGATCGAGCGGAAGCGTCTTCGTGCGAACCAGAATTTTAAGAAGCTTTAAGGATATGTCTAATTTATCCCACTTGTATTCGGATTTTGTTCAGTTTTGGATTTTGAAAATGTGTAGAATTACCACATTATTTTTCAAAAATAGTCGTGTACTTTATTATTATGCACTATATCTGATAAAAAAATTGTTGTGATAAAAACTTGTGCTATCCAATCATTCTTTAAAAAAATTGCCTAACCACATCAGGGGTTTATTTGAGCTAAAATTTTTTTTAACTGTTTCAAAAAGCTTTTTCCATTCTTTTAAATTGTTGTCAAGTAAACTGTTCGACTGATGGTCGTTTCGGCATCTTCATTTTCATTGATTCTCGAGGATTTTTTATGCTTTTGCAAGGAATTTATATTAATTTCCCCATGTGTTTTTTCGCTCTAGTTTGTAAGGTATTTATAGCACCATGACCACTTCCTACTTTTGAAGATTGTCATGAGAGTTTCTGATTTCCGCATGTTTTCCGCATGTTGGAATAGTTTTTATTCGGTCTGAGAAATAACTCTTTGTATAATTCGATTTATGCGTCAGAAAAGACTAGTTGTAGCAACAGCACGTGCCACGTTTACTATTATCTTCAAGATTTTATTACGCTCCGTGAGCATTTAATGTATTTTCCCGGTTACATTTTAATATATTTTTCAGGTGTTTGAATGACTTGCCGATATTTTGTAGTTCCAGGTGTGATATAGGTTAACTGAGGATGTAAAAATAAAAATATTTGTAAAACATCTAATTTTTGGCTTGATTTATAGAACTTTTAGAATTTATATCACTTTCCACTGTAATCCGCACGAATAACATATATGGCATGCCTGAGAAACATTTTCTTCACACAGATTCAACAAACAGTTTCTTATAAAATTATGTTTTTAATCATATTATTACCATGTTTTGGGCTCTCCTCAAACACACATGACTTGAGAATTTAGGACAGTATTGCCACAGTTGTTCTTATAACCCGAATTTCGCTAAATTAGACGTGAAAATAGTAGTTTTGCAGTGTTATACAATACATGGTAAGAAACATACGATGGTTGAAAAAAATCGATCAGATCTGTAGGAAGCAACCCAATAATTCATTTTATTAAAATGAAAAAAGAAGAAGCATCTACAGCTTTAGTCGGGAGCTATTTAAGTTGAAATAAATGATGCAATAAAAATTTGTACCAATTTTCATAATCTTCTTAACAATTTTAGATACCCAGGATTCTAAAGTGGAGAGTCAGAATCCTTTTTATTCCTTCTCTCTAAAAAAAAATATTTTATTTCTTCTCTCTAAAAAATAAGGCAAAAACAGGATTCAAGCAAAGACCATATTACTGATATCAATATACAGTTTTGAACATATTTTTTTATGAATCGTAAATCATAAAACATACCTTGCCACTCGCCAGTTATTTCAAACAAATACTCTACACAAAAAGGATAATATGTTCAGAACTAATTAATATTAACAGGCAGTGGGTTGTCTGGAATAAGTGATGAGAAAAACGATGTGATAAACGTGTAGCAAGTACTCCAGAAAACGACCCATGCGGTCGGTTCTCGTGGTTCTTCCTCATCAATTCCTGCCGTCATTGTTTCGTTTGTGTTTTCTTGTGCACCATGATCTTCTTGGCTCATATTGGCCTGAAGCACAGCTGATTTGTTTTATCATAGCAATTTGAAATTTTCTCTTTACTATTATCATTAGTTAAAGCATTTTCCCATCTTTGCTAAATACTACTCAAAAGATTTATATACAAAAGAACATAATGCAATACTTCAGATACAATGTAATATTCTAAATAATATGATAATTGAAAAGGATATTATTAAGTGTTGCTCCAATGAAATCAGAATTTTTTTTCAGGAGTCTTTAAGATTTGGTATACCTGTTGCGGTTGGCGAACATTATCAACGGCTACGGCAACTTCTCTATCCGCTCTTTCACGAATATTTCGATCACGCCTTGCTTGTATGAACCAAACTAGCAAGACAAATACCAGTACACCAAAAAATCGTTCCGCAGATGAATACACATAAACCAGCATTATCAGGAAGCACATTCGTATTGCCTGAAATTTTTTGCGAAAAATTATTAAGCTTTCCAGCATGCTTTTTTTAAAAAATTTAATTCGCTGCTAACTCATTTTTGGAAAAAGACTACAATTACTGAACAATTTCAGCATGTACCTTATAAATGACATCCAGAAAATCCCGCTGCTGGCCATCTACATCACCAGCCACTGCTTCTTGAACTATACCACCCGCAGCAGGAGCTGCAGCCAAATTTGGTTCGGCAGCAAAAGCCTAAAACCCATTAACTTCTTATATTCGAAATAAATAGCTGGTACGTCAGCCGCAGACGTCTGCTAGGTGTTTTATCCATTATTTTAGAATGTATTCTTGGAAGAAATGAAAAAAAAATTGAATAGATATGCTGAAAATTGATAAAAATAGGGACAAACTTCAGAAATGGAAAATTGAATATGTCATGGAATGAAAATGTGTGGTACTTCTGAAGACCAAAACCCTCTAAAACCAACTGGTCTCCAAAATATCTAATCATTAAAGATGAAACTATCCAAGTGACTAAATTAGGAGAACTCAAGTAAAAAAAACAACTAAAATCCAAAGTATGCCTGAAATTCTTCGATGTACTGCAAAAAGAAATTCTGAACATGAGGTGTCAGTATTTTCGAAGTTCGAAAATACTGACACCTCATGACCAGAATTTTTCGAAATCGGAACAATAAGTGGTCTGGAGAGATCAATTAGCATTTCATTAATAACATAAGCTTATAAGTTTGATTTTATTTATTCCAATTAAAACGAGTTATTATTCATAAAAGAAAAGAAATATACTCCTTGTGGTTGATTAGCTTGCTCTGGGTGTAGTACCGCCTGCTGACTGTTCAATAGGAAGTGAGATGGAAACTGAATACCACTGGAACTGTTTTCCAACGCAGACATCATCTGATACATACTGCAACGTATTCACTTTTTATGCAAATGATATTGTTTCTGAAGAAAGCTAAAATACAACTAAAGCAATAATGCTCATAACACAGAATACTAGTTTTCATTTCAAGAACTGAAAAATCTTTATTCCCATTCACTACGCGCTGAAGGTGTGACACGTGATTTCGCCGTTGCTAAATGAGTGAAAGCTTCTTAATATTTTGAGCCTTCTTAAGTTTATGAAAAACTCTGAAACTTACTAATTATTATATGAAACCATATATGCTTGATACGCGCTTTGAAATTGCGCACTTGAAGAAATAAGCATTGGTGGTGATGTAGCAAAGCCTCGTTGAGTAGCAGTGCTAGCCCATAAAGGATATGTGTAAAGTGGGAAGGCACCGTTGTTAACATTATGATTTTGTGCTTGTGCTGCAGTACCCAAAGAAGTTGAGCTTGCTCTGAAATGATGTTACAAATTTGTATAATTAAAAATCACAATATTAGTAGAACCTGTAGAATTTCTTTTGAAACTTAGAAAAACGAAATTAAGAAAGAAACAGAAGTTACTGTATGTGATCAGCAGTACGCCTTCTAAGCACTGATGTTCCCACATGAGCATTAAAGTCTTTGGGAGGACAAACAAGATGTATAACGTGAATATTTCCATCATCGATTGGTCGAAGTTCAAACACTGATTTAAGGGTATGATCGTCATGCAAACAATGTCCAGCATAGATCAGACGCTGTTTTTTAACTTCCTGGAAAAGGAAATAGAAAAAAGCCAGTAATTTTTAACGACAACAGTGAATAAATTCATCATAAAATTTATAACCAATCTTCCTTTACTGTGTATTAAACTTGGAGTAAATAATTTTCTGCATTTCATGGAAAAAAGATTGAAAAGCAAAATACTTTTCTCTTCTCATCTATGCAGATTCTTCTGCTTTTTTTTCAGATCTGCATCTGAATTTGCATTATTTTAGAAATGAAACAAAGAACAGCATGTGCTAGACTTAAGAAAAGACTACCTACCGGTTTCGAAGGACAATCAATGGCAAGCTTTTCTTTGAGTTGAAGAACAGTCCATGACGAAAGACATCTTATGCGTAAATCATCGAATGATTGCAGCGCACACCGTATTATCAAACGGACATTTTCATCACTTGACTCACTCATTCTCCCCTTTAAAACATTAATTCAAAGTGAATAATAAATAAATATATCCAAGAATGTCAGTAAATAATTCGGAAAGCGTTGATTAAAAATGAATAATAAGGATTCAAAAAAAAGTCATGTAGCCCTCACCAACGTAGGTAAGGCCTTTTTTGTAAATTACACTCCTATACATAAGATATTTTTCTTTCCAATACCAGTCCTTTATTAACTGCTCCCGAAATGTTGGGTGAACATATTTAAAAATTATATGTGAATAATGAATGTAGAGACGAAAAAAGCACGTAATCAATTAAGTACAGAAAGAATAAGTGACAGTCTTAGAAAGCTTGAATGAAAAAGATTTTCAAGCTAAGTAGAACTGGATATTCCCGAGTACTTTCGAGATAAAGCAAAAACGTCACGAAACATTTTTCAGTCTTAGAGAATTATGAATGAGAGCAATTTAACAATCAGTAGTTGAAGAGATTTCCTTTTTCTATCAAATATTCTGAAACGTGGTTTTCTATCAAATATTTTGAAACGTGTTTTGCATGCTCCTCTTAAGAAGCCTTATTTCATAATTGGTTACTCCAATTCACAACAGATGATCTCTGAGTATTTAGCACAAAATTCAGCTACAGCCATTGTGAAATAAAAATTCGGAACAATTTCCAAGAAGGCCTTTACAAATATTTTTTCAGAAAAAATGAGCAGAAAACAAAAAAAATGCATACAATTTAAATGATTTTGAAGCAAAACAAACTCTGGAAAGGTAACAAAGCATCACACAATTTACAACTGCGATCAAGCAGTTTCGACAAAAAATCCCATCAGAGAAAATACCAGAAAAAAGAAATTCTGCCAAAATCACGCGTATGTTATCTTGTACCTTTCAAATACTGAATTCGATCGACAATAACAACCGCGTGCAATTTGAAGATCTTGTTGAAAGTAATTTAAATTCAATTTTAATCAAAATTAATTCGAGAAATTACTAAGGCAAATGATAATTTAAGTATTCAAATTGCTTATGTATTAAAACAATGTATTAAGGCTGATCTTCGTGAAATTTTTCTAAATATACGTCGCTTGTCATTTTCAACCTCCAATTAATTGAGGTTGATGAATATTCACTGAACTATATTAATTCACATTTAAATGACAGTATAATTAATGACACAAAAAACTGAACAGTTTCAAGCATGGTTATTAGTTAGTCAAAGCTAGGAATAATCTCTCATACAACCTCACCACAGTTCACCCATTTCAGCTAAAAAAAATCTGGCAGTACCTTTATTTGAACGATCCCATAAAATGAAATTCGAGAATAATCAAGCTAGATTTATGGCAACAAACACCTTTCAACTGGTTTCCAACTGATGTAAAGAACCCGGCCGAGCCGTACTCCGGCCACTACCCCGTTGTCTACATCACGTTGTGACACGTGAAAAAAGGTAATTTATAGCTCGTCCCTTTCAAATTCCTTTTCTTTTTTACTGCTATAGGTTAAGGGAGATGTAGGTGCGTTACTGTGTGTGATGTTTTATGGCTCATACAGACGTGAATGTCTCACCTTACCTTATCCTTCTCAAAAGAGAGTTTTTGAAAAAACGCTTGAATAATAAGAAAGTTATTACATGTGCATCTCAACCAAACAACTGGTTACTCGTCATCAATCAGACTTTGAGAATCTCGAGAAAACTTTTCTCGTTAAACTTAAAGCGTATTGTCAGTTTTTAAAAAAACTTTTGAAAATTCAACAAAACTGGATCTTTAAGGGTGGAATTCCAGAACTTCCTGTGTGTTGTAACACGTTTCAGTGACATGATATTTAGAGCAGTGCTGGGAGATATTTCATTGTCAGTGACATCTAATTCCGCTTCAGACAATCTTGATACAAAATGTCTGAATTCTCAGACTGGTATTTTGGTGTACCAGAAATCACCAGATACTGGTTTACCGGAAGTGTCGTTTTTCCACTGCTAGGCCGATTTGGTTTATTCAGTCCTTACTTAATGCTTCTTGAATGGAATCTTTTTTTTCACAAATTCCAGGTTTGTATTTAATTAAATTTTTGGAAAGTTCCCATCAAAAACTAAGAATGTTGTGAATCAAACTTATACAAGCAGTTTTGGAAGATGACTATTGATTTTGTCAATATCGCCAAGAAATACAATTCTACATCACTTGTTTTGCTTGGATTTTTTAGAAATATTCTGACTGAAAGCATTTTGCTGCTTTCAAGTATACGATACTTTCCCAGAAATTTTACATACTGTTTCAGATATGGCGACCAGTAACAGCATTATTTTATTATCCACTAACGCCTTCTTCGGGTTTTCATTGGCTATTAATGTTGTATTTTATGTATAATTATTCTCGTGGCATTGAAACTGGACTCTTTGATGGTCGACCAGCCGACTACCTTTCCATGCTTATTTTCAATTGGATCATTTGCACCGTTAGTTCTTCATGTAATCAATATCCTTACATGATGAATGAATCATTGCAAATCTAAAATGAAAGATTCCACGAAATTAACTTTTTTTAAGGTTTCCAGGCAATTTCATGAAGTTTTTTGTCACATATATCGACTATCACAGATTGGTAGCAAATTTAAAAACATTCATGTCGCAACATTCCCCGAGGTCATCGAGCAACTTTTTTTTGTTGCTACAGCTACGACTAGAACGCGTCGATATTGTTAATGTGAAACCTTTAAATTCTGTATATATGAATCAACTTTTCTAAATTAGCTGATGCCTTTATCGCTTTTAGATAATATGTTTGGCGGCTGGTGTGTATTTCCTACTGGAACCAATGGTTCTTAGTGTGTTGTACATATGGTGTCAAATGAACAAAGACCAAATTGTGCAATTTTGGTTCGGAACACAATTTAAAGCAATGTATTTACCATGGATACTTGTCGGTTTCAATATGATTCTTCGAGGGGGTGGTATGAATGAATTAATCGGGATTCTCGTTGGACATGCTTATTATTTCTTGATGTTCAAATACCCGCAGGATTTCGGCGGTCGCGCTTTTTTGCAGACGCCACAAATCTTGTAAGTTCTGTTCATTATTTTGTATGGTATACAGAATAGTTTCCTCATAACTATAGCTTAGTTATTTCTACTGCATTTAAAAATCTAACTCTTTCCAATCTTTTCTGAGTCTAAAATTCTTCGAGTCGCGTGAAGTTCGAATTACTTCTCTGCCAGTAGCTCGGTATTGCTTTAATGCTTTGATTGAACCTTATTGCCGATGTTTCCGCGCTGCTAACATTCATGTAGATTTGGAGTCATGGTCTTTCTTAATTCATGTGTAAAGTGCGCGGGCCATCCAACAAGGAACTGATTAGATCAGTTAGATCATGAAATAAGTTTTTATTTTCAATTTTTTATAGGTACAGATGGTTCCCAAATCGGACGAGCGTTGTCCACGGATTTGGTCAGGCACCATCATACAGAAGAACAGATACAGGTGACGGTGGAGCAGGTAGACATAACTGGGGACAAGGCCGTCCGTTAGGCGGTCCAGACTGAGAATTTATAATTTTCGATTCTATTCATGTTTGCATCCGCATAGAAAGATCCTTCAGATTTTATCCGCAATCAAATTATTGATGGCCATCATTCAGCATTTATGCTTTACTCCCGTCTGGAACTCAATTTTTCGTCAGGATCATCCCGCTGCCAGATAAGAACGTTCTTGTCCTTTACTCCAGTTACGTCCGGTCCATTTATTGCTTGGAGTGTTTGAGATACTTTCAATGATTTCATTTATATTTTTTAAAATATGTAAAATCACATGCTTTCCTGACACATTACTTCAATTAAGCCGAAACGTTTCACAGAGATAGTTAGGGAGGATTCATTTTCGGAACAAAACGGTCGGAATATATTGTAATTACTGGAAGACTTCATATGAAGGCGGACAATTGCAATGTTTAGAAAGGACCATAGAGTTTATTATGATATGCTTAATTTCACAGTTTGGAATAGTGTAGTGTGCGTACTTCAGGTAAATTAGTAGGCTTTTCCCATCATTTTATCATTAGCGAAAAGGCACTCAACAAATTAAGCATCACGAAAATAGCTCTCTGGATGTTAAGATTACAGGGAACCGTAATGTATGAAGAGGCCAATGAAAGAAAAAGCTTGAAGCTCCGATTTTATAAGAAAACAAGTAGAAAATTAATCTTCATACATATATGGAAGCAAAGAAATGAAGACTACGATGTAAAGATAAAAGAAGTAAAGCGATGTAGGATCCCCGTACTACTGTAGAAGAATAAATTAAGTGCTGAATGGGTTAATTTTCATTCCTAGAAATAACTTATAGGTTGGAATTTAAACATTGAGAATATATCCAAAACATGCTCTTGTTTGCATACAAATAATCAGCAAATAAAGTGGTTTAGTTTCCAATGGGACTTTCGGAGGCCTCGAGGAAAGGCAATGTGGCTGGGAGTTCAGTACTCTCAATTTGCTGAAAAATAAGAGCTCTATGTATTCACATAATGAATATTTACAATAAACCAAGCGTTTTAAAAGCGTTTTGACGAAATTCCTTTTAGGAAGCCTTCAAATATTTCCACTTGAGAGAACTACGACACTACTGAAGTGAGATAAAAAAAAATAAAAAGTATTCCAAAAGTTTCTCAGAAGTTCCTGAAGTTGCTGCTATACAAAAAATAGAAAATAATGGATTATCTTATTTGCGAGAAGAAAATTTGTCGATTGATATAACATTATATATAACATTAGAGCGGGAATAATCCTAATAGCACATCTTGCAAGTGAGAGGTAGTAGCAATCGCTTTTTGGTGCCGTATTTGCGCTCCATATTGAACTAATCCGGCAATCGTAATCAGTTTAGATAATAAGTGTGACAGCATGCTTTCATTTCCATTATATCTTCTGTAGTACCTTTGCATTCGAAGGCGAAGTGACGGTTGTACGCAAAGCTTTGGTTGGTAAATGTCGTGAACTTCTGACAGACGATGAGTGCGATGGATTAATTGCATCACTTCTACTGCCCACTTGTTGTTTTTGCCTATAACGCCTTCGTTCCAGTTCACACCGTAAACATCGTGATAAATTTGCTTCACGAAGACAAATTTGGTGATACAAATGACCTGAAACATTCTGCTTAAAATATAAGTCTAGCCAACAAACAACAATTTGCGAAATTCCTTCAAAGTAAATACCGCATAGGCCTTTCAGAAGAAACTTGCAATGCCGGCTATCGGGTCATTATAATTGCCTTATCTGCTGTAGTTGCAATACTACTCAACTGATGTTACTTCCACATTTCTATGAGTCGATGGTGAGCGGATCCGGTAAAAGGGAAACTTCCCAAAATTCAAGAGGAAAACTATAACGTTCAAATACTTACCGCAACGAAATACTGTGATGTAGCCGTCGTCATGTGTAGCTCGCATCTTCAGTGGTAGAGTACAACAAGTACAGTTGCTAAAAACGACTAGAAATTTTTTAAAAAGATGAAATTTATGAGAAATTATTCGATGTTCGAGGAAATATCAAGATTACGATTGCAGAAAATGCTTTTACGTGAAACCATATGAACACTAACCCATCAAGCGAAATAGTTAAGCTTCCACTCAGTGACTTTGAGCTGTTTACTATACCAGAGACATCGAAAGCTGATACTGACGAAACTGTTCCAATATCTTCGACTGGCGAAATTTTGAGCTCTGTCAACAGATCAGTGATAACCTGGAACAATTCAAAACATCAAATATAGTGTCAAACGAAACAACAAATGTGAGAAATCCTTTAAAGAAATGTTGATTCGAAAATGATAATATAAATATGGAAAGAAATGAGTTTGAAATGAGTGGCGGTGATACGAAACAGGATATTATATGTACATACATGTCCTATTTTCAAATTCTAACGGATAGTTTTGATGAATATACTGAAATGAACACCAAAATCTATCGTTAACTATTCGATTGTGGTATGCACGAAAAATAAACTTCATTATTAGGAAATTACAACTATTATATAGCCACATCTATTTACACCAAAAATCACGGACCAAATTTCAAGTGACGACTTAAATTTTGATACCAAAACTTCACTTCATAAAACCCTCACCTCCTTTGGCATCAGGTTGAAAAATCTATTACGCTCGTATGCTTTCATAACAGCAAGCCACTGCCAATCCTCTGTTGTTAAATATGACGTCAATTCCTTATTGTTCTTCAGAAATTCGAAAACTGTACTGAGACCTTCACAGTGACGCATACAAAGAAGAAGCTATAATCAGACGGGTTAAAAAAGATTTTAGTCAGCGGTTCATGTCACACCTTTAAATTTTTTAAAGTTTTTATGATTTCAGTTGGGAACTTTCTGGCAACTGCATTTTAATCTAATAACCATCGTAGGGAAACTTCGAATTACTTTTATATCATTGATGATAATACGTCTGCCCGTTAGCAAAATCGAGTAATTTTGCCTAGCTTGCAACTGCAAAAGATCCATCTTTGCTCACCAGCACTAACTTATCCATAAATTATTCACTATAATTTAAATCGCATATTTCTAATGACCTGAGAAATCTTCACGGCTGGCAACCACAAGAACTTTTTCGAACATTCTTTAAATCCCATTTCTCTTGAAATTTCAAGATGAGAATCAGCATTAACCTTACTTTGGATTCTAGAAGGTTCTGAAAAAAATTTTGTCAATCTTCCCAACATAAAACAGTTTGAATAATGAGAAGTTGGACGTGAAGAAGTTTAAAAAATTTCTATAATTTTAAATCACCTCAAAATTCTTCATCTTTATTTTCAGATTAACTAACTTTTCGTAACTATTGTGATATTTTTGAAAAATACTCGATATACTAAATCTTCGTTCCAATCCCTGGCTTCCATTTGCACTAAATTTTCAGTGCATTTCTTTTCCATGCTTCTTTTTTCAATTCGTTCTACCATTTCTCGAAGTGACACAGCTTTTTGTTCTGAAAAATAGGGAAGCACCATTTTTATGTATTCTTTTTTTTGTTTTCCAGTTATGAATATTTAAATAATTAATCTTTGATATTCAACAGCACCTTTCTTACCCAGGCCTGCTAATAAAAGTTCTTACGTTAAAGAGAGCATAGTGGATTTACTGAAATGCCCTATAATGATGGAAACGGACTTAAATGATCATCGAATTCGAAAAATGTTGCACACGTATTACACAGATTTCCCGAGGAACTTTCACTACTGTTCGCAGCAGCGGCGCGATATTCGAACAACTTTATCCATTGATCAATCGCTACGGGTACGCCACCAACAGAAAACTGGTCAACGGTAACCCGTAACTGTGACATTTTTGGTCCAAATGTCATAACATGATGCCAAAGTCTAGAAAATTCTTACAACAATAAACCGAAATTTAACAAACTTTTCAGAAACTTCTGATACTTCATCAGGCTATATAAAGCGAGACTTACACGAATATATCATAAAAATAGCTATGATGTAATCTTCAAAAAAAAGAGTTTGCAAAACCCGTTTTCTTGGTTAAAATTTCAATGACCAAAATTATTTAACAAAATAACAAACTGAATAGAAAGATCTATAAACATCACGTCTCAGCAGTCTTTGTAATGGTAACAGAATGAATTTTTTATTTTTCTATCGATTAACGCAATAAGATAGGTTAAAACCAATTGTCCAACGCCTACTATTGAGAACCCCTACAATATTTGTAGCACACTCAATTCACTTAATTTAAATCCGTAACAAGTTTTCAAAAAAAAAGAAGATGGTGGTATGCGCAACTACAAACATATTGCTAGTACTGATACAATGTACAAATCTATTTAAAAAATTATTTCAAAATATTTTATTGAAAACGATGTATACTGTTTTAAATGGGATTTTCTTATTGCTAATTAGCTTTCTGCAAATTTTCTTGCAATAAAAACTTCCCGAGAAAATCAAAATTAGCACTCTAATTATATTATTTCTTATTAATTAATATATCAAATACATCAATTAATAATATGACATTTATGAATCAGCAACAATGTTAGTCCGTGAGTCACACAATCCAAGAACAAACCTGTGCAAGCCACAAACTTGGCAGTAAACCGAATTTTCTCCACCCGGCTTCTTAGTTCCTGACAAGGCTAATGTTTGGGGTGAGATGGTGACTTCATCGGAATGAATCAAACACTCATTTTCACCACTCTTTGTCACCGTTGCTTTTAAGCTTTCCGTACCAACTGAGCCGTTCTCCTCATTATCACCATTCATCGTCCAGATCATTTCAATCGGTTGAACAGCCACAAAATTTTTTTCAATAACGTAACTTTTATTCAGCAATCTGCAAAACTTATTGGATGTACCTCGAAGAAACTTCAGCCACGAATAAGAAAGCAATCCCAATAAGTTATCAAGGGAGTTTAGAAACCAGGAACTGAAAATGCGGAGTGTGACGAAGATTTAATCAAAAAACTAGAACCATTATCAAGACAGCAATAGGTGTCTACACAAAGATGATACTTAGATTACAAACAGATTTACAAGTTAATGATCTATTTTAACCCAATATCATCCTCTGAAGACTGATCGATGGTATTATATCTTGAACCTTCGTTCTTTTCTGGAGTTTCATTACAGTTCAAGTTCAAACTTCTATTGGATGTGAGATTACGTTTTATTGATTGCTGCTCTGAATTCCATTGACAATGTTCTAACTTCTCATATTTGATTTCAGGCAATACCTATAAATACATGTTTTTTAAAAAGGAGATCAAATGCCATATTCTTGTACACAATTTAACTTCGATATGAAATTAAATAAGTCCGGTCATTAGTGGTAATGTCCATTCACGTCGAAATATGTCCATTCACAACATTTTCTCTATATCACTTTCATAATGACCATTTAACGCAACCACTTTCAAAAAAAATACTTTAAAATTAAAGAATCAATGAGTTATGATTCGGTAATTACGTTTTTTCTCCCAAGCGGCTTGATTCCTTTCACAATGCGAGCTCCCCGTCTAGTTCGACGTATTGTTCGAAGGTGCGCTACATTGACATTTACGTTTAATGGCATGCTTTCCACGCACTTTTCGAGCATTTCCAGTGGGTCACGTCGTCCGAAGAGAGTTTTAAAATCAATCTAAATAGAACACATGCATTTTAATATAAGTGATGTGGTTCTCAAAACAGAAAACATTAACCACAACTTTAAAAGTGAATTGCACAATATAAGATATCTAAAAATTGCTTTGAAAATTTTCTAGAAAGCTGACAAAGCAAAGTTCAAAAAGACCCAAGTTCACTTCAAAAAATCTCAAGAATAATCATCGAAAATTTATAAAATCAAACATTAATAAGATTTAAAACATCTGCATATCTAGCAAGTAATTAACCGAATAACTGGCTACTAAATTCGAAAGACTCAATTAATCATAATTCAACTTACAGACACCAATTTTTTTGTAAAATCAGGACAACCTCAACAATCACTGCAAAAATGCGAGAAATAAATGCTTGAATTTAATCCAGATTTTACGTTTATCACTTCATGCATTTCACATGATAAATTAGTTTATTGATGGCAGACATATCAACAGTCCTTAGGAACAAAAAACTCACTCGCGTACTTCGCTGTATTTGCTTTTGCTCATAGTATTTATGGTCTCCAATCAATCGCTGAAATTTCTCTGCTGCGACCAAATCTTTAGTTATATCTTTAATCGTTACCTTCAACACATAAAATATTTTGATGGTGAATAAACAACAGTATGTAAATATAAAAACTACTTTCATTTCGGAGCAATATTCTCTAGGTAAACTAACATCACCAAATGAAAGGACTGTGAACTGTGAAAGTTATTTTTGACTTTAAAACATTTCCTAAAATGTCACTTTACTGGAATAATGGTCCGAGAACAGCAAATGTCTTTAATTTGAAAAAAAAATGTGCAATCGGGCAGTGATTTCTCGAAATCCTGAGTGAACTTGATTTAATAACTGAATCTAATCTATTATTGAATAAGAAGATAGAGAAACCTGCTGATCAAACAAAATTAAGCTATTAGAGGCATCCAGCAGTGTACGTAGAGACTCCGCACTGCCATTACATACCAACTGATTTGCTGGTGCCTTTTCGGCATCCAACTGTAAAAAGAAAATGAGACATTGAGCTTTTAGAAAATTTAGTAATTTACAGAGCAGCTGAGTAATTAAATGCCATTACTGGAAATTACAGCATTGGAAAACAAGGATACAAGCAAAGAGAAAGTCTCACCAACAGGATTCGGGCCTCACTTATTAGTTTCCTATGACGTTCTTCTGGATCTTCAAACTTTACTTCATCTTCACCGATTCCCATCATAGTCCTCCGATTTAACGGCAAACTTCTTCGTTTCCAATCATCTCTTCTGGTTAACAATTGCCATAAGGGCAGCAATAGTTATTACATGAATTTAAAACAAAAAATTAAAATCAAATATGACCCGGAAAGTTATCAACAAAATTTTGGATAATTTATATAATCATACACTTTGATACGCAGAGAACTTTTGCTCCTTAATCGCAGAGGTGACAGTGCTCTAAAAGCGAAATCATCTCCATAACCACTATTTTGCATAACTTGAACGACGCGATGAATATCTAAAGCACAGAATTGTACGGATAAGATTAGAAAAATACGAAAAAAGGATTATAGAAATACAAAGAACCTGAATTGAGCTGATGAGGTGCTGCTTTTGGTTTCCTCTCAATATCAACATTTGTTTTTAATTCATCCAAAATTTTATGCAAAGCATTAAGCACTTCCTGCAAAATATGAGAATATGAGAAGGCTGAAAGATAAAGTTTTTATTATCAAGGCAAAATCTTACTGGTAAAAGTAAATCCAGACCTTAAAATACATGCATTCTGGAACTTACATGTGTCATGTATGATTTAAAGTGATGAAATGTTATTTTGTTGAGGATATCCTCCAGCTGCTTGCAATTCCATACAGTGACTGAGTTGTAACCCTTGTTCATGATATAATCAATGTAAATTAATTGTGCAGCCTAGAAAGCACTTACTTCATCGCATAATTTTACACCGTCTTCATGCATGCTATTATGCCTTTTTGGAGTTATCAGTACAATTAGCCCTTACTAACACAATAGCCCTTACCCTGTTATGTTTTCACCGGAAAATGATAACAGCTATAACAAAGTCAAACCCGATTAAAAAACTGCAGAATAATGAACCTGCGAATAACACTGCCTCCAATGAAGTTTTTCTACAGCTTTCTCAATCGTAAACAACGTTAACTTTCGTAAACTACCTGTTTCCGATAAGAGAAAGACATCAGCATCATTTATTGCATACTCATTTATTGAACCTGAAATTTCTTTTTGCCTCATTCTTCTTTTTGCAAGACTCCATTTCCTTTTATTGCTTTTGAACTAAGAAGTAAATGAAATACGTACCTAAACAATCCACTGTGCTCATAAGAACCACATGACTGTCCATAGGATCGATTAAACAAAACGTTGTATCTGTTTTCGTTATCAAAAATAAACTACTGAAAAACAGCTTTTAATGTAATACTTAGCTTACGGGTACAACATATATTCTGAAAACATGACACTAAATACAACTACCCTGATATCAAATTAATGAATTTCAAAATGTTAAACGTCACACGTCATACGTATCAAGCCTAGGATAATATCGACATTACCCTTCAAGACTTTCAGAGCTTTGCATTTTTAAACAATATAATGTAAAATCAAAATTGAAAGCAAGTTTACTTTTGACATTTGATCAATGTCAAAAGTCCGAAATTGATACTCCGAATTTCATTAACATTAGCCACGCTGTCAAATAAGTTTTCGTCCCTGAAGGAGACCACAGGAAATCGACAAACAGTTCTCAAATTTCGGTAGTGATGAGTGCTGCAATAAGAAACAGTTTGCTTAGGACTGGTATGTTTTGCATTGAATCAAATCTGTCCACAACAGAAATATCATGACCTAACAAGCACATAACAATAATAATTGAATACGTCTGTTCAATTTTCTAAAATTTAAATAAATTCAACGATTTACCAAATTTTAGATAAAAATTATCCTGGGAAATATGTAAACCGAAACCTGTATACTACACCGCGATCGTTAGCTTCCCACAGTCGACCGTTAGGACGACTTGCGAAAATTACTGTCAACTCGTTACATGTATTTGTACTCATCGGTTTCACGCAATTACTTTCTTCTCCATACCATGATTTCCTTTTCTTTTGGTTAGAATAGAATACAGCGCCAAAATGACCTTTCCGTAACCTTTTTCCGACCTTAACTGTTTGATGAAATCCAACTTTCAAGATTGCTACCATGAAAAAATGTTATTCGCAAGTGAACAACATATGGTGGTGAATTAGAAATAATGACAAATAAATAATCCTTTAGGGAACTTCTCAGAAAAATCGTCTTATAAAGTAAGGAAATAAAATATATAAATGAGCAATCCACATCATTCATTCAGTTTTGCATAAAATTAACGTAAATTGGATAAAATTTAGTTATTAAAAGCCTAAAACTATCACAAAAATAAGCAGCGCATACTTATACAAATATTCATAAAACTTGTGAACAAAAATTTATTACACAAAACAACAAAATTCGTGAACTAACCTGAATACAACTGTGAGTTCTCAAATCACAAACACAGCACCGTGTTAAAGTAGAGGCAAGCAGAAAATCATCACGTAAATCAAACTGAACAATTTCACTGTCTGTTTCAAATATAATATCAGTTGGTGAGCGAAAAAAGTTGCGGTTCTGAAATAATCTAGTTTTAATTCATACTTTGATCCAGGGAAATTAATCGACTTTTTATAATAATATATCATGCACGAATCTCACTTTAAAAGAAGTTTACTGGACTCAAAAACATGACAAGTCTTACATGAATCAGAGTCCGACTAATTCGTCCTTTTGTGTCTCCAGCATATACTTTGGAACTATCACTGCACCAACGTAATTCCGTGACATGAGTTGGCTGACCATATTCATCTGCAAAATTTTTTTAATTCAACATTTTTATGGGAATTTTGTTTTTGACAAGAGAAATGTAGAAGAAACTGGTAGTGTAGAGTAAGTTACACAGTTACCCAGTGGCATTTATCTCATTGTAAAGATTTGCTTAAGACATTCTTTAAAACAAAATTAAACCATTAATCTCAACTTTTATAAGTAGGAAATTCATATTACAGAAGTCCACAAAATCTAATTTTAAAAAAAAGTACCTTTTTGCAAAAAATATTTGTGTTTTTTGATAATATCACTTTTTTATGATCTAACGCTTCTTCAAATCATAAAATTGCAAACGAAAGACAAAGCTCACCTGTACCAACATGACTTTCGCTAGAAAAAAACGTAATAGGATTTTGGCCAATGTCGACAAGGACAGTAATTGTCAGGGAGCCCTGTTTGCTTGCCGCTGCCAAATATTTCTCATTGGGTGATATAGATAACTATAACTGGTTGAAGTTTTGCCAGAATTTCAATTAAATTAGTAAAAAATTGAATTCTTACAAAAGTTTGTAGGGATTCATACAAAAATTTGTAAGCTTGATGTGATGTTAATTGACAAAGACTTCATATTTTCAAGGTTTTTGCAAGTAAAAACTGAATCAAAAATCTAGCGTAAAGTTAAGGTACCAGGGATAAATAAAGGAGAAACTATGTCAATATAATAACCTTGATAACAGGTCCATCCTTGATGGAAATAACTTGTATTGGAACAGAGCTTATGCGATTCCGATATTTCGAAGCAAACCTTGTAAATAAGTAAACTGTTCCACTTGTCGACCCAACGGCTAAGTAATGAGTAGACACATCCAAACAGGTATACTGAAAGTGAAAACAGCCTAATTTAATAAAGGTTCCAAATTTAGATCTGTTTGATCACTTTAAACTATCAAGAACAAGGTACCCCAATTAAAACTACGATGAGGAAGAAAAAGAACGGTTAATAAGCTAAAATTAAGAGATAATAAGAAGCCCAAAGCTATGAATGTTAATTCGAAAATAAAAATTCTCTTGATTTCAACAAATTTCCGGGTGTAACAATGATTCAATTCTTGAGTTATCCATTTCTACATTCTTTAGCATACTTATTACAACGAAACAACGAACTGAATGTAAATTAAAATTATGGAATGGAGACTTGTCGATCTATATTAGATGGAACAGGATATCAAAGACAGTGCACTAACTTCATCAGACATACCGTACTGAAAGTTTGTGATGTCAAACCTTAATTCGAGTAGATGAACTCGTTGGAAAGCTTAATTCCTCCAGAGACGTTAATTCAACGAAAAGATGAGTAAGTGGTGAACCACTGCATTCGTCTTCCTTCTCTTCTTTTACTGTCTTCGTGCTATTACTGCATTCAGGGTTGCAGAAATCCATGCTATTGAGTTTGAGTTGAAATTTTAGCTAGTGCATAGGAGTGATTCTACATCAGGAGATCTACCGAAGCACTTTTATGTCATATCTGCAACGTAAAAATTGTTTTTTTGATGGAACAGTAGTGAGAATCGATCAAATAATATGTTCTTTCGAAACAGACAAATACGGCAATTTAACAACGATAGTTAAGAGCAATAATGATAATGAGACAATGAAAATAACAGCAGTGGTAATAAAAAGGGAATGAATAGATAACGATGACAATGAAAATGATAATATTAATGATAATGTTACCAACAGTAACACAATAGTAATGGTAATGTTAACGATTACTAATAATAATAAGAGCACACTAATAATAATAAGAGCACATTAATGTTACACATTAATTATATCGAAATGGAAACTCAAATATCAAAACTCGACAATTTAACAATGAAAACTTAAATGGATAACAAGTAGCAATCATATCATAAATCTGGTAAAATCATTAATTATCTTAACAACAACTGTAGCAAAAGTATACATCAATTACAATTATCAACTAAATTATGGATAGGACTACGTCGTTGCTAAAAAACAAAGGAAAGCGAAAATAAGATGTTTAAAAAATATGAAATTCAGGAATAGAAACTGAAAGAGGATATGGACATCTCGCATATCTTACAATTGAGAAGGAATATCAGAAAACAAACGGAAACTAGTGTTTGGCATTGTAAAACATAGCGATAATTATTGCAATAATGTAATGGAGAAATAATGCGGGAAATATCTAGGAATGAAACAATATCAAAGGAGCAATTATTGGGAATGTTACAAATACTGAGAACGCTTTACTGACTCTAACATCCTGAGTTAGGGTCCGAATAATGAGGTTCTAAAATACAGAACCGAGTGGATTAAGCACGCAAAGGATATGATATGTTCATCCACAACATATCAGAACATTACAGGAGTGATGATGTAATACAAAGCATTATCAATCAAAAGAGGTCGAAGGTTATCCACAATTGATTACAGTTAAGCGCAGTGAGCAGATGTAGGCATTGACGTCTTGCTGCTATCTCGCTGCAACACATAGAAGAGACTCTTAATTGAAATTCGTCCAGCTTTAAAATTTTCAATCCAATTTTTCAGAATGACAGCTAAAAAGTTCAAAGGAAGATTCGAGGATTGCACAAGCATAATAGCGAGTAGCTCCAGGAACTAAGCTCTTAAAGTGGTCAACTGTCTCTTCGATATGTTCCTATCAAAATGCAAATTTCAAACAACTGGAAAACATTAAATATATTCTTTAGATTAAGAAACAAAAAGCTTTGAATATAGTATTCTCAGACTTTCCCATAACGCCTTATCAGTATTTTCATTAATCCGACTACTCATATCTTTTTGCCGTAAATACTCTATCGCGACACACATTCCTATAAACTCATTTAAGATTTTGAGCATTTCGGCATTTTTTAATAATTGCTTAGGCCTTTTAGAAAAAGGAAGTATTTGATAAAACGCAGAAAGACCTATAAAATGTTAAAGTTGATTGGATGCAAAGAAAGATGCTTTTCTGTATTCTTCGATCTGTCGTATATCATTAAATCTTTTAAACTTGACAGTCTTTTCAGAACAGAAATAGTATATTTCTAAATTTAATTTATGATTTTTACCGAAATAGAATGAAAAGTTCAGTAAATCTCCAAATCATACTACAAATCATACTTTTGATCATTATTTCAAATCACACTTTTGATAGTTGTTCCCATGATCTCTCTATACCTCACTTTTCTAATCAGTATGGAAATGACTAACATGAGCAGTACGTGTCAACATGTATTTTTCACGTGTGCAATGCCGTCTCATAATCATGAACCTTTTCCACGTGAAGCAATGAGTTGTTTCTAAAAATATGATAATAGGCATAGAGAGATACAGACAGACAGACAGAGAGACACACACACACACACACCTATCCCGATGGCAGGGGTAATTTCCTCGATTTCATATGTTTCACAGTACATTCTATTCTTGTGCTGCCAATCGGTATTTTGTTACGATGTATCAGGCAGCATTTTTACACCTATGCATATATGATAATATTCGGTGCCATTGATGCTATGAATGGCGCCGTAGATTTGAAAGGGGGGCGGTAATGGGATTATTCTTTTTCAGGAATTGGGCAGGAAGAGATGCTTCGTGATTCTTCTTTATCCATAATCGACCGCTTTCTCTCTGCTTCTCCTGTTCTGGTTCCGTGTCATTCATTTGCTGATATTATATTATGATATCGTGATCGCTTTGTTTGTTTATTTTGCATCGATGAAAGCTGTTAAGACATTTTCATCCAATTCTATTTTCCTTCTTCCTTTGGCGGCGATCCGAAAGGACTTTTCCGCTTAGCATATAACATTTCATAATTTGACTTCGACGTTAGTCATAATAGTATCTTATCATACGAACTTATTACGAAATCTTCATTCTTCTTGTTCCAAAACCTTACGTCAAGTAATCATTCAATAGAGTTGGGTGTTTTATTGAGAAGTTGGATTTCTCAAAAATTTCGTATGTTAATGAGAACAGGAAGTTAAGTGAGTGTTTTTGGCTTTCTTTGATATGAATGTAAAGATTTAATATCATAATATCATACGAAAGCTGAAGACACTTCCTCCCTTCGCTATATCCGAAATATGTTAATGAGAACAGGTAGTTAATAAAGCGTGATAATAATATATTAGTAACAGGTAACAACTATTTCTTTTCATTAATGATAGCTATTTCATTGATTTAAGTGCTTTATATTTTTTCTGCGTCATTTACACCTTTCAATGTCTATTTCGAGAAATAATTTCGCATTCCTGCAATAAGTTTTACATGTGTGGTCTATCACGTTATGATTGATCTCAGAGATGAAAAGAAAATTAAAATTGAAGTGAAGAGGTACCATTGAGCATCTTCTCTCTCTTTAATTTTAAAATTTCAATTCCATTAACAGTTCTCCCATTAATTCATTTTGCATGCAAAATTATCTAAATTTCAATTTGAAGGAAGTTTTGGGTGAATTTTCCATAGATAAAAGTTGTCTGCAGCTTCGAGAACTCATTTAGTGGGGTGAATGGATTCTGGATATGTAACTTAAGATAGATTTCAAGCTCTCAGTTTTTTCTCATTCTTTGAAGTATTGTGGGTCTGTGTGATTTTTTCTTGGATTTCTTAGTAAAGTATATATTTGCAATAATATTATAGCATGTGATTATGGTTTTATTAAGAAATTTATATGACTGAGATACGTAGCCTTTAATTCGAATTTTTCTCGAAATTAGAAGGCTCTATTGTTGACTACTGGAAGATCAGTGTTGCATTGTAAAGTTTGGTATCCGCGCCTAAGATCCTTTTATTTGCAAACATACAACGTTTTCATTTAATTCAATCGTAAACTTTTGAAAGATTGCAACTGCACAAGAGGCGAGAATCAAACTCCAGAATTTGCATATTGAATATTTCATTGCACTTCTATCTCATCGGTTATTTCATTTCACTACAATTTTAAAAATATGCGAGGTCGTTCAGCGATTACACTTCCCTTTTCACGGATTCGCCTATTTTTGCGGTTTATCCTTGGAGTGCTTATTGTTTCGTTATCTATTACTGCGTCACTTCTTTCCATTACACTCTTTTTACTACGTGGACGTTTCTCACAACCTTGGAGTAATTTGCGTGATATCTCAATTACTGAAAAAAATGCCTTCTCGTGTAAAATGCATAGTAAGTTTATCACTGATTTAGAAATTTATTGCAATTAAAATTGTTAGTACCAGCCTTGCTTCTTTTTTTTCCTCGATTTTCAACGCATATTCATGATCACATGAAATGAATTACGTGATCACATTATATAAATTATAACTGATATGCGCTGACTGACGTGTGATAAGAATTATGCCAACCAAATACACTGCTTGTGTCCGTGTACAATATGCATATGGTCACGTCGTATCATACCGGCTACTTTTATGCTGCTCTTTTATTGATTTCAAAATTTTGTTGCCTCATAATTTATTAAAATTATATCACATAAAAGCTTACCAGAAATCTAATGCAGAGAATAAAGTGTTACATAATTTTTTTTTAATTACCTATCTGATGAATAATAAATATTTTCATACATTTTTTTATTCGTCATTCTTTCTATCACTGATATAGCAATCATACTCACCAATGCTAATTCTACCATCGCATCTATTTGTCAGAATTTTTTAAACTTTTTCATTAAACTGATCATTTTGCCTGCTCTAAATATTATGCATTATTCTTTGAATTTAAATCTCGTTGAGCATAATTAATTCAATGTATTTTTTTGATTTCTCTATCTAATATATCGATCAGTACATTTCCTAAACTTCTGCTTTATAACAATTGCTGATACAAGCCTTGTTATTCTCAGTCCACTTACAGGTCAGAATGAATATCCCTTAATGGCTTCATTAATAGAAGTCTTTTACAGGTTTCTTCAATTTTTACACGATTTTCAAATGATTTAATTGCTTGCTAATCATTGTTAATTAGAGCTAAAAAAATCAAAATGGAAATTTTATGTTGTCCAGAATTTCTTGACAGATTTGCTAAATTTTATGAACTTCTATAGTGAGCGGTTGATTTTTCTTTTTTTAATCATTACTTTCTACTTTTTGTTTATACATCACCAGAAATAACAAAATCCGGCAAAATCATCCCATATCTTTTTTTACAGTATCCAGTTTGCTGCGACCTGAGGAGTCTGTGGTGCGGAATATTACCAGCAAATCATTGATAATAGTACGATCCGTGCTCCTTCTTCAAGATCGCAGATTGTATTTAAAAATTTTATTTTTAAAAAAGTGTGAAACGAACATAAGTGACATGCAATTGCAAGTTAGTACTATTATACTTCCATTAATTGATCACATATATATATGTATAGTAAAAACTATCAAAAGTTTCGCTTCGAAATTGAGGGGATTGATATGCATCAGAAAGATGAATAAAAAAGAAAAATGCACAAATATACCACGAAGAAGCGGGAACAAACAGATAGCATATTCGAAATCATCTTTGCTTTTATTTACACTTAATGAAATTTCTGTTTCTAATTTCTTTTTAATTAGAAATTTCTTTGAATTAAGTGCTGCTTTACATCAGATTGACTTGAAGCAAATTTTATGTCCGGTGGTAAAACATATTGAAAGTGATAATTGCCCATGGGATTGGGCACCAGGATGTGCATGGTCATCGTTTATTGCAACTACAAGATTGGATTTTGTTCCCAATCACATTTTTGCAAGTTTTCAAAATTTTCTAAAACCCATTTTTTTTAAATCTAAACTCATAAAAATAAATTTCTAATCTTTTCTTAGTGATGCAAAATAAAATAGAAAATATTTCAATCTTAGCATTATCAATTATTAAAATAGAATGTTGAGTAAGCCTATGTCGCATGAAGTTGCAAATGTTTAGTGCCAGTAGTTATGTGCTGATTAAGAAATTCTTTTTCAAAATTTAAACATTTTCAAAATTGGTAATATTCAATGGTTTGCTTCATTGCTGTCTGACATACACATCTTGTTTTAGCTTAATTTCAATAGTCATACTATTGGACTACATTTGGAACCATCACATAATATCGAGAATTTACCCTTTGCTGTATGTATTCAGCCTCTTTACTGGTTAGTTGATAGAAATTATATTGAAGAATAACAGGTAAGATGAAGATGATAACAAAATCATTTAAATGTGTAAGTAATACCGATAATTAAAGAAATAAGGAAGCGATAAAGGACCACATATATTATACAATAAAGGTGTAAAATTTCTTTAAATACGAAAAAATTAACTTAATTAGCGCATATAATCCAACTGCACAAATAGTCTTGCTAAATCGGGATCTATTCCGGGAAGTTTCAACCCATGTTACACATCACTCTCATCGTCTCAACTTCACTATTCAATGAATTAAAAATGGTAGCAGAGTGAAGTTAAGCGGGAAATGATTTCAAATAGTTGTATTAACAATAAGTAAGAAGTAGGATGAATGTTATGGTTCAGAAAGATGCTACCAAGAGTAGGATCTGGTAAGCAGTGGACAGGAATCTGGAATGAGCACATTGAACCGATTTTATCTTTGCTATAATGTAATAAATTCTGAAAAACAATCGAATGAAGTAAATCTGATAGAATAACTTGACAAAACACGAATACAACGCAAATGATACATGAATGAGAAAATAGTGATATACGTAACGTGAAAAATACGTGACAAATATTTCAGTTGGAGTATATCAGTGCCTAAAAGATGAGTAACGTGATAGATTGGATGTAAGATACAAATGAGGCCTCCTAATTCGAGTTCCTATTAGAATAGTCTAAGATGTTCTAATTCGAGTTCCTGCTAAAAATGTTTTGGAAGAAAAATCGTAGAAAAAAGTATTGATAAAAGAAAAATAAGGAAAAGTATTCATAAAGAAAGAGTATTAGCTATTTCTTTATTTCTTCATTGAGAAATGATTTTTGTTAAGTTTTATTGTTATTTCAGGTATATCGATTGGCTTCAAGTAATTGAATTCATTGAAATATGGACATCTCAAGGCGTTAACCATTTTTTCTTCTACTTTTATACCGTTTCACAGCTTGTCATGGATATATTACAATATTATGAAGCGAAAGTTTGTTGTAGCATTCATCTTTTAATAGTTGAAATGAATGACTCAAATTTCCTCACAACATAGGACATGTATTAACTTATGAGATTTTTTATATAATCTTGGCCATAAAAGAAGAGTAAATTAAGTTATGTATTTATACTTCTAAAATTAAATATCTACCTTCTATTTCAATCTATTCAGATATTGCAGTATTTTTTAGTGGGTATTGATCGGATCAAATCAATCAGTGCTCAATTTCAGGGAACTGTGACATTGCTACCATGGCGATCATTTCCTGTTGGAGAGAATGAAAATCCTAACAAAGATGTTTATAGGTAATTTCTTAATGCAAGCAGTTGTTTTTTTCAGAACAAAAAGTCATGCAAACAAATGAAACTGTCACGTTTGAACATTTCACTGACTGCCATATTTTCATATTCTTTTTACGAATTGTTTTTTAATTGATGATAGATTAGTAAAAGTAAAATTCTTCCTTAACGTGTTATTTATTTATAATCTTTAGTTCTGTTTCCTCTATGGGACACAGTGCTGTCTATAAACTCTAAACTATAAATTTTGTGCTGCTTTGAAAATGAATATAATAAAGCAGTGAAGTTATTTTGAAGTTACCTCTTTGTGGTGAACGAATCTTTTAAAAAATGAAGTTAAATTTTGGAAAATATTTAGGTTGGCGCATAGTCTTGCAAACAATGATTGTTTGTGGCGCTCAAGTGGTGCTAATTTTGTTGCATTCGTTGATTTGGATGAATATATTCTCACTACTAATAAGTCTGTTTCATTTCAATGTTAATCTATTTACAAATCCGCCTCCCTAATTAGATAAAAATCAGATGACAACTATTAAATTTTTCGACTACAACAATGACAATGCGACAGTTTAGCAGAATGATTAATCGAGAGATTTTATATTGAAATAGCAAAAGATGAAAGATTGGAATATTAAAAGAAACAAAAAAGATTTAATGCATGTCAAGCGTTTATTAGAAAGAATTGAATTAAATTTCAGTGTACCTCTTATCACATTTCTTAAGGGAAAAGCGAAATTATGCCCAAAATGTGGAAGTTTTGCCGCTGTACATACGAAAATGTATTATTCTTCACCTCGACCTCGAAGTCCTTCAATTTTCCCTTCAATTTTTCTTTAAAAGCCATCATTTTCAATTGTGTTTGTGAATTAATTTTAATCAAATTATCATTCGAGAAGAAAGATTCGGGTCGAAATGTTCTGATTTTCTTGATGCGATGCTTTAATTTTTACCTGATTTTAAATGATTTATCGATTATAGAAGGAATGTTAAGTTGTTTCAGATAACTTTCGTTGGCATGATGTAAAATTTGAATGGTTAGCTAATACAAGTTATGGTTTACCTGAAATAGACGGTCCATATAAACAAATAGTGCGACCGGAAACAGTTTCAATTATTTCCACACATTCAACAAGAAAGAACTTTCCCGGTTATATCGATGTTAATGTAAGTCCGCTTAAAAATTAATAACATAATGATAGAAGTGGTAAGAAGGCTGGTGAATTAACTCAAGAATTATGCGAATGATGCAGAAGAAGATGAAAAAAGGGATTTTCTATAATATAATATTAGACAGAGATCACAGAAGCAAAACTGTTGAGCATTTTCATATGTTGCAATTCCACCTGTGTTGTACCTATATGAACGATCAATATCTGTTACCAGGAGAATAAGTTTTCACTTCTATGCCTCTCTATTCATCACTAAATTTCATTTATTTTTAGCTCAATTCATCCGAAATTATTCTATTACATGCATCCCATAAATGGTCCGAAACTAATCTTCCTCTAAATAACGTTACTATCGCGCCACACTTTTTTGCCGATGCTTTATCAATCCTAAATACAACTTATCGTGAAATAGGCCAATTACTGTTCAGAAATGAAATAATGAGAATTGATAGAATGTTGCAAATGAAAATTGCCAAATGCATCAGCCAGTGAGTTATTATTTTCTTGAAATTCATTGGTGAAGCTCTCCCTGAAAGATATTGCATCAATGATTATTGATTATAATTGATAGTTTGATTAATGGAGAAATGAATGACTTCAACGAAATGTTCTAAAGATTTGTGAATGAATTTCAGGAAGTTTATGACAAATATCCCGGGAAAGATTCGGGAGAAGTTAGCATTAATTGGCCGAACATTTCTCCGTTAGATTAATAAATGAATATCACTATTTTTACCCTTTGTATTTAATTACCAGTATTTTTTAGATGGTATGCGAAGAAGTGTAAATCAGTTGATATGTGCAAAGGAGAAATGGTTAATCAAATGAAATGGATTTATGCGGAGAATTTCAGCACTAACGAATATCAACTTGTATGAACTTCTAATTTTTGATTAGTCAGTACTAATCAAAAATTGTGTCCATCATATATATTTGTAGAAGATTTTTGTAATAGATAAGAGAACGAATAATCGATTATCCTTCACTTAATGTTTCTGAAACATTACCACTGCGGTAGAGATGATTCCTTCTCTTCGATAATATTACGAAAAGCGAAATTAAGTTTATTTGTTGATCCGACAATTCAGATAGGTACGGACAGGTCTGCTCTCATTTTGTTTCATTTTGCTTGCTAAAGAGAATTTTTCATTAATTTTGATAAATGCTTTTTGAAAGCCTTCTACGACAACGATCTGCATGTCATTTCTGCATTAATCATTGCTCACTAATTCTTTTCCGTTTTAGTTTTTTATTGAATTTAAAAGACTCCTTTCTATTTCCTATTCGTTTTTCGAACAATTCGATCACTATTTAAATTTCAACATATACTACAACGGTTTTCCGCTTATTTATTATAAATTGCCTCTTACGCTTTCTTTGAATTCATCTTTTTGGTTTTCATTTCCCTATAGCCTTGAAAGATTTCTCAAGCAGTTAATTGGTATAACCGCTCTTAAAAAATTTCACGCATTAAATGTAAATGAGTGCTTTACTTAGTTGGCTCCTAAATACCTCAAACGGTATTCTTTCCAACTTTTTCCAATGTTTTATATGGGAAGTCAATATTCATCTCTTATCTACTGTTTCATGTTGCAGTTAAAATCACAGAAGTATATCTATAAAAGAAGTGTACTAAAGAATGATTTTAATGAGCAGAAACAGTAAACAACAGATACAATTAATAGTTAACCAATTAGCAGTTCGAAATAAAAGACACGAAACAATTCTCACATGTGGAAAAATTAACAAGCAACATGAGGAGTGTGACATATTCCCGCGAAAAACTGAACTACTCATTCTATTTCACATTCAAATAATGCATAAACAGTACAGCAGGAAATCTCATATCATTGTGCACTACTTATTGAATTAAATGCTTGAAAACTGCCCGATGTTATCAGTACTGCTTCGCAGAATAGTTTTCAAACATTTATAAGCTCGCCATGTTGTACAGGTCCAATTGAAAATGTGTAATGAGTTTCATTTAAATTGTAAAAAATTCTTGCAAAAAAGTACACAAATTATGGCAAAATATTTTTGTAGTATTCATGTAGTAGGCATAGGCAGATACCCGAACAATCACTTAGATATGCAAAAGAGAAAAGAATTGTAACGCAAATAAAGAAGATACTCAAAATAATAATAATAATAACAATAGTAATAACATTAATAATAATAATAACAAAATAAGTGACTTGTTCTTTAATTAATGACGAAAAATGAAAAGTAAAATAGATGCGTTTGCAATGTTTAAACTGTATGAATAATAAAATTATAACAAAACTGTGCGAAAATGGTTTGATTAGATTTTCTAAGGGTGTTTTTTAAATGAATGTAGAAAAAGTTCATTTTATATACGTGGTTGAGGACTTGATCGTGCAGGTGATGCTCTATAACCGACACCCTTTCGACCACGCAGTGAAGGTATTCGTGTTGGCCGATCGCCGTCAACTGAAACATCTGAGCTTCGGCTTACCGGTCGTGACAAATCTAACATGTCACCATGAGATCCTGAGCTTGCAACAATGCTTAAAGCGCTTGGTCGCCTGATTTTTGAATCTGAAACTTGTCATAACAATAAATGACGATAATTTTCATATAATTTATTTTAATGATAAAAAATGACAAATTATGGGAGAATAGGAAAAATAACAACTAAAATTATGGTAATTATGGAATTATATCTCAGATCAGGTATAAACTAATACTTTATTTCAGGAAAAATGATTCAAGAAATAACCTTGTCCATTCATTTCACATGATTTTTTATTTGATTTCGATATATCAAATGGAGAATTACGACCGACGGTTGGCGAACGCCCAGTGACGTACATTGGCATACTGCGTTCTGTCTTTTCCCTAATCTGAAATTGATTCCACATTACAGCAACATACCTTCCTGCAATTAAATCTAATAAATACATGAACGGAGTTCCTCTTATTTTTAAAATTTGCCCCATCGAACATAATATTTTCATCAGGATTAGAATAAAAGCAATGCTTTAAAAATTGTCAACGAAAACTTTCTTTCGGGCTTCAAACACTCTTAATGTGTATTGCACAAAATCATTAACATACGTAAGTTCAGTTTTACAGGATCAGTTTTCTACAACTTTTGTGCTCTAAGATGTAAAATAGGGAAAAAAAGACAATGCAAAATAGAAAGAAATATCATCAGTTACTTTTGTAATCGGACCCGGAGTTGCCTGGAAACGAGATTGCAACAAAGATTCTTGAAAACCACGAATCGGCGAATCTCGATTTGGTGTTGATCTGGCCGATTTAGTGAATGTTTCCATCGTATCGTACGCATCTTTGGGTCGAACATCATCATAAAAATTACGATGCAGATCGAGATTCGTTCGTCCTTTAGCTAAAAGATTATTTTTCACTCTTAAAACCTTTTGGTTTTAAACATGAAGAAAATTTGCAAATATATAAAAGACGTATTCCATGCATTTGGGAGAAAATTGTTGGCACTTACCACGACAAGGATCATGTTTATGTAGAAATTCTTCCAAAGCAACCCATCCACCACCTACGCGGACCATAACTGTTGATCGAAGGATACGGACCATACGCTTAATTTGCGTTTCACCGAACTAAAATACTTGATAGTCTAACACAAAATATCTCTTATAATACATTAATCATTTCGAACTGTCATCAATGCGTGCACTAATTTGCAACGTTTTTCGACGTTCCATCAAATATTTCGTTTAATTTTTCGAAATTATAAAGTTCTAGAACTCAGAAACATTCGGCGATATGCAAACTTCATCATCTACAAATAAAAAAAAAAAGAAATTATGCATTAATTGCAATCCCATTCCACATGTAGTTCAATTTAGTACAGAAAATGTGGTGACTGCAGTTAAATGTAACCAAATTTACTTTGTTTCTCCTGCATTTTTAAATATTTTTGGTAATATTTCATAAAACATTCTGATATATTTATATGGAATGAATTTTAACTTTTGCAAAGAGACAAATAAAGTTGTTAACACAAATAGCGAATATTTTCATAAAATGCATGGTAAGAAATAATAAAAATCATCTCTGATCCTAATATTTTATGAACAAAATGCAATCTTCTGGAAAAGTTCCAACCAAAGAGTTTAAAATGAATTTAAATTAAAAAAAAATTCTGACATCACTCTATCAGTCAGGGACTATATTATAAAGTCTAATCCCTCTCACTATTCATCTTGTACTTCATGACTAATTATCAAAAAAGAAATTATCAATTAAGTTCATAGAATAACTTAGCTAATTAGAATGCTAGTAAAAAAATTAGATAAAGAACTTACGCGATAATGTCCATCGCCTACTTTCTGAATCTTATATCGATTAATGCAGTTGCACCTTTCCGATTGCCTTACAACTTCTTCTGTGATCTTTTCACTATCCGTCTTTTGTTTCATCGGTAATTTCTGGATGGAATAAGAAGGTAAATAAGTGACAAATCTTAAAACGCCAATTTATCAGAAGTATCAAATACACTATCTCTTTATTAAAAATAGCTAGAAACATACTTTCGAAAACTCGAAACGAAGTTTCGCCATAAATTCTTTTGAATCAATCATTCCATCACCTTTGTCAAACTCATCCGCAACTTTCTCCATTTCTAGTCGTGTAGTATGAAATTCTAAAATGAAATTTGAATTCTTAGTAACTTTTGAGGATTCCAGCAAAAGCTATAAGTATAAAATAAATAATCAAAGAAAGACTTACTGGATGCTATGATACCATCAATAAAAGCAGCTCGTGGTACTCGTCCAGTTCCACTTTTATCAATTCTTCTAAATAGGTCGGAAATTCGAGCTTTTCCAGAATCAGTCCATTCCAAATATCGCTCACGCCATTTTTCGAACGAAAACGACTCCAGTCTTTTCACCTCAAAATTTTCAAAACTTATCAGATTTTGTTGAATATAACAACTTTAAAATAATTAAATCTGATTAAAACCTTGTGAAAAACAAAATATTTGGTTTCAAAAGATGACGATGATCAACAATAATTAAACAAAGGGAGACCAGGAAAGATGAATGATCTCGCCAAAACAACCAACTTTAGGCTTATGACACAAAAACGAGGATCCAAAACTTCACATTAAAGCATTAATCTAATCGTGATTTTATCTCCTAAAGCCTATTTTTCATTTTATCGTAAACCATCATTACCGCTTTTTGATTCTGATCAGAAACCCTATAAATCTATATTCAGCGGCTAGGATAACAGTTTATACGAGCAGTGTTATCATAATGATAAAGGTAACTTGATAAAAGATGTGAAGTGAAAACTGAGAACTACAAATAAAAAGGCAAAAAAATTTAACCTCCTCCAAATAATCTTTCATTTCACGTAACTGACGGCCATAATCCATTGAATCTATCCATAATTTTTTCCATCTACTGGAGAGCTGATCAGATTTAAGATGTCGTGCACGATGTTCATGCCTGATAAATAATGGTATATTAGAATAGGGATAATAACAATTAGCAATACAGCAATATCGACGAAAGCATTATAACTTGAACCGATACCTTTGAAGTGCTTTGCCGCCCTTTTTTTTCACTTTCTCTTCTACAACAAGCTTTCGTCGATTTCTTGTGGCCTCATCAACTAGTCCCTGCTTTTCCCGTAAAGTTTTCTCGAATTGTTCATGATTCTCAATGAGTCTAAAACTATGAACAATCGATAAATTTCATATTAGATTCGTCTCTCCATGCTGCATATTAAAATCATCTTCATTCAACTTTTCAAAGCTCAATATTTTTTAAAAAATAGAGGATGGACCTGTCAAGAGCATTTATTTCCTGCGGTAGCGATGTTTCATTTAATACTTTCAATTCAGAACTTTTTTCTTCAATATACTTCAACAAATCAGCAATCATTTTCTCTCTCGCATGAAGTTCAGTGAGTTGCTAAAATTGAAGAATATTTGAAAAAGAACGAAAATATGGTTAAAAAAATTTCAAAATTTCTCTTCTGATTTCTTTTGAAAAAACTATTTTTCCAGTTCAGTATAGAATCGGAATTTTCATGATTCGTATGTTTCATTAACTAAAAATCAATCATTTTAGGACTTCTGAATAAATCTGATTAACAAGGCAAATTTCGGTGAAGACATTCCATATAACAATTTCAACACTAACCATATCCAAATCATCCCTCTTGTTGTCAACAGCATTCGCTACTTCAGCCCATCGATTTTGTAACACTTTCAACCAATACTTCATTGGTTGTTCTGCAGAGGGATGACACTTGGATTGGATATCTTCCCCAGTTTTCTTGATAGACTCCATTAATGGCTTTTTATCATCCATTTCTTTATTTATCTGTGCTACTTCGTCCATTTGTTCCAAAATTTCACTTTCATCTTCTACTATTTGACTCTAAAAGTATTATTAACACCATTTTATCATATCCATCATACCATTCTCGATAGACCATTTACTGCATGTCATTTTGAGCAGTTATGGGCTGATGATGTTTTGTAAAATACTTCCTGAAATTTCTGAGCTCCATCTTTTAATCTCAGCTTTTATCTTTCTTTCTTGGACTATATGCTATTGATTCTGACATATAACTATCGTTTGATAGTGCCCAATATACATCAGAATCAACAGCATGTAGTCCAAAAAAGAGAGACAAGCTTAGAATGGTCAATAATCCTGAAAACATCATAATCTAAATCAAAGAAAATATCGATTTGTTGTACATAACTAAAATGGAATAGCAGAAAACATGCCTTAGTTCTTAATCTTGCTTCAATCTTTGGCAAAGAATCCAAAAATTCATGAATCTCATCATTGAAATTTTTGGCAATGTCGTAAGAAATTTTCAACTGCTCCTCTCTTTTCTTTGCCAATTCTTCTAGAAGCACCCAATCTTCATTTACCTTTTCTACCTTTTCTTTCAGACCATCTAACGAATCATCCGATTCTTTCCCCAACATCTGAAACATTACATAAGATAGATAATGATCATATTTTGTTTGTCAAATTATACAGAAAGGTGAATAAAATAAAATGTATCTCATAAAATTAAATCATAATATCTCAATAAAAACCTGTTGCGCACGTTCTTTCACCGAGTTCAATGTATTCCGATGAGCATCTATTTGTTCCTTTAATTCTTTATGTTTATCGCATAATTTGCTAACAGTCTCCAAATCACCATATACAGGAATGGTTTCCATATTTTGTAAATCAGGCAAAGACTTTTCGAGCCACTCTCGAAGTGAGGACAAAGCCTCATCAAACTCTCCACATGCCAACAATGCATCCTCGATTGATCGTTGTCTGCAATATGGTTAGATATTGAATTAAAAACTTCAAGTAATTTTGTCATTCTCGCAGAGAATATATAGGCTTTTCCTCCTTACATTTCTTTGGCAATAACCTAAGTTCACAAATGAACTTATCGCTATTGAACTTTCCCATTTAATTTATCCGATGAAAATGACCGAACAGCGACAATGATGACAAGATAACAGACGAGGAGTTAAATACAAATTTAGATCAGTATCGTTTAAATGCATTCTTGAATTAATTAGAATTAACCAAACTAATCAATTAATCAAGTCGCCAATAAAAATTACTTTTGTAATGTAGCATTAATTAGCTGAGTCCATCTCTCTTTCAACAGTTCATTCATCTGATCGATTCCTTCCTGCTCTTCACGTGGTGCATGCTCCGAAAGTGTCTTTCCTCGTTTATATGTTGCTTCATATACCGCTTGTCGTTCGGTCAGTTCAAGCTGGAATTTCCGATGTTTTTCCAAATCAACTCGCAATCGATCACCGGATGCCGTCTGTACATGCAATATTAATTCATTAGCAAAAAATTTCAGAACTCGCCGATGACGGGAAAAGTGCTTTTCTACACAACTGAAAAATAATCTGATTTACTTTAACATACTTATTTACTGATCAACGATGTCAATTACTGTTTGTTGGAAAATGACAATCTATTTTAAAACTTCAAAATGAAACGAATCAGATCCGATAATATTTTTATTTTTATTTATTCATTCTCATTTTATTCTATTCAAAATTAGTCCAAATTTTATTCGAATTTTAGACTAATAAAGCTAAAAAGAAATAAATATCTTGTAATTAAATGAATTAAACGAGATATTTATTCTCTTTTAGTTCTATTAGTCTAAAATTCTACTTGGTTCCAGCTTAATTAGCTTTAAATTAATATTATACTTATTGCTTTTTCGATTTACGAAATTATTTATTTTGCACATAAGGAATAAATCATTTAACAAACATATAATTTAACAAAAATAAATGAGTTCCATCTTTTATTCTATAATTATGCCGCCAAACACTTTATCTGCTATAAGAGGTAAAAAATTGATAAAAACTCCTCATAAAATGAAGTGATTTGTTTTCGTTCTATTTTCTTATCAATCTATTTTATCCTTTTGCTTCTACCAAGGCGACATAATACCTCCGGTTAAGGTAATGGTATTAAAGATATAGATGTAATTCCTTGTGTGATATCACAATCACGGAATTGTGTGGTTGAAAAACGGAGTATTTTGCATTTTTAAAAATAGATCTTTTATTTTGGTCCACTGATTTAACTGATTCCTAATATTCCAATAATAATTACAACTGTAGAGTAATTAAACTTAAATTATTACATTGAATTGTTACGAATCAAAGAAATGGAATTGAAAAACTGGAAGTTCAAAATTATTTGACTGAAATTACCTTCTCCTGTACACTAATCTAAACTATATAGAACATTTTTGTTTTCCTTTTATTCCAGTATAATTCTTTCCTTTTTCACTTCACTCGCTGAGAATTATCTCACAAGATATCCTAATAATTTACTGAGAATTCATCCATTGAAAACAATGGCTATTTACAGGTGCCGGGAAACTAACACCTAAACGGCAGCTTAATGTAAAATTTTTTTTCTTCCTATCATTCTAGAAGTAACCGACCTCAATGAGGCAGTAATGGCGACAAGCACAGTCAATAGTTCAATGCTAAAAAATTTTTTACGAATAATGTCAGCAGTAACTTTTGTGTAGAGATAAAAGCAAATACCTGCGCGTATTGATCATCAATCCATTTAAGCCTTGAAGTTATCCAATCGATTATCTCAGCATGTGATTCAAAGTAAACTTGTGCTTCTTGTAATGCGTGATCCAGTTGCTTCATTCGATCAGCACATCTTGAAGCAGCTTTATCGAAACGATGCTTAGCCGAAACAAGAAAATTCTTGATTGGTATTGCATCCTTTTTCTCACAGTAATACTGTAATTTAGTGCCTTTGCTATTCAAGTCACTCATTAATTCTCGATAGTGCGATACCTGAAAAATGTTGAAGTTACAAATCAAGATAGTGTAACAAAACATTCTGAATTATATTTTCAATTTGAATGCATACATTAATATAAATGGTACTACAAGGTATACATTGCTATCATTTGTGCTGTTTTTTATACTTCGATTTACTATCCTCGATATTAAATTATCGATGAGAAAAATTCCTTTAAGATTCATCAGACATCCATAAGCAATAAATTGAACGCTTTTGCTACAATTCAAAACATTACTTCAACTTGGAATTTGGTGTGTTCATTCATCTGCTTTTCTACAATATCAGGAATTCTCGACACATGTTCCAAACAACCTAAATAGCTTTCTGCTGAATTTAACCAATCATTCATTGCTGTCATAGAAGAATGAAGCTGTTCAGCTTCTGTCAATGCAATCCTCAACTTCTGCTCTCTATCACCAATCTTGTCTTGCACCTGCAAAAGAAGAAAAAAATTATTTAATTGAATTTATTTGTAAAATAATAAATATTTTCACAATTATTGCAGCTTAATAACCAATTGTTTAGTACCAATCTACTTTAGGATGAAGGAATATTCTAATCGTAAATTCACTCGGCGAAATTTCCTAATTATTACCTGAATCCACTTTTTCGTCAACTGGGCTCCTCGTTGCGCAATCCATGAATCCCGATCACTATCAAATAGATACTTCGTTGCTGTTTCCAAATGCGCTTCTAATGCAGGTCGATTCTGTTCGATTTCAGCCTTCAATTTTTGAAATTTAAGGATAGCAAAATCCTAAAAAAGAAAGAAATAAACAGCAAGTGAAGGAGCAAAATAATTAGAGAGATGGAAATACCTTTAAAACGAAGAAATCATCAAGTTGTGCTTGTGCAGTTTCCGGTAAACCACCTGTTGGTTTCATATGAAACAAATCCGCATCTTTATCCTGAAGCCACATTGCCCACCGATCCACTTCACTACCCAGATTTTCAGCAGCTTTCCGGGCATCATCCAACTGTAATTCAAAGTTTCATCATTGTAGTACTAAATTCTGAAATTTAAAAAACAGAACCATCGAGAGACAGTTCGATCTATAAAAGTAATAGGAGTTAGGAGAAAATGAGAAGAATTTAGATAAAAAGATTTAGATTTTTTTTACAAGTTACAAACAACAAAACTCGATCTGTCATAAGTATATAATTATTGGGTTTGAATAAGCATCGTCGATTCCTGAATGTTGATAAGAACTACAATGGTCAGTTTAACATTATGCGACTGAATTATAGATTAAACATTAAATAAATTGATCCCATTATTTCAGTAAAAAATATCTCGATCTTTTGCGCAAAATTCTTCATGTCCAAATTACGGTATTTTCAGAAATAACGTTGAAATAATATGAATAATCATTACCTGTACCCAAACATCCTCCAACTTGTCAACCAACATATGCCAGTTTGAATTCAACTTATCAATCATTGGTTGCGTTGAGCTTGCAGCACTTGGATCAGCAGCAATGATACGCTTAGCAGCACTATTCAAAGTATCCACGCTTGCTTCATGTACCAAAATTTCATTTTGTATTATTCTATGCTTGTAAACTTCCACTTCTGCTTCCTTAATACTGTTTGGTCGAGAGTTGATCTAAAATTACTTAATCATTATAACAAGTTCATAACAAGTACAAGCAAAAAAAAGCTGGCAGTGTGGTGGTGTAGATGCAATGCTACAAAAATAATTTTCTAGAAGAATTCAAAAAGATTATTATTTCAATTCTTCGCTTACTGCTACGTTCACTTATAATGTACATTTTTTTTATAAAGAGAATTGAAGGGAAAAGAAAAAAATAAACTTCATTTAAAACATGTTGCGTTTTCTCGATCCAAATCATTAACTGTTCATATGCTTGCGAAAACTGTCCCATTTCCAACAATGCTTTTTCCGTTTTTTGTTGATGTTCGTTCAACAATGCATATAACTAAATTAGCTTATATTTGATTTGATAACAGCAAATATCAGAAATATAAATAAACGTTATGCTATTCGTGCTCTGTTGTATCAGAACAAAAATACGCTTTTCATTTCAATTCTTTCAATCATGCATGAGTAATATAATTTCAATGTATTGCAGTAGGATTTAGAAATACTCATTGAAAGAATTGAAAAATATAAAATTCTAATTCATAATTTACAAGAAGAATTAGAATTAAAAAATTTTTTAATTTACCACTGGATATCTTATCTGATGCAAGGTGATAATTATGATATCTTTTTTTCTTCCATTTTCAAATGTTAAATCAGCTTTTCCAAACGAAAGAATATAACAACAAAAAAATTTCAGGTTATTTGGCTTGAACAGGAAATTATGGCTTTGCTGCTCTGTTATTTGCGGTTGAAAATTTTTTCAGGATTAATAAGAAAATTATACAGTGTTAATGCTATAGAATTGGAGATTAGATCTCAATCGAAGTATTTTTATGGAGATCGAAGAGCTGGTTGTTCAAGAAATTACTTATTTTAAAACCGTTCCGGAAATTTCATTAGAAAATTGTTTTAGAATCCGTATAAAAAATATTCTAACTGTGGCAAATTTCAAAACTGATAAGTATAAAGTCACCCAACATTAATTTCAAATTTAAATCTTCATAATAAAACAATCATGCTAAATATGTCTCTGTAACCAGCTTTCAGCAATACCCGTATGTTTAGATTGCAAATGTTAAAAGAATGGAACTGTATTGCCAAAGGGTGACAAGGGTGTTCCATAAGCTATTATACTGATACATATCAGTCCAACAGTACATGCAAGCCTCGTAATTGCTCAACATTGCGTCAGAGAAAAAGTTTGATAGTTAACATAATCAATTTCTTGGACAAATGAGAGGCCTTATTTTGCACAAAGTCTTTCTAGCAATATAAAATCAGACGTAATAAAGTCTCTGATGATTTCATGATATACAGCTACATAGCCAAATGTACACTAACTCTATTCCAGCGAATATTCAGGTCATTAATCGGTGCTCTAATATTTGCAGATTGTTGTGCAGTACTACCAACACAAAGACTTGCACATAGCTGATTCAACTTTTCCTTCTCCAAAGTTTTCTCATCCAATAATGAACGTAAATCACCCAGAGCAGCAAACTGCAAAAGACAAAATATTAAAGTAAAATTTATAAAAAGAAAAAAGCAAAGATTCTAAATAACTGCTTCGTTTAACAATTTAGAAGTAAAATTTAAAACTTAATGCACACCTCATTTTTAATATCATTGGATGATGCGACAGTACCAGAACCTAGCTTGAATACTTCAGTTTCTGTTTCTCCTATCCAATTTAACAGTTCTGTTAATAAATCATGGAATTCCATAGCTTTTTCCATGGCTTCAATCAAATCTGATCCTCTGAAATTGAAATTATCTATATATTGCTCTTGGTATAATACCATAACACCAAATTGTAATTCTATGAATCAGACAAACATTAAACTTGATTAATGTGAAAAAAACTCCATCTAAAACTTACTTCCGATCACACATACCCGTTACCGTAATCCAATCTCCTTCAACTCCGTTCATTTGCTGTTCTATATGAGCTTTTTCTTCTTCAGCAACTACATCACAAAGATCACGCCCAGCGCTACGTAATTTATCCATTATTTCAGGTTTGATCTCTCGCATTTCGCTCTTAATTGCCTATAATAGTAATGATTGAATTACTCTTTGATCCTCATGTCATTTTCTTTTCACAAAGCTACAGTAACACATGTTGGATTCTAGAGACTCTAAAGTTTAGTAAAATAAGCAAACAACAAACTAGAAGAATGTTTTGCTGCTGCTCAATAACAGTCGGCTCTCCAAGCGCAGGTTGTATTCCTTCAATGCGCAAGTGCAATTCGTTAATCGCTTTCTGGTAAGATTTCAATTCGTACCAAAATTGTTCTGCTTTAACTAGTGTACCTTCCAAGACACTTCCTCTCATCGCGACACCTTTTATCAGTTCTTCCCATAATGCATCAAGTTCTTTGATTTTAATACTCATTTCTGCAGAAAAAAAAAAACTCACAACTACAACATTTCCATGAATACTGTGTAAATCTACTCGATTTCACTCTAATGTCAGTATGCTTTATGTTTTTGTTTCCACTGATATGTGCTAATGTTTTTTATATATTAATACATTCCACTGTCAATACCTGCAGTTCCAGTATCATTTGATTTTGCATGTGTCAAAATCTCTTCGGCATTTTCCTTTACTGATCTCAATATACTTTCTTTATGTTTAAGCTGCTCCATTAGAGAATGATTATCCATAATTTGCGATTTGATACGTTCTGGATCAGCCACTATTGGTTCCGGATTTCGAATCTATAATCACTGCAGAAAATGCGCATGAAAATAGTTACCAGTAAATGAGCTGTAGAATTAAAAATTGATAAGGAAGTAATATCTCTTATAACTACTGTGAATATCAGTATATTATACTTGCATGGCAGCACCATCCAGATTTGCCAGAACAATATCCAATCTATCCATGAACTGACTGCTCTGCTCGATTGCAGCTTCAAGTGCCTCAGCTCGATGACGAACAGTATCTCGAGCAGCAAAGAATCGCTCATTCAAACCTTCAGCTATTTTTTGAAGTTGTATTTCGTCTTCTGCACCACATAATTCACTCAGAGCACTGATATTTTTGTGAAAACGATCCATTAATGGTTTGTGTGATATGATCGAATGTTGTAGTTTCTAAAAAAAGATCAAATAACTAATGCATTATATCTTCACAGGAGAGATTAGCTAATATTTTTGGGAATTGTGACAAATCTTTTAAATTCAGAGTTAAATAAACGAAAGGTAAATATATCTTTATTGCTTCTACTTTCATATTCTTCCAAATGAAGTATTTTACCAATGTTTTTCTGAATAAATCAGCTTTATAATCAGTTTTTTCCTATCATTATTTCGAAACAGCCAAGTCTGTACAAAATTTTGGATCTTGAATAATTAAATCAATTTAACATTTAAAACTATTACGTTCTCATAATTTGAAACAATGTCTCATTTCGCTTATATTCATTAATGCTTCATCGAGTTTTTCAAAATCAGGAAGTTTACTTCATCGCAATTTACGTGTGTAAAATATTTATTTAAGAAAAACATGCATTAGACTGTATTAGTCATTTCAAATAAAAATAATTTAAATAAGGCGCATGTAATTTAGATATCTCTGAATATGATGTGTTGCTTCAATTGAGTATAAAACTCCGTTTAATAAAAAAAATTCACAGTATTATGGATTTGTTGTTGCATCAACTGATCTCGTTGATGTCCTGTTGTGACGGATGGACAATTTTCAATCTCATTTTCCATATTTTCTAGCCAGGAATGCAATTCACCAAATGATTGATCGATTTCAAGGCATAATGCCAACGCTTGCTCCAATTTAGCCAATCTTTCATCACCCAACTGAGTTACATCAGCAGAGAGAGTTCGTCCAGTCTAGAATGAAAAATCTGCATAATACGTTACTGCAGTATGACATAAACGCTCTTACATATTAAACGCTCTTACATATCTGTTGACCTGTGAATAAGTTAATTGCTATAATAACTTCTTATCTGTAATGCCTTCATTTCGTTTATCAATACTATTTCTTTTACTTTTCTATTCGCTCTAAACTAGATGTACCGTTAGCGCTAATTAACCTCGATTTTGCTTCCAAGCAATAAATCTTGACCATTGGCTTCACCACCCAAAGCACGAACAACTTTATGTGCATCTGTAATTGCATCTCGCAATCGTGCTTTCATTACCGCAATATCTTCGTTCATTTGTTTTTGATTTTTAAGTTGCTTTTTAACGTAGTCTGGGTCTACTTCTGGTGCTGCACTCTGTAAGATAAGTCAAGCATAGCAAATATATTATAGTTAACTGTCCAGTAAATTTACAGAGAGATTTTTTAATGGAAAAGAAGTTGATAAAATAAGTAATGAAATCAAGAAAATTGCAGAGAAATAAATAGTGGAAAAACTAAATAGTTAGTGTATCACAACGATTAAAATATTCTAAGCCATCAAAAAAATACCTGCATTAAACGTTCATGAGCATCAGCAAACCATTCATTAAGATAGTCTAATTCATCTAAAATTTGCCGACTTTGCTTCTCAACTGACGTTATTTTATCACCTTTACGCGTAATCTGAAAACGATTCAGCACTTCTTTACCAAAACGATAATCAAATTTGAACATAATAATTCTCTAATTCAAAAAATTCTTACTTTTAAAACATGAAGAAGCAATTTATTTACGAATTTGACAAAGATAATGAATGATGATCTACCATCCAAAATATCAAATGAAATTCCAGATTCTAAATAGCTAAAAGATTGACCTGTTCAGCAAGGTGATTAAATCTGCGCGTCATATCATCGGTTTGTATTTCCAGCTCATCTGCTTTGAAATGGATGAGATTCTGCAGTTGTTTTGAAACATCGTTAATTTCCTCAACATCAACTCGTAATTTCGTCAAATCATCTTCCATTTGTGCTAGTATTGTTGCTTGAGTTTCAAGTAGGTTCTGAAATTATGGAAAGCTGTGGAGAGAAACGTCTTGTATTATTTTTGTTTCAAAATTTTCCTAAAAAAACATTTTAATTTTGAACTTCACTTGTATTTTAGAACAATTGATACAAAAATTTATTTGTATCTCACCTTAATGGCGAGAAGGAAAATATTACCCGCAGCTCGTTTTATAATTACTCAACTTAAAAAAGACGCTTTAAATTACGAGTCTAAACTTTTCAATTGCCGGATTATTTCAAATCAAATTTTTGAATTTTATTTCAACTTTATCATTAGAATTAATTAGTTAATCAAAGTAACGTAATTGAACATCATCGAAAAATTCTGCTGAAAATCTTGCTAGGCAACTTCTTTTGACTGTCAATAATGTTGCATGTAGTGTTACAAATAAAATCGTAATTAGTACCTGATCGACAATCTGTAAATCTTGTTCTACAGCATCCATCCATTGCTGCACAATATCATAGCCATCGTGAAATTTCTCTGATAATGGTAAAGCTTCACTTAAAATAGCAATTTTTGCATCCGTTACAGTAGTTAAATCAAGATAACGCGTACGTAATGCTTCTATACGACTTTGAAGGGCAATTGCTTCATCACCAGTTGTTTGCTTACATAATTCATGACCATCTTCAACAACCGTTGAAACTAAAGCTTCCTGTTTTGTTATTTCCATTGCCAGCTGAAATAAGAAAAAGTTGAATAATACATAACGATTAATTGTAAATTTCTCAGCATTTCACCATAACTCATTTTATTATATCGATGGTGTCAAACAATAAGCAGTTCTATCACAGATTTACTCTATACAGTAAAATGAAATAATTAATAGTTTTTAATGACTGTTGAAGTTATATAAATTTATAATTCCAGTGCGTTCATACATCGGCAAGTAAGGTACTTTGCTCGCTCAGTTCTTCCGGATAGATCGAAACTGTCTCGAATTTATCCATATCATTCTCAATCTTATCTAACCATTCCGTTAGCATATTAGTGCGTTTCAAAAAGTTGGCTATTTCTTCACCAATCTGAAAAACGAATTAAGATCACATAAAATTTATACTTTTGATTGCGATATCTCTGCGAATGAAATTTAAATTTAAAATTCTAATAAATAAAAAATATAAAATAAATATTTAAAATTGGCAAATAACAAATATAACAAATAACAAAAACAAATATGAACAAAAAAATTTTTTTAATAAACATGAATATCGAAATAATTTTGAGCTCTTTGTATCATTACACGATTAGGCATAACCTACGTTTCTAATTAAAATTTCTTATGCTATAATCACCAACACCCATCTTCTTTCGAATGAATACTTATTTGGAATTATATATCTACCGTCTATAAGAAATAACAAGCTGAAAAGCAATTTAATGACTCAATATTTAAAAAAAAAACTACCTGCTGCAGCAAAACTCCACATTCAGTAGCTCGCGTACCCAAATTTTCATATCGTATCATATAGGTTTTAAAGGTTGTCTCCAATTCGGCGGCTTCTTCTCCAGATGTTAAATTAGCAAGAAGGGGACATAGCTGCACCATTTTCTCCACATCGATATGCTTCATTTCGATATTTTCTTGTAATTTCTAGAAATGAAATAAATGTCATCTCTAAATTGTAAACATTAATACTAAGGATAAGACTGCCTTTCTATTTTACTTCTTTGGCAACCTAACTGTGACGATTTTTTTTATTTGAGTGATTAAAAGGAAAGCTTGAACAACTTTCATGAAACAGATAAAGCAGGAGGTTATCGGAATGTTGCAAAAGGAAGTAAACCTGATGTAAGTTAATTTGTTGCTGAAATTTTTCCTCATCAGTTGGTACTTGTCCAAGTTCTTGCAGTGTACGCTCGTTTGCTTCAAGCCATGTTTTGAATGATCCCGACAACTGCGCCCAATCTTTGGTTAAAGCAATCGCATCATGCAAGCAACTACGCCGATCTTGGGCTCTTTCGACCAGTGCAGCATATCTAAGTATAGCTCAGTTTCAGTTCATAAACATCCAATCAGCAGAGTAAATTTTAAAATAGGCTAAAAACGCGTATGTATCGCTGATACAATACTCTGTTCTTTTTATATCACTATTTATCATGCTTGTTTAATTACAGAAATGCAATTCTAAAAATGCCAAAAAATAAGTTTCACTAATTATGTTTAGCGTGCAGTGTTTTAAATAAGTTCTCAAATACATTTACGTCCGATATATAATTACTCGAAAATTTTATTGACTAGAAAATCGTAGTGAAACTGCTAATCAATGTGTTACGATATACATCATTTTATCTTCTCTTTTTTTCTTTTTCTATTCAATTTAATTATTTGCAATTTGAAAAAAAAAAAAACCTGTTCATTGTACAAAGTATTTTGATAAATTAATAAATTTAAAGAAAAACATTAAAGTAATGTTTACCTTTGTGTGATATTGCCTGCTTGTTCCTTCAGTGTTTCACGTTTAGTAAAATCTGTTATAAGTTCTACAACTTTATCGATTAATTTCTTGAAACCATCGACACTGGAAATAGTTTTTACAATAATCTAACAAATGGAAAATATTTCTTTAAAAGAAAAATAATTTTAAAGGGAAGCAAACAGAATATGTCAACGGCAATATTGAAAAGTGATCAAAGAAAAAAGTTTAATTTCGACGAGGCATTAAAACCCTATGGTATGTTCATTATTATAATTTGGTTACTCCGTATAATGAAAGCAACACGAAAAGCAAAAAATATAGGTGTTTGGAGAAAATATTTATGCCCTGAAGATTATATCGGAATGGATTTTACTAAATATCTATACTGTACTTTAATCTTAAGCGTATTTTATATCTAATTTACCACAGCTATTCCACTTTAATACTTGATCACCAAAAATGTATTATTAAACCTCTGTTGTTTTTCTTCAATATGTTTTAGTAAAATATCATTAGCTCGCGTTTGCTCTTTAACGACTTTATATTCGATAGATGGTGGCCGCTGGTTTTGTAGTGATTCTTCGGTATCTTGTAGCCACACAAGAAGCGTATTATGTGCATCAGTGTAACTTCCAAGTTCTTGCAGAGATGAGCAAATTTGTTGTTCACGGTTTGCTATCTGTTTATTTAAAGCATTCCAAACATCGGTAAGTTTATTTTTCTCCTCTTCCTAAAATCGAAGATAATAACATGAGATGTGTTGCATTCAACATTCAACATGCTCGTACAGTATTCACGTTCTTTCAAAATTATGCTATGTGCTTTGCATATGTGATTAATTGATCGACATTAATAATTCATTATTAATAACATATATTATCTGTTGGCCAATTTTATAGTTCATAAAAAGCCTTACCAACGTTGTTGTAGAGACTCCTTCATCAGCACTTTTTATAAGCTTATCACAATTTTCCAAAACTGCTGCATAATTCTGATTAGTAGGCCGTAGTTTTTCATGAAAGATTCTCAATTTCTCTTGTTGTGTTCTTAGGACATTTAATTCAGTTTGAATAGGTTCTTTTAACATATCATCAGTAGCAAGCTTTTCGAATTCATTTCTTAACGCTTCTGCTTTGCTAAAATTTGACTATTAACGTGAATTATTTTACTGAAACATTAATTCTATTTCATAACAATCAAATTCAAAAAAGAAAATTTCAAACGTTGGTGTAGGTTTTTAGGTTTTTCTAAGGCATTCAAAAATATTTGAGAAAACAATCAATCTAAAATTTGGTCTCGACAGTAAATTATGCTAAATTTCATTATATTAAACCTCTATTTCAATATAATCAGGATGGTATACCATCCCACTAATGGAATATAACAACTCATTTCTTCTTTCTTTTGGTCTATCAATCGAGTTTACATATGAATGGTAAGGTTAAATAGGCTTAAAATATTAAAGATACGGATATTCAATAAATTGCTCGGTGTTTAAGATGAAGTAATTCTGTGGTGATTATGCAATGATCGAAGTTTACAAAACTACTAACCAAACAAATTCCTGTACAGCCAAAAGGGTATTTCCAATAACACGTTTGCGCTGCGTGATAACAGTACGTTGTTTATTTAAATCTTCTTTAATTTCATTTATTTGCTGGACAACTGCATTTTTCTGTGTCGTTTGAGTGACAGCGGTACTACAAACTCGTTGCCATTCAGATGCCAACTCATTCAAAATCTGTAGAGAAACTTCTCAAAAATTCTATCCATTTTCATTTTCTTTTCACAAATATAGTGTAGTAAATTAACTGTAATGAGTGCTATGACCACATTTATCTCCGGCATTTATTGATTTCTCTTTATTCTTCAAATTGAAGTAACTATGCTAACATAAATAATTTGAATTTATGTATTCTTAGATGTGAAATGATATTCCTACACTTCATAATGATAGCAGAATCAATGAATCAAAAAAAAATAGTGAAATTCTGAAATTTAAAATTAAGGAAACGAGAAAAAGTCAACCTTTCCTTTGTCAGCAGTATTTTTCAACAATTCATCACAAGCTCTATTCTGTTGTTCCAATTTTACAACGTTGCGTTCAATCGGTGATAACGAATCCTACAATTATTTTAAAATAAGGAACAAATTTTTCTGCTGAAACATTTCTGAAACTTCTTTTCGCATTTACAAACACAGATATAAAAGTAAATAAGTTCAGAATATCTCATACAGTACTTCGAAAAATGATGCACATAAAGCAATTTAGCTGTTTTAGCCAAAGTATTCAAATTCGTGCGGCTATTGCAAAAGTCTCCGGCGAAAGCTTTTCATTCCTCCATAAGCGTTATCACCGACAGAATTTCACGTCTGATAATTTAGAGATGAAGAAACCTAACTTTTTTTATTATCTGGACCATAATGAAAAATTAACATAAAAAGTCCAAATCACCTTTTTTTATCTAGTTATTCAAACAAATGAATATATCGAAGTGGAAAAAAAATGAAATCCAGATTTAATAATTGCGTTAACATTATTTTATCACATTTCAGTCAAAGACTTACTTCATTTATCTTTCGGATTTCAGCATTTAGTAAGCTGATCTTTTGTCCCACTGCATCCAATATTTCGTCTCTCTTTTTCATTTCACAATGTAAATTTTGAATAATTGTTATCACTTCAGCATATTCGTCATTCATTTTACGCATTTCCTCATGTAATTTTTCAGCTTTCTCACGTGTAACAACTCCCTCTATATCTTTCAATGCCCCATGTAATTCTCGCTCTTTCTTATGCCAGCTATTCTCAAAATCACCAACGGCTAAAATTGACAAAATTGAAAAAATTTTTTCAACACTGAGAATCAATGGAATTAGTAGAGAGGGAAGTGAAAATTCTTTTTTTCAACCACTTTTAATTCACATTATATTCCACATGCAGTGTCACCATTGATTGAAAATTAAGCCAAAATTTTAAGATTATTTTTAAATGCTTACTTTTCAACAAAATTTCTTTTGTAACTGACAGAACGCCATCACTACTTTTTAAATTTTCAGCTGTTTCTTTGGCTGAATCTAGTAGATTTTGCGCTTCCTCTTTTTTTCTTGAAAATTCTTTCTGGATATCCTTCTTAAAAAAAAACGTAGATATTTTTAAACATATGCATTAACGGAATTAGCTCACATTAGTGAAAATGCACATATCCTCGTATTTCCTATACCTGAGATTTCTTGATATCATGATAAAATGTTTAACAGAAGCTCAAACATTTCATTACCGATGTCTGCGCCTTTTGCCAAATATTTCTGATATCTTTCTGCAACGCTCTCAAATCTCCAGTTGCATTTTCCACTTCTCTTCTAAGTTTTCTCAGTGATGGTCCATTTGTGATCGCTTCCAACTTATGTAGTAGAGATTCTAACATAATAAGTTCAAGTTCATGTTTGCCAACTTCTTCCTTTATAGCAGCTATCTCAGCTACATCATTATCCTAAAACAAGGTAAATAAAAAGGTCAAAAGAAAAATGATTAATACATGCTGAAAGTTTATGAAATTTATAGAAGTAATTACTACATTCTTTGTTAGTTCTTATCTTAATGAAAATGAAATCATTCCTTACAGAGATGAAAGTTTATTTAAGAATCTGAAAACAGTTTTTTTTTTGTAATACAAACAATCGCTATTTTGCAGTGAAATGTCATATCGAATGAAAACAAATAAATGTCAGAAATTTGAAATTTTGAAGATTTTTATGATATTTTTCAACAACTTCAAGCATTTAAGTTTTTCTAAATATTTAAGTTGACAAATCTTTAAAGTTTGCAGAAATTCAATAAAAAGAAGACCAACCTTGCTCTCTGATATTCCGTTTAACTCTAATCGATTCTCGTCCACCTGTATTGTTAGAGATTTCAATAAATTTTCCAATTGATTTACAAGATCAAAAGCTCGCTCAGCAGTTGCATGTCTTGTTTTGGTTTCTTCTAACAATGGATTCCAAACAGTAGAAATATTATCGAAAATTTCTTTCTGCCTCGAATTTGGTGCTTTTTTCATCTGATCCATCAGTTTTGCCCTAAAAAATTTGCTATTTTGAAGTCCAGAAAAATTTTATTCTAAATGTATGGTATAGTTGTAATTGACAAGTTGTCACATAATTATTCTGTGAAATTCACATTGGTTATCTAATAGTTATCGGATATAACAGGTTCAAATGGATAAATTCTAGTTCAAGAAAACTCGTTTTAGAAAGCTATCATACATCAAACTTCAACAACATCCATAATTACCACGGAGAATTGATCAATCATCAATCACAGCGAGATTTAAATCAAAAAATTTCATGATTTCTGTCGAGATATCTCCACACACATCATTCAAAGCAGATCCCAACAAATTCAATCTCAAAAATAGTTCACGCAAAAATTTATAAAATCATAAACCTTAACAAGGTAATGTCGCCCTCTTTATCTAACACAGCATTGTAAATTTTTTCAATTACTGAACGCTGTTCATCAAGTTCTGCGGAAATTACTGATAAAGGACCCAAATCGGAAAGCTGCTCCTGCATATCTTCCATCCATTTAATTGCTTCTTCGGCTTCCGTCACTGTTTGACCTTCTTCATCCTTTGTATTTGTTGCTGCTATTTTCATGCTTTCTATAATTGAAAATTTGTATTATCAGTAACCCAGTGAAATAATTTATCAAAAAAAGGTATTTTCAAGATATTTAGTACAGCTTAAATTTTAACTCAAATTACATTAGGTGATGTTTAAGTAAAAATAAATAATAAAAGTGACAAGTTTCGATAAAAAAGTTAAAAAGAAAGAGGAAATGAACTGTCTTTCATGTATTCTAATTATCTTTATCAAAATTGAATACATTGATAAAATTGCTACAAGCAAGTAGAATATATGAGAATTTCTCGACAAAAATGAAATAAATAATGACCGCAGTAAGTGTATGCATAATAATTGATGTTTTAACATGTTTTTTAGTTATCAACACTTACCCATTTTTTTATTTAATTCTTGAGCAGTTTGTATCGTTGCATTTAACTGCTCGCGTATATCCGTTTGCAAGCTATGATCTTGTGTGATTTCGCAGATTAAATTTACAAGTTCTTTCAATTCCTCTAATTGTGAATATATCTCGGATAATCGTATACTTGATGCATTCAGAATTTTTAATTGCTCATCAACATCACTTTCAGACGTTAGTGGCGAACGATTTATTTGCTCAATTGCTTCCGCAACACCAATCAACTGCATTCTTAAAACAATGCATTTTAAATGTCACTGTTTGCTTTGTCGCCTCAAATATTTCCAAAAATCCTAAGTTTCAGATTTAAAAGTTCAACTTCAACTGAGCAAGCCTAAGTCATCAATACTCATCACATATGCTATACATTTAAAAAAATTTCTAGTAGTCTAACACGTAACGTTTTATATGTGTAAGAGTATGATATGGATAAAAAATGTGAAATTGGAAAACATTACTTCACATCTCGTTGCTTGTTAGAAAAATCCGATCCAAGTTCTTTAATTTTCTGAAGAGTTACTTTCTTCTCTTCCAGGTTATCATGAAATGAAATCCACCGACGATTTAATGTATCCATCTAGAAAAAGAACTTTGATTGGTAGTTAAACCCTTTCTAAATTGATATTTATTTTTATTTGTTTTTGAAAAAAATTATTCACTTGCCTCCGTGACAATCTGTTGTGAGCTTACTGGAGTTACACTTTTGGTCACCAAATTATGTGCCAATTCGTTTACTTTGTTTCGAGCTATACTCTGATCTTCCAGCTCACTTCGAAGTAACTGAAAACCAATAACATCTCATCACTTAACAAAAAAGAAACAAAGAGATAAACAAAAAGAGAGAAAGAGATACCTCAATTTGTATTAGCTGGTTGTCTACAACTTTAGGATCAACATTAACAGTTCCAATGGCTGACATCATCCGTTCTTTTTGCGTCAACCATTTATCAAGATTTGTTATTCCTGCAAATATCATTATTGTATTTTGAATATCATGAATTCCGAAACAAATTTCAAATTCCCCGAGCTCTGCAAAGAAAAAAAGAAATCTTGCCTTCCAGCAGTAGCTCTGCACATTCATTCCATTCCTTCAAAGTTGATGCTGTTTGGTTCAATTTCTCCCAGTCAGTTTCAAGCGCTTTCTGAGAGTTTACAATATCAGAAATTCCCGGGATAGACGGTCCATTTATCAATAAACGTGCCTTACTTCGAATTTCTTCCATTTCTAATTGTTTCTCTTTGATAAGAACTTCTTCCAGCCGTCTTATTTTTCCAATATTTGTTCGAATAATTTCGTTAACAAATAATATGGGATAATCCGTGTTCTATAAGAAAAAATTATGCCATAAAGAATGTTGCAAGACATCTTATGTTATTAGCCGTAAAATTTTGTGGAAGCTAATAATAGAATACATACAACGATATTTCTGTTTTTGAACTATCTAGTTCAGGTTTTATTTTTCAATAAAACTTTGTAGAATCTCAAATTAAATAGATACTATTGGACTCAAATTCATATTCAAGTTCATACAAACGTTTATAACTTGTTTATCTCACAAATCATATATTTCAATATTCCTCTGGGAATACATTTTTAATAATTTAACACAATTACAAAATTAGAACTAAATAAAATCTATACCTGAAGCATTTCAAAACCTCATTATTTAGGAGAAAAATTAACTAACCAATCGTTTAGTTTCATTATTGATCCAACGGGCAAGACTATCTCGATGTAAATCCCAATCGGATAATTTTTCACTATCTGTACTGATTTTTTCATCCTTTAATCGTAGCAATGAACCCAAAGAAGTATATCTCTGTTGCATAGATGACACTTCACGCAGTGTTTCCTGAGTTCCTTCCGATTGTCCAACACTTCCCTTCATCTTTATACTGAAAAAAATAGAAAAAATTTTGTAAATCATAAAAAATATTGTGATAAAATTTTAATTTACCGTTCATTCTGTTGAATTAATTAATTTTGGATAATAAGTGGCGCATTATTAGCGATATATGCAAAAGTGTGTCTCTAAAATGAATTTAGAGGTGTGGAAATTTTAATCAGGACAAAAGTACAGTGTGCTAAAGCTACGGGATGACTGAGGTAATTGTAAATATTATCTTTATTGTTATTTTCTTATTTCATTGCAACAATTTATAATTCTTGTTCTACCAACCATTATGAGAGAACCGTATAATTACAAGCACATTGATCTCAATAAAAAGTTAAGCTATGTTAAGTAGATTGAATTTTACACAGAAATTTAGATTAATTGGATCTCGAAAAGTTATAACCTAGCAATAGTTTCAGCCTCAACCAATTTCGAAATAGTATCATTCAATGTTTCAAATTCAGAGAGACAATTCTGATATTCTGTTTGTAATTGCTGGCACGTTGAACGTTGTTTAGCTAAATCTACCGGATTCAATGAACACTTTTCCAAAACTGAAAATGTTTTAAGTTAATTCTCAAGAAAATATCAATAAAATTGATGATTCCTAAACACGACTAGAGGTTAATTGTAAAATCCAAATGGGAATTTTTGGTACTGCTATACAAACAATATTCAAATACTATCTTAGTACCGAAATAATGAATGGCAACTTGGACAAAGAAAAATAGGAATTTTGAAATATAAGTTGTATTGTTAAGACAGATGCCGAAAAAAGCTATTATTTTCTTGACGAAAGTAATATTTTATTGAAAGCAGAAATTGATTACCTCGAGCTTTTGTTTCTAAATCTTCAAGATTTGCAGTAAGTTTGGTTTTTAATTCATTAGATGTTTTACAGAGTTCCTCAATATCACACCCGTGACTGATAAGTTCCTCAATCCGTGAAGTAAGTTTTCTAATTGCATTATTCATATGAGAAACCTGCAAGGAATAGCTTAAATAATTACTATTCATTTTTAAATGATTAGGAATAATATAAAAAGCTTCATTCACGTCAGATGGAATTAATGAAACTGAGATACTGAAATTTTTCGCCGATTAAAAAATTAAGAAAAGGAAAATGATGATAACTTAAAAGTGTTAAAAAAGATTGGCTAAATAGCAGTGATAATAAAATAATTTACAATAGAAGGTGATGGTGAAATATGAGAAAACGAACATTCTTTTCCAAACAATTGTCACCAAAAATGTTCGGTACGGTAAGAATCCATCTGCATTTGCTTTCCATTTCTTTCCATTCACTCCTCGCTAACTGATTCAATTCATTGCAGATTTCATTTAATGCATTTAAATCTGTCAATGAAGTATTGGATAACTTCTCATTCAACAATAATAATTTCTCGTTGATCGATACTTCCATATTGTTAAAATCAGTTAGAGCTGTGGATAGTTCCGCGATGTTATTACCATGAGCCTATAAATATTTGAACATTTGAATGAGTAACAAACCGAAGTTTCGCCTTTCAATGAATAATATCGCTGATTGAGTACTTTTACGTATTTTTACGATTAAACTTATTTGGAAATGTAGAAAAATTTTGAACATATATACCTTTGAAGTAGAAAATAACGTCGTGAATTTTTCCTGAGCATCGTTGCAGTCCTTCAACATCTGTCGGCTGGCTATTGAATCCGGATTAGCTGCTGCTATTTTTTGAGCATCCGCTTGCAATTCGGTAAGAATCTTTTGATGCGACGAGATCTCACGCTGTTGTAGCTCATTTTGATGCCTCTAAAATAAATCATTGTTCGAAATATGAGCGCTTATTGACCTTTTCGAACATTCTGCACAAAACTGCTCTTTTTTCTATCGAAAAAAGTTTCGAAGCTATATTCAGCTTCAACTGTAATTTAATTATAATGGATCAAAGAATAAGCAGTTATAAACCAATTCAATTAGTCTGTCTAGATAGAGAGGTAATGAAATAGGCTCCGAGTATCGCTTATTTTCTTCATCCAACCAGTTCATTATATTCATCATGCCTTCTCGGATTCCCTTTGTTTTTACTAACTTACTCCGCCATGAATCAATGTTTTCTTCAATTCTTTTTTGAGCACGAATTTGCCTAAAAGTTCTTTCAATAAGATGACGAGCATTCGTTCAATTTGTTAATGAGTTAACTACAACTTGATAAAAACACATAATTCTACTACAATAATGAAACTGTTATTATTCACTGTAATAACAATTATATTGCCACAGAAATGATAATGTCAGAACAGAGTTACAAACCGAAAACAATCTTTTATTGTTATCGATATAACATAGATGCTTAAGATCGGATCCTATTAAATTAACTAAAATAACGCAAAAATGTAATATTTTTTATCTGACAGTATTTGCAACAAAAATTACACCAAAGATATAGGTAATAAATTATAAAAATGCAGACCTTCGTGTAAGTTCGTCAATATGACGCTGATTTTCACATAAGATACGTTCATGAGCATCAGTGCCAGTAAGTGCATTATTAAGATCAATGGCGGATTGCGTAACAATTTCAATCTTCCCTATTTGTTCAAATGAGACATGCTGTAGTGTTTCCAATTCAGATAATCTAAATAATTTTCATCCTTTGAATGACTTAATAAAAATTTGAAAGAGTGATAGTTAGTTTTTAAATGTTATTCTTATTTTTCAAAGAATTTATTTCTGCTGGTGGTATTACATTTAGAAGAATTCTTGAAGTAGTTTTAACTACTTTTACATTGAATGAAAATTCACAAATATTAAATTAATATTATGAATTTGTAGAAAGAAAATATGATCAGCACGGAATTCTAATCAACGCAACGCAATATCAACTTTTATAGCGTCTTGTCATCTGAGAAAGATGAATCAGAAGATCTTTGACGCATAGATTTTAGGAACAGAGCAAAAACGGCATGAACAGTGCTTGGATCAGCCATGAAATAATCATAATGAATCATAGAGATTCCCACTTTTTAACAAATAAAGCTTTCATCATTTCCAAGCAAAGCGCCTCATCCATCTTTCATTCCAATCACGAAATTCGAACTAACTCATTGCTATTGACAAATGCCCAAACTAACCAATACATCATTAGCTCAACTCATACCACCCTCCGATTGATGATAACGCAGATTGAGATGCAATAATGTATTGATGAAAAGAAATTAAATTAAGCAATGCAGTAGGAGAGTATTAGTGTATAAGAAATGTCGTAATATTTTTTAGAAATAAAATTAATCAAAATGATGAGTGCAAGACATTCAGCATCAGTTTGCAAAAAATCACTCGTTTTCATCGATCTGGCAGGTTGAAATATTTTTTAAAATTCAATCATTAATATAAAAAATGTTTCTATGAAAATTATAAGATAATTCATTAAAATCTGTATTGCTTCTGAGGAAAAAATTTCATTATTATTCATTCAATTGATGTTTTTTCCACCGAAAAAAATTTCTCATATTTCATCTTTTCTGGTTTGACCTTCGAAGAAGAAAATTTTGTGCAAATAAAATTTCTAAATAACTTTTCATTTTAAAATTCGATTTTACTATGAGGAAAGTAATAACAGAATGTTCAAGTTGTTTTATAGACAAAGAAGTTTTAAGATGTCTTCTATCACACCGTTCAAGTACTGCTGTATCTCACTCATGTACTAAGAGAATAATAAATTCATCACATTTGCATCATTTAGACAAAATACACGAAAATATAGGTTCTAGAAGATTCACTTAGTCGAAAAAATACTATCTCATCTGAGGGTGAGATAAGTTCGAGTGAAACTATTCGCTGAAAATTCTAGTTAATAAACTGTTAAAATGTCTTTCCAATAAATGATCATTCTTAAGATAAAGAAATTCGCGCGTCTACGAAAACTGCTAAACAGTAAAGTATTAAATGCTTTCAAGTAAATAGAAATTTTCAAATTTGATAATGATGTTGAAACGTTGTCGTGATAATATAATAAGCACTTACAGTTCGGACATCAGAGAGCTGCCATCCATAGTATCCGTGCTACGTAAAATGCTTTCTATTTCAGAAATTTTTCGCTCTAAACTTGTAACTGACTCGTTTAAACTTTCTGCATTTTGTGTATACACCACTGCCAATGACTTTAATTGGCTTAAATATGCGCATAATTCATGACAATTTCGATGTAGGATATCGTAGTCAGCCTATAAAAATGATTCTGAATACAGAATTAATAGCAGGAGAGTGATAACACAATTCAATAGCGCTCTATGAAGGTGAATGTCTATTTAAAAAGTTATAAAAAAAATGTTTTGAAGAAAATTGACCTGTACTTACTTGTAACCTACAGATGGTACTGGTTAATTCATGTGCATCTATGCACGGAAATTGAGCATTGGGATACTGTGAATGCATTTCGAACACATAACCATCAATTTCAGATTGTATACGTGTAGATAACGTACAAGTGTCTTTCAAGCGGTCTTTTGCAGCTATTACTTCATCCAATACTGCCTAAATATTTAATGAATTTAGCAAAAACGACTTCAGCACATTTTAGAACTATCTAGCACCTTTCACTGATACTATAACAATCTTGCGATTCGAAACTTCAGGAGAAAAATGAATTGCGATTCGAGACTTCAGTAGAAAAATGAATTAAATTTAATCTAATAATCAATGTAACTTACTTTAGCTTTTTGACGTGAATCTTGAAGTGCCTGTGGATCACCACTTTCTGCTCTTATAATGGTCAATTCTCTAGCTTTTTCATTTAGAAATGAATGCAGCAAACTTGACTCATTTGAAAATTCCAGCAACAGTTTTGTTAAAACATTTAACCTTAACGAAAACAAATCAAAAATTCATTTACTTAAAACCGCTGCAAAACGTTAGAAATAGAAAATGGTCAATACAGAAAGGATTGCAATGCCCATTTATATCATTTAATTCAAACTAATTTCCAAATATAATAAATCCATGGCCTTATTCAAATGCATGATTTCACTTAAAAAGTCTAATGACCTTATATCCTAATTGCTTAATTGCTATTTGTTTAAATAATCTTGTTTGTAATTTTATTTACTTTGGTAAAATGACATCAATATGCTGTAAAAGTTGATTATAATTCGCTTCAAGTTTATTTCGATGCTCTTTCAAACTATGAAATTGATCCGGTGTGAGAAATTCTGCGCCTTCTGCACACAAACGATCCGTTTCCTCGACATTTTCTTGTACCTTTGATGCATAAATCAGCAATTCAGTTTTCATTTCCTTAAAAAAAAAATGAATACAGAATACCTTGTATGAAGCTAATTATGAAGCGCTACTGAATTCCCTGTAATAACAACATATCTAAGAAGTAATGTACAGCAGAATCATATTTCTGATGAGGATGAATAAATGCTTAACACAAGTATCTGGCCTACCATAACATGTTATCAAATTCAATCCATAGGAAAGTGTATTTATTGACTTAAAAATTGTAGAAACCTGCACTCGATTGCAAGCTGATGATGCATCCTCCAATGAAGCAACCAACCAGAAGCCTTGCGAAATGGCTGTACTTATTGTATCAAACGTATCCAGAATTTCCAATATTTTTATTTGTCTTTCAGTCCATTCATTGTGCAAATCTTCCTGCAAATCAATACTGGTAAATAACTGCTTATTAAATTAAAATTTCTTTAAGTTTTTTGTCATAACACATTAAATACTATCAATAATTCATTCGTTCCTGCTTTTAATTTATATTTATCGTTTAATTTAATTATTAAAAATGCCTCAAAATCGAAACATACAAGATAGTATCATTCCAAATGGCATAAATATGCATTATTTCCAAACATTGTAGTAAATGTTAATTAATGTAGTGTACAGCAATGTAATAAGTTTTCAGATAATTAATTCATTTTTTTTAAATTTTGTACGCATGATTTATATAAGTGACAAATACTATTACCTTGTATAAAACCTGCAACTTAGAAAAAGACCCTTGATAATTAGCGAACAAATACTATAATTTCTACAAATGCTTTCCAAAAGAATGAAATAATCTAAGCATTTGATTTCAGCCTCAAAACTTCTGATGAATTTACTGCAATAGCAAATAATCATTTCATTCCATTTTTCCTTTTGATTTATATGTCGACTAAATTCATGCAATTTACACCAAATTAAGAAATAAAGAGAAAAATAATTTATGAGTAAAATCACGACTCAAACTGTAATTTATGGACATGAATCTATGCCGCCCAAAGAAAATTCATGAAAAATTCCTTCCCCAATTAGCTATCATGACAATATTACCGTTCTGAAACAAAAATTCGATAATTTGATATTGGAAAAATTAACAGTCCTCAAACATTTCGCAAAAATCAAGCCCTTATTTATTTAGATAGAAGGCTTTTTTGATGATCCTTTTGAAGTGTGATGAATTGAATTGAAAATGTATTAGAGAGGAGTTTAGGGAGGGACTGATATATTACATGAGTTTCATGCAATAATCTGAATGTGTTCGTTCTTTGTAATATGGCATAATTAACAAATGATATCTAAACCTTTCGTCGTCATTAATTCTTTCATTCAATTATATTTCTTGTTAAATTGGAAATTAATTCGATGATTTTAAGCTTGCTGCTTTTTTTGTGTTGTTGAAAAAACACTTATATTAATGACAAAAACGTATGATACCGACCATTTTCAATATAATTTTAAATCCTTTAAAATCTACAAAAGTTAATGCAAATTGATTTAATTGATTAAAGTTGATTGTTCATGCCACTGGCATGGGCTACGAAATGCTCTCAAATCAACTAATCATTTCTTTTATAGAGCTCTGCACATACGTCTAGAATTCCACCATTTAGTAAGCTTCTATGTTGACACATTTTGTATAATTTCATAACGAAAGAAAAATTATTAAAATATCCCACTGAACTAGAAACATTAGCTTAACTCGATTAATTAAATTTTAAAACCTAAAAAGTGACCTAGAAATTGTCAATTAATTCTTGAAATCGTTAAAAAAATTAAAGGCCGATTTAAACACTCTGTAATGTCAGATTTGTTCGTGTCGAAATAAAGTTAAAAATGATTTCACCAGCAGTGTAAATCATTGACTTTCGTAGACTATAAATGCAGTAATGTTCCAATAGAAAGGCTGCAAAAAATTATTTTTGCATTAAATTTTTTAAATTGCATAATCGTTATCATTATTTTTCCATTGGGATTTCAAACTGCACTTCACATGCTATTACTTCAATTCATAATACATTTTGCTTGTGAAAAAATTTTATATACAAAAAGAAAGCTTGAGATAAAAGAAAAATATCACAAAGTCGATTTTAGTTCGAAATAAGATGAAAACAAACAGTGAATGGTTTCAAATTTCAAGAACTTCAGCAGTTCATTCTGAAAAGGGCACAACCTATTTCTTACATGAAAATAATGATACAAAAAAGAGAGATGGATATACAAAATGGAATCAATCATCCATCACTCAATGCAATCATTTAGATCAGAGAGAAGTTCAATAACTACAGTGTAGTTATTCATTTTGTTGTTATTAAATAACCACCATAGATTTTCCAATTGAAAATGAAGAAGTAAGAAATGACTGGTAATGTTTTGAAATGTTGGCAGTGAGTAATCTTATTTCATTGTTCTATGAAGAAAAAAGATAATAAAATGATATGTAAGTGAGGAATGGGAAATTATTGAATTTTCCAAATAAAAAAGAAAAGCAATATTTGGATAATGTTTATTTCATTTTGGCACTATACTTTAATATTCACACAGTTCTTTAATTTGGTATATCTGTAAGAAGTTGAAATATAAAGTCACCCCTTTCTTTAATTAACAGCATAACAATAATTTTCATTCTAAAATTTTATGTGAGCAAATTAAATGGTGCAATCTTTGAAATTAAAATTTTCGAAGCCAAATTTCAAACTAAATGCAAGTTAACCAATTTTCTATTTATTGCAAACTTATCGAAAGGACGACAAAATATATCTCGAAATTAGGAAAATCCAAACTACAGTAGCTTCATCGTCATAAGAGCGATTACAGAATGATGAAAGCGTATGAATGATTATGATGATTAGAGTACATAAAAACGATTGTCTCAAACAGTTAATTGTTGAAAGACATCAGAAACGAATCAGCAAAAAATTAAAAATCTTGCGGTGTTTTTGATTCAGTTAAAAAAATGTGATAGTTACTTACACTAAATTTCGAAAGGGAAAATAGAATAAAAACTACATTTTTAAGCAAGAAGACCAATGAGTATTAAAAGAGCTAAAATATGGCGCACAAAAATATCAACAAAACCAGGTAATTAATTACTGAGGGAACACATCGGAAGTTCGTATCGTTGTGGATGATGTTGATGATGCATAGGTTGTATATGGGGCAAGTGGATCAGTAATTGTTTGTCGTAATTCAGATGGTTGACCGCGCCAATTGATAGTTTTCGTGTAAACTTTAACACCGGATTCTGAAGGACTAACGCTAACAGACTCAATTAGTGGCGTATGTCCTAAATCCTCTACAGAGATATTTAATGTTTCCATCATCCGTTTGGCTGCATCAGGAGTCATCATTTTCATATGCAATGCTCGTGGAATCGAATATCGTCGGCCACTTGTTGGATGAACAATGTCACCAGTGATAACATCTAGCAGGCCACTTTCCGCTGCCTCACGAATGGAAACTCGTGCACCACCGTCTGGATGCTCGATAACTTTTTCTTCAACATCAAAACCACGTCCTCGTAGATTATCTAAAAACTCATGCTGCAAATCAGCCATAGCTTGAGGATCATCAATTAGGCTTTTTCCTCTACTTCCTCGTGATGCTTCTGAGATCGACCGAACTCGACGTGAGAGACTAGGTTCAGGACGATGAGATGGCGGAAGCTTTCCGATTATTATCTCTTCTCTATAGCGTGGTGTTTCACTTCCAATTTTTCGTTCATCAACTGACTCCAACTTGAACCTATAACCTTCAGTATCGCGAAGTTTCACGGCTTCTGCGACCGCTTGAGCAGCTTGCATAGGAGATGCAATCAGAGCGATCAGACCTTTTGCTACGGCATCCTTAAGTGTAATTTTAACTCCAGCACGTTTGTGGATATATCTGCCATCTGAATCGATAAGTCCCTGATTCAATGCTTCTTTTACTGTCATTGTATGGCTCGATTCTAGATCATGCAACAAAGAATCACCATCAATAACATCACGATCAACAGCGGATTTGAAAGTTAAGTAAAGGCCTGATTTTTTATCCCGTATTCGTCCGGAAATCTCATCAAATTGTTCTGTGGACAATATATTTGCCAGATTTCGCTCATTTGAGTCTTCCAGAGATTCAATATTACCGGTATCAATGTATCCTTCCTCTATTGCCTGATTAATCGACATCTGCCTTCCCGAATCAGAATCAGTAAATCGATTTTGTGCAACATCAATCATACCTTTGCTTAATGCTTCGGCAAATGTCATTTTATCAATACGTTTCAATTTCTCACCAATAAATAACGGTATTTTACCTTCTGCAGTAGCACGTGAAACAGGCATAATAATTTGTTCATCAAATTGAACAGTTTTATTTCTTGGATCCACTAGTTTATTCTGAACAGCCTCAATCAGATTAAGTTTTCTTTTTGTACGATAATCCAACAGAAATGGTTCTGTGATAGCTTTATAAGTTTCAGCATCAATTAAACCTTTATTAGAAGCATCCTTCAGCGTTATTATCTCTGCTGTAATAATATTTGAATATTGTCCTGTATTAGCATCAATAAGACCTTCGGTGAGAGCGGTTAGAATTGGTACCCCATATCCTTTTGTTGGATCATAAACTCCTTCCATCGTAAGACTTGTATATACAGGTTTCATAATATCTAACCAAGCTAATTTCTCATTAGTGAACGGATTCTTCACTTCACCGGTTTTCGGATTTACAATACCAAGTTCTATCGCTCTTTGTACTGATATCCTTTCCCCATTTGCTGGGTGCGATACACCTTTTGGTAATGTTTCCGATAAGGTAACATCCACAAGACCCATATTTGCCGCTTGTGCTAATGTTAGAGCATCACCAGTTTTTGGATTGAGATAAGTTAAGCTTTGTAAATCAATTAACGTTGCTCGAACAGCATCTTCCAAACTTAACTTTTCACCACGAGCATCAACTATACCTCTTGCGACAGCATTTTGAATGTTCGATCTAAAAACTGAATATGTCTTCGTCATCTGCTTTCCTTTTTTATCAATGCGTGCAATACCAATTCGTTGAGCATCTTGCAATGACATGATACGACCATTTCTTTTATCTCTTATCTTATCAATACCAACAAATTCAGCATGTGGTTCCAACTGAATAGACTGCATTTGTGCGGTACTTTTTACCACAGTTTTTGCTTCAGTCATGTATGGATCACCATGCAGTTGAATTGTAAATTTCATCCCAGATGATGGATCAACATATTCACCTTTCTCAACACCTCCTTCTCCACGTATAACTTTTACCATCACCTGTTTTCCACCACCTAAATCAACTATCTCTTGACGTCCTGCACCTAAACTACGCTGTTCCATAACAGCAACTGTGGATTTTTCCGCACGTTCTGGCGCGTAAGGAGTAAGCTGCAATTTTCGCTCTACTAAACGTGTTGATTGAGGTTTCTGTGGAGTAAATGTTCTTGAACCAGAATCAATTAATGCACCACTAGTAAGAGCCTGAGGAAAGGTCATTATTTCAGGTAATTGTTCACCTGTTGTTGGATCATGGAAAATGATACTCTGCCTGTCGATAAGTTTAGTTTCAATCGCATCTGAAATTTTGGCATTATCTCCAGTTGGGATTGACAGTCGACCTGTAGACGGATCAAGCTTTCCAGATATCGAAGTTCTTTCTAGACTGCACGGTAAACCTTTGCTTCTCAAAAGGCCTTGTGAATGAGCTGTTTTTAGATCAATAAATTTCCCTGTTTCTGTATCTAACACCGTTCCTTCCCTATCATTAATAATATTTTCATCTATCGCTTCTAGAAGTGATAGTTCACGCATTCGGCGTTTATCCAATACAGTCGTACCATATGGATTGAACAATCCTTTAATTATTGACTCTTTCAAAGACATTTGCTTCTTTGTTTGAGGATCAATAAACACACCGCTTTGCGCATTGTACCAATCTGAATCCAGCGCATTCATTAACGTTTGCTCCGTATATTCTGAAGGCCCATCGAATAGCGCTTCTTTTTTTGATAATTCACTTCGCTTTTGTATTTTATAAGTGGTATGGATTGCATCAGAAGCATTTTCAGGTACACCACCTGTTGGAAAAATACGATGCTGTAAAGCCGCTTGAGCCAAAGAATATCGTTTATTCTCTCGTTTATCCAAATAATAACGACTTTTCTCATCGATAACACCCCACTTTTCAGCCTCTTCAAATGACATCTCACGTGCAGTTAAAGTATCGAAGACACGTAAATCCTCACGGCTAATTTTACCAAAAGCAAAAGCTGCATCAAGAGTAAGTCGTTCACCAGTAACATGATCAATCAGTTCACCTCTACCTGAATCAAATGTCCACGATTGTTCTGTTTCTTCCACAGTTGGAGTTCCAATTGGACGAAAACTTATGACTGCTTCAGAACCTGGCGAAAACTGCATCACTTTCTTCATCGAACTTCCTGTTCCAACTGGTGCCTCAGCCTCCACTAGCACTATCTTGTCATTAATTAGCGTTTCGAAATTAATCATTTGACCGTTCCTTTTCATAAAACCGTTTTTATCAATTATTTTATTCATTGCTTCTATAATGGGAATGTGACTGCCAGTTGATGGATCTACAACAGTAACACTTTTACTGTCAAGAACGCCCAATTGAAATGCCTCTTGTAAAGTTAGCGAACGATTTAAATTTGGTAGAGAAACAGTTCCTGTCTTAAGATTTACATAATCTTTACGTTCTGCGTCCAGAATATGATAACCTTCAGCTGGTATTTCAAATGAATCTTTACTACCAGCAACTGCGCGATAAACTGACACACCACCTGGACCGCCCAATGCTGTTGTTTCTGTTTTTTTCACTTTCCTAATAGTTGTTACAGTTTCCTCAATATTTTTATCTGGATAAAATTTTGGCGCTAATTGTTGAGCCGTTTCAGTTACAGATTCAGTTATCTTCTCCTCCACAGTAGGACCAGCACCTGTTTTAGACGGAATTATCCATTCGTCAGATGGATGGATTAATCCTTGCTTTAATGCCTCTTCAAAACTCATCTCAGTATCACCCTGACGGAAACGATGTGTGCGCGAATCGACTAAACCTTGCCTCATAGCTTCTGCCAATGTTACCTTCACTTCATCCGTTGTTGTATCTTCTCTTTGCCCCGGTCGTCTAATTCGCTTCTTATGATCAATTTTCTTGACTGGTGTTACCAGAGAAGGATGAATATCAAGCATCGCTGATAATTGTAAAGCTCCTTTAAGAGTTAACAATCCATTATCATACGCTTGTTTCGGAGATAATTCCCTATTCGTCTGTTTATCAACGTAAACACCTTTTTGAGGATCAATAAATCCCTTTGCTACAGCACGAATAACCGTCATATCTTGTCTTGGACCATTTCTGATACCCAACGATGTCGTTAAGAGTTCGAAAAGCATAGGATCCAATAAATCTTTGTCCATACAGTCAGTTATAAGGAAACTTTTATTTGTAGCAAAGTCGACAATTCTTTCAGCTTGCAGTATAATTATACCACAATCTACCGCCTCATTAAAAGTCAAATTTTCTTTTGTCTTCGTATTCTTGATACCTTTCACATTAAAAATAGAATGTCGTACACGTTTGATCAATAATCCATCGCTGACTGCTTCATTTACAGAAAAAACTTTTTGCTGCTTTTGAAGAACAATTTTACCATCAGATTCCAGTAATCCTCGCTCTAAAGCTTCTGCAATGGAAACCACATCTTTTTCATCAGGATCGACAATATGACGTATGTCCGGATCTAATAAACCAACGGCAATTGCTTCTAATAATGTGAAACGACTTTTGGTGCCTCCATCTATGAATTTATTTGTTGAATCGATCAAATCTTTCTGACTAATCTCTGTAAGCGTCAGGGGTTTCTGTATGAGATCTTTTGAAAAAGCTTCTTGAAGTGTAAGAGATTGACTTTTTTGCAAATCATTAAAATTGCCTTGACGAGTATTTACTGCATTACGTACAATTGCTTCACCTAAAGTAATACGCCGATTTTCATCCGTTTTCACAATTTCTGGAACATGCAAATTTAAGAGTGCAGATTGTTTCGAAACAGCTTCGCGTAAGGTAATTTTTTCGCCGCTATGTTTGTCCAGAAATTCACCGGCGTAACCATCAATTAGGCCTGTTTCAAGACAATCAGATAGGGTGATTGCAATCATCGTATGTGGACGGCATCCACCAATCTGAATATATCCGTTGTATAGGGCATCCTTCAGTGGCATTGTCTCTCTCGTGTACTTTCCGGTGAAGTAGCCCGTCTCCTTATTTACAACTCCTTGCTCAATAGCGCTTTCTAGTGACAAGGGTGGCAGTTTTAATATGCCCATTTTAACCAATCGATGTTGTGTATCAAGTGTTATGATTCCTCGAGAAATACAATCGTACATTGGCAGGATATCACCTGTTTCAATGTCTCGCAATTGACGAACATCTGGATCATACAAACCAATCTGGATAGCTTCTAATAGAGATAAACTTTCACCGGTTTCTGGATGACGTACACCATAATGAGTGTTAAGCACTTCATGGAAACCACCATCAATGTATCCTAATTCCGCAGCTTTCTCTAGGCTAATTCTAGCACCCGAAACAATATCGTAGAATTCCCCTCCACCAGAATGCAAATCTAGTAATCCTTGGCGTATCGCCTCAACAAAAGTCAAAATTTCGCCCGTTTGCTTGTGCAAAATACCTTCCATTTCATAAAATTGAGTTTTAGTAATTGTTTCTTCTTGATACATTTGCATTTCATCTTCATGTTCGGCTATTGTTGCTCTCTCCGGAACATTTTGACTCTCTTCAAATTCTTCCAGCTCACCACCTTCGGATACAATTGCTTGTTGCATGCCATGACTCAGGTTAGGCATCTGAAAACAAATTATCGGTTAACCTCCTAACTCTCAGCGCTCTGTTTTAACCGCAAATTTTAATGAAAGAATCAATGCTGGACTGTACGACAGTTCGGAAGTAACTGAGTAAAGCACTTCGTGAAAGCCAAATGAAAATCATTTCGCTGTGCGAACAGTTGAAATTCCGTTCCGGCTTGCATTTATGGGTCCAAGAATATTTTGATTCTACATACAATTCCAAAATACAGAAATGATTAATATGATTTCATGGCTACAAACAAACGACCTACTTTTGGTCGTTGTTTCTCATGTGAACGCCGCTCATTTTCTTCCTGCTGACGACGGTCTTCTTCCGCTCGCCGACGTTCATCATCTAATCGTTTCCTTTCACGTTCCCTTTTTGCTTCATCTTCTCGAAGACGACGCTCATTTTCTTGACGACGACGCTCTTCGTCTTCTCGACGACGACGCTCTTCATCTTTTCTTTTCATTTCCTGTTCCGCATCCTCTTCTGCTTTTCGTCTAGCTGCATCTTCTATGGCTCTACGTCTAGCTGCATCTTCTGCAGCTCTACGTCTAGCATCTTCCGCCCTTCTACGTGCATCTTCTGCAGCTTCGTGTTCACGACGTAAACGATCAGCTTCTTCAGCTGCTCGATGTGCATCTTCAGCAGCTTTACGTTGCTTCCGGAGGCGATCAGCATCCTCCAATGCTTTCAACCGAGCTGCTTCAAATTGCCGACGTTTTTCCTCCTCTTCAATTCGTCTTCGTTCGTCTTCTTCCTACAAAATGGAAGAATCTGCGTGGCAGCAGGAAGGAAGACGGATATTGCGGAAAAGTACAGTTCAGTCAAGTAATGCTACCTTTTAATTGCAGCACTTCAATGTTTACCTGCAAGTGAATAAGAGAGATGGAACAACAAGATGACGAATGCCTGAAGCTAAAACCAACCGATCTAAAAAAATATCCTGATGTGAAAATAGTAAGCAAAAGAAGCAAGAAATCGGAACAAAAACGCACACAACTACAAGGCAACGATATTGGCTGCAACGCTGCGCAAAAAAAACGATGTGGTTGTGAGGTGCAGTCTGAAATACCCAATAGAAATTAATAGAAATTCTAAAAATTCCCTAAATTTTTCTTTTAAAACCCACGAAATTTCATCCTGCGATATACCTTCCAGTATATTTGCATAATTGTTGGAATCTAAAATGTTGTTCAAAGCATGCATATGACTTGGAAAGCTAAATTTGGTGTTAGTGTATAATTTTATATATGAATCAAAACTGCGCTTTCATTATTCTGGACAAGTTATCAAGTGTTCAACGATTGCAACAACTTTTCATGATGATTTTTTAAGTTTCGACATAGAAGTAGCAATAATAGGCTGAAGAGATTTAACCAGAAAGTTATATTATGGGAGTAAGATAAGCGTATTTGAGCAAAAACAATATTTTGGTTTTCAACCTGGAAAAGGCTTCTTGGGAAAAGTGAGATTTTACTTGGTGAATTTGTTGCTGTGTTATGAATATCTGAGTAGTACTTGAGCATTTAGATCATCAGAGTACCATGAAGAATATTTCGATTTTAAATATTTCGACATACCAAAATATTTCGATTTTAAACTAAAAATCAATAATCCTGTAAGTCCAGAAAAAGCCGCGTCAATACCAAATTTTGAGTCAATTTATGACTTTTCAACACGCTATTCTGCTGCTGTTGTTAATAAGGGAAGCTAACTAAAAAATGGTAATGAATGGCCAAGTAAAGTCAAGAAAAATAGAACAAAACGAACAAGAATGTTGGAAGCCACTAGAAACTATAATTGTGTTAAAAAAAAGTGACGGAAATGAATGCTAGAACATATAAGCATGTGTCGGCGCGCAATTGGTTACAACGTTGTTGAAATCGGTTGGTTTCGAAATTTAAAATTTTTTAAATGCATTTAATTTCTGGAATTATTTCATGTCAATAGCATCATTAAGTGAACCATAACTCGCTTCACTGCAGTAACATACATAAGTACTCGACTGACCGGAAGCATAGTCATTCTGTTGGCGTTATGCAACTTGTGATTCATAAAAATAAAATTTAATCTATTATTTTTAATTTTCAGAAATCCCAGTTTGTTGTGGGATGATGTTGGCAGCATTCGGTTATACGAGTTTCAAAAAAAAGAAACAAGTTTCTCAAAAGATAGCAGCCGAACAGATCTTTAAAAGCCCGTAAGGTTCGTTCGCATGCTTTCTTTCCGGAAATATTTGTTCCGTCTTCAAAAACTCATTGTACATCGTGTCGTTTGTATTTAATGTAAGTTCTTATTGTTAGAAAGATGCCAACTTTTTTTCACATATATAAAGATAAAAAAATTACTAACCTGTTTTTTTCGCTTCCAATTCTGAATTAGTACTTGCATTATATTGCGGCGTTCAAGTATTAGTGAGCTCAGCTGCGCAAATCGCCTATTTAGATGTTCTAATTCTTCCGTTACTTGTTGGACTCCATTTTTCGGTTGCGGTATCGAACGACGGAAGCTATTACGGATATCGGGACCGTGAATATTGATGATATTTTCCATGTACTGCACCAAACGATTATCATAACCCTGAAAGTCACCAGATTTTCATCCTGAAAGCCGTGTTGCAATCTTTCATTACATCTGAAAAGATTTAATCAAATTTTTTTCTCGTAGGTTATGTGAAAAATCTCCACTGGCTTCGGCAGTCTGAGATGAAAATTAATGAGCTGAATGATCAAAAAGTCATCTAAAAATAATTACAATGGAAATAATACAATTCAAAATCATTACAGTCATCAACAAAAGTAATTCATTTTAGAACCTAATTGTGATTAAAGATACCTTCGCTTCACGAATGAATTTTCCTCCTTCACGGTTCACATTTTCTACTGCCTCAGTACGTTCCTGTAACTGAGAATATTCGGCAATAAGTTGGTCCAATTGTTGTTGGTACTGCTCTGGCCGAAGTTCTTCAGGTTTGCGTAAACTATAAATTTTATTTCTTCTTCCGCTGGAGAGAATAATAAATAAAAATTTCCAGATAAATGTAAATGTGATGGAAAAGGATCTAAATAACATCCGAGGATTTTATTCTGCACGTAATCCTTCTTTCCCATCGTCAAAGTTTTCTAGATTTTTGAATATACTTAAGAGTGATGAAGAACCTAACAGAAAAAGTAAAAAAATCATGAGTACCTTTTTTTTAATCTCTCTAAATGTCAGTTATTTCCCATAATAAGCCCATATCAAGCAAAGGTATTCATTTACAAGGCTACCTATTAATGGTCGCTTCGACGTTATCAAGCCATCTGATTTCATTATCATATTCGGTACGGTAAACCATTTGTGTTTGCAAAGCATGTTCAGCAATTTTTAAGCGATCAACGACCTGCGAACAAACATTTTCCCATCGAACGGTCGATATTTGCACCTCGTCTTCTAGTCGATCGACATCTGGATGACTGCAAATAAGCGAATCCTTTTTATACCATCATACCAACGTTTGTAATTTTTCATTAGATTTATAAAACAGTTACTGCAAATTAACTTTGTTCAAACCAAATTATTAGGATAACAAAACTGCTTTAACATTTAATGTAATTTTGCTTCTTACCGGTGGCTTAATAATACACTGGATATCATCAAGCATCACTTTTCCCACTGCGGTGACTCTCAATGCATGTAAAATTCTTTAAAATTTACTTTGGTGATTGGCGAGTTCGTGAAACGTGCTGACGTAGTAGGGCAATATTACGATTGAGAGCATCAACGATTGTCTGTTGTTGTTGCAGTACCATATTCAATTCAAGCAATTGCGAATGAACGCCTCGCAGCTTATCCAAAGAGGCTGGCATATCATCAAATGAATTGAGCATAATTTCATGCTGTCGTACAATATCAGTTACCTATAAAAACTGTCCAAATGACAAATCAGTTAAGCTTGCTTTAACACTTCACAGGAATTTTTGCTATCACATTTCATGATTTGAGACTAATAACAAGCAAATAAATTGGGATGGAATAAAGCTTGTATCAGAAAGGCCAAAATATACCCTTGCATATATAATGTACATAGTAAAATTCCCTTCATTTAGATTTAAATTATAAGCATTACTGATATTTATTTATGCAATAAGAATAGAGAATCTACGAAATAAGGCAAACATCAATTAGCTTGATCAAATAAGAAAAAATAAACTTAGTAAACGAAAATAGCGGATAAAGAGGAACAGAAGTCATCTATCACAACAATGTATACAATGGTCAGAACAAAAGCAGAATGTATAAAACCACAGATTTAAAGTCCACTTCAGTACAGAATTACTCACGAAGGTCGACAAAGTAAGCGACCAACGATCTCCTACGTACGAAGAAATTGACGAAGGAATGAACAGTTAACAGTTACACAAGTATCCATATCTCAATAATAAAACCAGGAGTTCGATAAGCAGTGAATCACCTGATAGAGTTGGCTCAACGACGGAACTAATTAAACTATGAGCATAAAAAAGCATTAGATTTTCTAAGTTTTATTACATTGTACTTCCAATTAATTGTTCGTATTCAATCAACTCACGATCTTTTCCGACAGCTTGCAAGCAGAAAGAAGCAGTTCACATATCCCAGAGTTTTAGCTCATGAAAATCTTTGCAATCCAAGAAATTGTATTCAAAAAAATGATCTCTAATCATATTCGTCTGATTGTTTGATTGATTCAAAAGGTTCACAATAATAAATATCACAAAACTAACAAGGGTAAGAACAAGAATTATTCAAGAATTACCTCGACGAGTCCATTTAACACAGCTTCCAACGACTTTAATCGTTCAACATACATTCTTGACAGCTCCCACAAATCTTCCCAACGGCCACTTAGACGATCGAAATTAGCTCGTTGTGATGGTGTTGGTTCAGGAATTTGTCGAAACAGCTCATTAACAGTTGATACATCAACGTCGAATGCTTGCAATCCATCTTCGAAATCCTTATGTGCAATGGTCAGTCTTTCAAGCTCCTCTCGTGATCTTGGAATATTCTGAAGTAAACTTTTATTGTAAAAAGAAAATATCGAAAATGTTGTATAATTTCAATCCTTCTGACTAATGCACGAAGTTATTATTGAATATTTCGCTCAATGATTCAAAAAGATACCTGCATAACCCGATCATTCAGATTCCGATATGCTTCATCAAGTTTATTAAGCAACTCCGCAATTTTCGCATCAAACTGAGCTCCAACTTCGGGTTCTGGAATTGCTAATTATAGGGCAGCATAAGACATAAAACAGCGTGCTAATTTAATTATCAAATTGTTAAGAACATCATGATTCTAAACAATTTCTAAATTTATAAAACGAATGATACCCTTGGGACGATTCATTTGATTTAGAAGATCGTAGAAATGCTCATTAGTTAATTTCAGTTCTTCTTTAAGTCGCATTGCTAATGGATCATTCGGTTCCAATTCGGAAATCAGTTTGTTAGCATCATCATTCAAAGCTTTGATGATTGCATCTCTTTCCTCTGGAGTCATTGCAGCAAAAGTGTTCAAATCCCAACTACTAAAAATCAAGAATTCCAGCTCACAAATATGAGATAGTGAATATCTTTATTTTCATAAAATTTCGGTCAAATTCTCACAAAACAAGCAAACTTTCATTAAAAATATTTTGGTGACAGGAAACACTGTATAGCAAGTCATTTCAACTACGTAAAAATCCTTCACAATTTCACTAAAATATTTATGAATTATATGAAGTATATATATTTACCGTATCTGAGCCATTGTATTTAGCACCATATTGTATCGTACCATTCGATGTTTATGTCCCCAAAGACGGCGTAACTTTTCCAGACTTGTATGTAATCGATTAAGGTATGTGGTAATGCGAGCATCTGGTGGTAAAATACGAAAAACCACAGATGGTACCAAAACTTCTGCACCACCTGGTCCACGAATATTCCAGTGTATCAGATCCGAATTGTCGATTAAGATACATTCATCGCCTAAATAAAAACAAACTAGCACTTGATTAACAAGAAAATCTTTGTGAACATTTTGTCCGGAAATAATCACCATATAATTAAATTTATAAGTATTTAACTAAGGTATTCAAAATCGACGCTGATCAGAGATCATAAAATACAAAAAGTGTAATCAGACAGTGTAACATGAGAACTATGCTGCCTATCACAAGAACAATGAGGTACCGAATACATGGAGATAAAATATTTCATCAGAAAGAATTTTTGAATAAAAATCATATTTCTCACCTTCTCTAATTGTAATATCTTTATCGATGTAATCAGCTAAAGCGACAACCGGAATTGGTCTGTGAATTCGCTCACCACGTTGCCAAAGGGGTGAAATTTGGGAACTTCGTTCGGTAAGTGTCATCAGAATACTATGATATTTTTTGATCAGTTCATTGATTTCAGCCAACTCACGCAACATTTGTTCGCCCTCTTCCAATGAAAATTCATTTCTATTGTATTTCCTTCCCAACATTTCAGATTGCTTAATCATCCATTCCTCTGCAGCACTTGCATCTTCCATGAACTGCAAAACGGTATATTAAGATTCTGCGTCCTCAACTTTCAAAAATTGGTCATCTGTTGAGCACCCTTTTCAGTGCTCTGAAAATAGTGCATTGGGACTTAATGTTTTCGTCAAACAGTAAAACAAAAATGACATCAATTTTCATGCCCAAACAACAAAGAAATTAAAACTCGTTTTTATTAAATATTATGTTCATTTCGAAATTGCTGGCATCTCATTTAGTCAAAATTAATTTTTTATATAATTTCGGAATAATTCATGAAATATTTTTAACTGCAACAAGAAAACCATTGCGAGAAAAATCCTGTGCATTGCTCCTTCATCTTAGTCATTAATTATGTTTGAACTAATGATCAATAATAGCGCTACTTAGACTATTAAAAGCTCCTGATGCTAGAAAGTTGTTATATGTTTGATATTCACAAACACCTTTACGAGGAAAGTTTACGCTAGCAATGGTCAACTGCATTTATCCATTCACTTGCTAATAAGATTTTCTTCGTCAATTTGGCATTTGAATTCGAAACTAAATTTCACTATAAAAGAAAAGAAAAGGCGTATGTCAACAATCTCCAGAAGGGAGCATGAGTTGACATCTATAGCAGCATTTCCAGTTTCATATGCGTATTTCTTCGTGATTTTGTCAAATAATACCATTAGCTTTAGAAATGAACTTTGAAAATGTTACACTATAGTTGTGTAAGTATCCTCATATATAAATCCACAAAAGTTTGTTGAATCATACCACATTAAGATTGAGCGCATCGCGCAGGTGTTGTTCAAGACATTTCGACAGTGCTAGCAACCAATCCCACTTCCGCTGCATTGCATTCAGATAAAATTCAATTACGTGGATCGCTGGATGACCTTGATTTAGCAGAGCTGCGCCTTTGTTGTGCACATCGTTGAAACGTGGCTCTCGAAGTTCGATTTCATGAAGAAGCTAAAAAATCAGCATTTCTAATTAAGACTTGACACTAACAATTTAAAAATTACAAAAAGTTTCAAGATTTTTAATGAAATCCTAATTTGAGATCATGGTTTTCTCATCGATCATCAGTGACTTATTTCAGGCAATGTGACAAATTCCCAATATTCTCATCGTCTATCCAACATTACCATTCACATGTGTTAAAATTATTCCTCAAGCAGTGACGTATCCACAATTCAAACGCATCCTTAGAATTTTAATTTCCATAGGAAACGGATGGAACTGTAATGATTCTAAGTTCCTAACAGAGTCTTCATCATGAGGTGTAAACAATGGAAGCTGAGATCCAAAGGTGTAACACTAGTCTATCTTGGAAATGAAAAGGATTTCTAAACAAAACGAAATTTGTATGGGAAACCAATTTATCATATCATAAAGGTTGAACTGCCTGTTTGTAATAATTCTGTAGCATCGGTACATCAAGCTGTTTGATATCGGACCAATTTCGAGAAACTTCAATATCTTCCCTTTCATTAATCCATACAATTTCGTGCTGTGCTCCACGAATAAATGCAATCAAAGTATCCAAATCAAGCATACGCCCGGCTGATAAATCCCGCAACTGCTGATATTCGCTTTCCAATATACTGAGCAATTCGCAGTATTCATGAGTATCTTCCGCAGATATCTCTGCCTGAAACAGAATAAGTTCTACAAAACCGAATATTAACTTTTGTTTTCTACCTTTTTAAAAAAATCACCGCTTGTCAGTTAGTAAACTTGGGTTTATCGTCGAATTTTATATATTTTTTCCATAATTATGCATTTGCTGGTAATTATTACTTATTTGTTATATCTTATATCTTATTTCTTATTTGTTATATCTTATTTCTTATTTGTTATAATTATTACTTATTTGGTAATTATTACTTATTTGTTAATTTCATTATTTGTTATATCCATATTATATATTTTCTTTTCGTCCTTAACAATGCCTAAAAGTGTTTAGTTTGGTTTGGCTCAATGAATCACTATAATTGGATGAAAGTCATTTCCGTAGCCTTTAATCAGAAAACCAGCTTATAATTCCAAATTGCTCGGAAACTTCGACCAATCTACGAACAGTGAAGTTGACAGTGTTCCGACAACCTTGAACTGAATTTGGTAAGTTCTTTAAATTTTCTTTTTTGTAAAAATCCGTCAAATCTCTAGGAAGTTAATATATTCGAATGAATTTGCTGTAATTTGCTTTCGCAGTACAATTTGATCCGCAAAACATCCCTTGAAAATGAGTTGTGAAATGAAATAAATGAACGCCGACGACCTTCTCCCAAAAATGGTAAGATTCAGGGATTAGATGTAAAGCAGAAGAAGAGGAAAACAAGGGAGAAGAGAGCAGAGAGAAATTATGGAAGGCCATTAATGGCTCCTTTTCAGACAGTGTGTAAAACGACAAAGTTTTTCAATAACTTCTGCTCGATGCTATGCCAAGGTCATCATATTTTCCTATGCACTCACATACTACTAAAACCAAAAGACGACCTACCAATTCTTCCAGCTGAACTATCTGCAGATGATGTCTATACGAATGCTACACTGTTTATCACAGTATTATTTATCATGTAATGCAAACCATGGCGTACCAATTAATCAAGAAAATCTTACAATTACTTAACATGAAGGAATTCGAAAAAAAAATATTGATTAGAATGAACTTTTAACCAGTTACCAGTTTGGGCTATATATGTGTTAATGATTCAGATAGTTGGGATTTAGATATAGTAAAAACTTACAAGAAATTTAGGATCTTTTACCTAATCCCTATTTTTTCCATCCGCAAAAGCAAAACAACCTGACATCTCTAAAAACTATGCTTTTGAAATTCTTCTAATCCTGTGATGGAACAGAAGCTATACTTCCAGAATTGAAATCAGTAATTCTTGTAGAGGTTGCTACCTCTACAACCTTCATCGTGATCGCCCTTCACTATTCTGATTTCCCTCCTTAATAGATTAGATAATTAATATTGTACTCTGAAAAAAAAAAAATTAAATAACCTGTCTAGCGATACATTCGTCAACACTCTGACGAAAGTCCTGTATTTCGTGGTTGTCAACTTTGTGTTCTTCAAACATTCTCTCCAACTGCTCCAAATCCTCGACAAATTCCATCTCCGATAACTTCTTCTGAGAGATTAAATTCGTTGAAACCTTTTAAGCGAAGAAAAAAAAACTGTGGTTCAGAAAATCAAATTTCTAAATTTGACAGAAGTTCGGAAATTTTTGATCCAGTTACTTTCTACTCTTTACAAGACACTTTTTCATAGCACTTTTTACTCTTCGCCATAGCAATTTTTGGCTGCCTCTTTCTCTCATTACTGCAAATGTAATTTTTATGTCTGATTATAAAGTGGCTTACCAGACGTGAACGAATCCATTGCACGCAATCTTCTACGCGACCATACGTTGTACGACGTATTGATTCACGTCGTTGCTCGTTCTCCCGCAACAGTTGTTCCGTTCGAATACCAAGACGTGTCACAAATTGTGTCCGTAATCTTGACAGGTAAGCCTGGCGGCGTTGTTCTAATCCATATACCCTGCGAGAATAATTGCGTTTCGGACAACAATAACAACAATCATAATAATACGACAAATTCTGGAGAAAAAACATGGAAATTACTCATAACAGTGAGTGATAAAAGCATTTTTAAAAGCCTCCAACTATACTTTTTGAAAGGCTTCTATTGATAAAACGATTAAGAACAGTATATGCCAACTTTTTCATCAATATCTTCAGATGATATCGATAAAAAATCATCATGCTATATGTACCCTATGTTACTTTATGTTGAACATCATTCCGAACAAACTTTAAAGTGTAATGTCATTTGAATCAAATCATCTTGTTTGTCTAATGATTGAGTTATTCTTAACGATGAGAGACATACTGTTGATAATAATCATTCGATTCCGGATGACGTAAACGTTTAAGCTGATCTACATCTTCAAAAAATCCAGTAATCGGTCCTTCCAGTGCTATAAGATCATCAATAATTCCATCAATGAGACGTTGCAAATCTGCTGGTCGTAATGTATCAACTGCAAATACCATGATATTAAATAACTTCTAGCAGTAATTAGTGAAAAAAGAAGGGATTTAAATAATGAGTTGAGAAATCGAATTTATAAATATTATGCCTGCTGATATACATAATGACTGACGAATTGTTTTGTTTGGTGTAGAATGGAAAAATAAAAAACCTGATTTTTTAGATTTACAAAGTAAATATTTTTTAATTTGAAAAAACATTTATCTGAAAACCAACTTCGTGATTCCGCATCTTCAATTCTATTCAAAATATGATCCAACTTTTCATTCGTTATGCCAATACCACGCGCCAAACGACTAATAATATCAGTTGTTGAACCCTGGAAAATTTTAGAACGGAAAACATTCAACAGTTGGTTTCATCAGTTTGCCTGGGAACTTCGCGAAAAAAGTAAACTGCATGCGCTGCCAATTAAGTGTAAAAAATTCTGTCAAGCGAGAAATGTTAAATAGAAAGTACGTCAAAACTATTAAAATCTAAAAATAATCACATTTTACTACAAATTTTGATTAAAGTTTTTATTAGCCCATATTAAATGAACTAATATTTTGAGATTTAAAATTAAACGGAATAAATCCTTTAACATACACCAGTATTATTAACTTTGACGTACGACGTGTAATGCCAATAGATTATTTCACCTTGTGCAAAGAATTAATGAAGAATTAATAATGAATTTTCCTTTCTCTAAAAAGAAAAAAAGGACGGTAGCATAATTTTTTTAACATGCGATTGAGTGCAGAAAGGGTTAAAGGTAATTGGAAGAAAGTATTACGAAAAGATACTATCAGTACGGCTATAACGCAATTTTAATTTGTAAATTTGGAAAAATGCGAAAGTTGGCTGGTTAATCAACTTTACCGAAATTTACGAAACATTAGAAAAACAAAGAGAAATGAAATATCAGCAAAAAATAAAATTTTGGTATTGAAGAAGTATCAAGGTAGGTTAATTTTAAAAAGATTTTCCTATTCTTTTTTCGCCTAAGAATTTTATTTACCATTAAGAAAAATATTCAACAATCTTTCTTGTTAAAGAGTTTTAGTTCTTTTTCAATATTTAGCAAAATTTAGACAGTCCGCTGCATAAAAAACGCTCATGTTAATTTCAAAATCATATCATCAAAAACGACAATTAGGCTTACAATCACAAAATATTTCATTCTCTTCTACGAATAACAACTAGCAGTATTAATGCTTTTCACTAACATATCATTGATTCACTTAATGCTTTTCACTAACATATCATTGATTCGCTATTACTATTATCAGTTGTTTTGATCTCACATTCTCATAATTCACTAAAAGTTTTTCCATTGTTATTTTCATTCTCCTTTAGATTTGTGCATAATTCCAGATTGAGAAAAATTGGCATCATCGACCTACAAGCTGAGGACAAACTTTGAAGTAACAAAACTTGTTTGAACTTGCCCTTGTTAGCGATGGATGATATATAACTGAACAAATGAAAAGCTAAAGTAATATAAACAAGTTGAAATGGTGAGTAGCGAATTATACACAAAATAAGAATAGGGATGAAAACAGACGATCAAAGTCTTCAAATACCTGAACTCCAGCTTGTTCTTCGATCAAACTGAATCGTTCGTTGAGTGATCGAAGTAGTCGCTGCCAAGATCGATCCAGACTTTGTGTGCTTAACTCTGCAGGAATATGCAAATGTTCGGTACGTTCGAAAAGTTGATGAAGTTCAGCGTAATGATCTGCTAAACGTTGTTTTTCACGCGCTTTTGGTGGTAAATCTTCAGATTTGAATCGTTCCAAGTCATGTTCCAATCGTCGTAACTCTCCCAAATTTGTTGGTAGCTGACGATCATCCATTAGACGTGTGGCTCGCTGTACCCACTGTAACCATTCCGCTGCTTCACGTTCATATTCATGCATCACATCCTCGTACTGAATATGGTAATAATTATCATCATAGCTGGTGATCTGCCACACCAAACTATTGACAGCAATACATTAATTAAAATATGTGCAGAAAACAATAATGAAAGTGTGCTGTGTAGTTTTAGAAATTATAAAACAAAAACTGCAACTTAATTGTGCTTTTTTAAGTAAAACCATGTAATTTAGATGATTTTATTCCGAAATACTAGCAAAGCGACTTTATTCACTTTTGAGTTAAAAGCAAGGAGGAAAAGTTAATTACTCTTTTTCCTCTCAGAATAAATAATGCTTTATGATTTTCGCAGAATTTTCATTTTGAAAACAAATTAGAATAATTCTTCCTTGAAATTCCACATTATAAAAGCTCATAAGATCATTTAATGTTAATGACATTAAATGAAATTCATTGAAAGCAAACAATTAGAATTTAATTTTGAAATGAATCACACGTGTAAATTGAATGGTGCTGCTAAAAAGTCAGATTATAATAAAACAATATCTTTTGGTATCATCCATTCGACACAGCATCCATAAATAAATATTAAACAATTTTTGTAATCCTTTTTTTGAAATTTGTTCGAAAAATAGCGAAACCTATCCATAGCTGCTTTTATTAATATTTTTTTGGAAGAACCAAAATACAAGCAGCTTGTATTAGAAGTAATTAATTAGATTTCTGTAGGTTAATTCTTTTTCTTTATCGATAGATGAAATTTATACAAAAAAAATTCTTTTTAACAACTAGCTTTTATATCATATATTACAATATAAATTGTAAATTAGTAATCTAAATTAATTTTTCAGTACACAGTATCAGTTAACTGAACCGCTGGAAATAATGGAAGAACTGTTTAACTCCTCCTATAATTCTGTCAAAAGTTTTTAAGCTTCAATTATTCAAAGATCGTTGCGTTTCCTAACGATCAATTTATATTGCATTCCAGTTGTTTGTTGTTAAATATAATTTACATGTAACTGATATCAGTTTTTTGCTTTTTTTTTCAAACTGATTACCAAATGAGTGAAACAGTTTAGTACTAAAAATAAATTTTTTAATCTAACAATAAACCTAAAGAATCTTAAAGGAATTCTAAATGACAGCAATACATCAAAAAACAAAATTCAAAAGCTGCTGTTATATAATAAAGCTTTAAATGCTATAAAAAAATAAAAATATCTAAAAATCAAAAAAACAAGATAGAACACTGCGCATGCTTAAAATTGACAAGTATATATTACAGGATAAAATTTAGTGACGAACTAATTTGAGTTCTATTTCCTCGGAGATAAATTCTTAGAAAGATTATTTAATCTTAATTCCTAATGGTAACATATTATTAAACGTCATCAATCTTCCAAAATTTCTACAAGAATTATCATACCACTGACAATTTTATGCTTTAATCAATGCTACTAAAAATGAAGAAAATTTTCGCACTACTCCTTGTTAATCAAATTTTTAAATTTCAATTACAATTCTATATAACATCATCTCTATCCTTAATATTTTTAAAAAAATTGAACCGCTCTGTTGAGAATGACATTCAAATGACCCATGATCTTGAAAATAAAGGAGGATAAAACTGACTTTGCTCAATTCACTAGTATGTGGTAAAGCGTTGTAGAGTGAAGAGACGTAAGTGATGATACTCTTCTCATCCGGCACATCTACGTCAACATCTTCTGCATCCAATAGTCTAGAAACACCAAATTCACTCTCAGCTGCTGCAAATGCATTGTTCAGACGATCACGAGCTGATACACTTTCGCCAATTATCTGAAATCATCAGTTACCCTAATTCTCAAATTTTTTACTTAAGTTTATGAGCAATATGAAGCAATTTTCTCCAAACATAATAAAATCATCGTTATTACAATTGGAATTATCCGGTTATTAATCCAGAAAAAGACCAATTTCAAGGATACTGAAGATGTCAGCCGTTAAACCTTTTTAATCTATTAGCTTTGATCATTTGATTTTTACCGGTTAACACACTATGAAATTTTCCTCATTTCATTTAATTTTTGAAATATCCTCATTGTTCATCACCAAAATCTAACTATATTTCAATGTCGACATCGGAATGGATTTGGAGAGTTTTTATTCAATCATTATAAAAAACATACTTTACTCCACTGTATAAGATTTGGTCGATAACGATGCAAGATAGCATTGAAGGCTAAACCATCTCTCCAACTGCTGGTAAAGTTGCGAATATTAACACCGGGATATCCGCGTGTAACATCTTGTGCCCATTGCAATAGAGCATCTCGTGCTGAAACACCATCTGTACTGGACAGTACTTCTGACACCTGAAAAATAGGCATAGTTTTTAATGAGAAATAAATTGACAAATTATTTTAAATGTTTGAGTAGAAATTAAGAATTTTATAAATTTCCCTTCCAATTTTTTGATATTCGTATTGCAAGCGATACGTAAGGAATCAGAAAAAAGAAAAGACTTTTACCCAATAATATTGAGACCTTCTTGTACTAAACTTCATTCTCCTTACTCCTTTCTCATTTCGTCCTTCCTTTCAACCCTGCTCTCATTTTTCATAATGTTTGCATTTACTCTTAAACATGATTTACTTCTCAATAACATACAGCTCCTCCACTTTGCTGCAAATACGCAGCTTACCTCGCAGGTCTATTTTTTTCCATATGTTTCATTGGTTTTTGAATCAATCCTACCAGTGTTAATAAAAATATTGAATGTTGTCGAATGAAAGAAAATAAAAATGATTGCCAATATGATGAGACAGACCTTCCAAAGAATTTTATGATTTGTTCAATCTATGAGAAATGATGAAAAGATGCAAAGTAAATATGTTCGAATGTTACTTCTAAAATTTAATAAAAAAGATAATTAAAAAACGATCCTGTAATTAATTTCAAAAAAAAGATATTTTCTGAATTTGAATCTCAAAAAAAAGCTGTATGGTAATAGTATCAGATTCTACAATTTGTACTTCACGTAAATGCACATCGGTATCTACAAATGATTAATTTGTTGTATGATTGGAAGAATAAGGAAATTGTTCGTTCGTATACAGAAAATATTACGAAAAATTTTTCATTTCATTATCATAAAAAAATGATTTGTGAAGATATCAACTTCTTTCGACAAAGTTTATATCTTCCTATAATTAGCAACCAACACTACTAGTAAGCCAGATGAAATTTAAAAATTTATAAATGAAAATATTATAATTTTAAGTGTCTCACGCATCCGCCATTCGTCATATCGGAACAAATAACAAATTTAATAAAAAAAATAAATTTAATTGCACAATGAATGTAATAGCTATACACTCCTTTATCTTATACAGTAATTAATTCAAATAACACAAATAAAACTATTTTCGATATTAGAGAATAATTGAATACATTTTAATGGTTGAAAGATAGTAGTGAAATGAAAGAACCAACTCTGCTCTTCTTCGATTTCCGATTACTATCTCGTTCACCGCGTGTTTTCTTAACACGCTGAACTTTATGCTCAAAATGTTCTCGTGCCTCATAGGAAGAACTCTCCGAGAATGCCTGTCCACTAGGCCATGCTGTTTCAAATCGTCCATTTCTATCTATTGGAACAACTTGACCATTACGTACATCTTCCACAATTGTACCACCACTTACTCCATATGATGGTGATACACTATAGATTGGAGATGAACCATCAGTTGCCGAATAACCGTTAACTTTGTCGACTGTGTTACCAGTTGAACGAGTTAATTCATGCTTACGTTCCGCCTTTTTGGAATACGAACGTAACACTTTGTACATTACCCAGATGATATGTGATATGATGTGATACTGCGCAGAATATGAATAAGCTGGAGATAAAAGAATTACAATAGCGATACAATATATATGAACAGCGTGAACGTGCACACACACACAACACACACACACACACACACACACATACACACACAAGGCACACACTCTGTCCTAATGTACAATAACTAAGGTAGCTGGGTTATTCCGACAGCACACAACGATGGTGATTCGAAAATTGAAAATGAGAAATAGTGGTTGATGCGGTAAATTGTGTGTGTGTGTGTGTGTGTGTGTGTCTGTCTGTCTGTGTGTATATGTGTGTACTGTGCACATGTATGATTTCAATTTTATTTCGACAAAATGCTGTGTGGAAGTGCTGCAATTTGCAGTTGTAATTCTGATGAGACACTTCTCGAGCGGAAAAGGTAGAAATAGTTTTGCTATAGATGATGCCTGTGTTCAATACAAGTAGCTCGTAGAAGGTGCGGTGCCAATAAATGCATGCATTTCAATACCATTCTCACTGTTGCTCTCTCAAATCTGACCGGTTCCGCCTTTCGGATCCTCCTTTCCACGAACTTTTCCTTCCCCTTCTCACATTACAAGGTGCTCCTCCTCCTATATCCCTTCTTCTGTCCCACCGAAATACCTCTTCCCCATCACTTACACAACACATACAGATATATACCTGTAGTATCTCAACCTTGTGTGCACCGTTTTGAAGTCACAAAAAGTCATTTTTTGAGAAGTGGAAGAAAAAAGCCTTTCGCAGCGTTGTTGCATTGCCCAATTTTACACTTTAAATTTGATGAGAGAAAGATGAATTTAAGTATTAAATGGACCGATCGAACTGGATTCTGCCAATTACATCTTTTCTTTTTTATCATTTCGTGTATTTCCAATGGAATGATTTCAGAATCCAAACAAATAATTGAAAAGAGTAACTTTTCGGTTAATTCCGGTTTTCCGTTTTCATAACGATTAGTCCACATATTTTAGTTGAAAATTTATTAAATAATTGTCTATTTATAAAAATTGTTAAATGTAAAACTTTGTCTGTTCAACTTTTGCTATTTTCTGATTTCTCTCTTGTTAGCACAATCTTTTAAAATTATTCTTCCGATAGATTTCTCCTTCTATACTTCTTAAATCCCTTTTAAATACATTTCATCGAAACAACAATCAGTTAGATTTAACGTATATGTAAGTAAATTTATTTCTAATGAAAGAGTGCAAATCAAAGTAATCTATTATTTCATATCTGTAAATAACTACTTACTCACTATACTCTGTGTATCCCTACATCTTGCGGTATTGTGGGACTAAATGATGGTCTTAGTAGCAAGAATTAATTTATGTCTTTGTTGTCCCGAATACTTGAAGAGAAAAATTGAAGAACTGGTTCTTCACTTAACAGTTCATTATTTTAGATGTGATTTTTACATCTTATTTTTCAGTACTTTATCTCTCCTCTCTCTGTCTCTTAAATACAGAAGAATTTTAAATGAAGTGAGTTATTTCTCTTTCCTTCAATACATCCTTCTACATATCAATAATACATAGAAGAATATCGAAGACGACGAACCAATGATGACTAATCATTCATGCAGCAAAATGCTATGACAATTACATAAATCTCATTTTTAAATTTTAAAATCAATGAAAGGTAAAATAAATTCTTTTTTCTTGTTACGAACAAATACTATAAAAACTTTAAAAAATAGACTTTAAATAATAATAACTATCCCATTGTAAAATAAAGCAATAAAAAAATTATCTGAGAGAGAGAGAGAGAGTAAATTGAATCATTCCTTTCCATCGTATATTTGTAATACGAAAAGAAATGCGGAGAACAATTTAATTTCAGTTTAGCGCATATTTTATCGCAGATAAAGATGTTTAAATAAATGTTTAAATTTTATTAAATTATGATCGTATTCTTTGGTCTCATATTCTAGATCTCTTCTGATTCAAATATTACAGTTAACCATCCAAACCCACTTTATGATATTTAAAATTTTAAATTGAAAATATATAAACATCTACAGATTAATCGCAATTCTAAGTCCTTCATTCACTTTACTCAATGAAATTTCATCTTTGAAATCTGCAAATTTGCATTTCTCAAATTCAATGAAAAACTTTAAATGAGCTTAATAAAAATACTATCTCACTTTTAATCTAAGCATAACGCTCTAACAAAAATCTTATTCCATCTCTAACAGAATCAATCAGTTCTTTTCTCTTCAGAACAAGAAATAGTTTTAAAGTAATCTGAATGAAATCATCATTAAATGATAATAAAATGGATGAGTCATCATTGAAAATAAGAAAGAGACGAAAAAAGAAATAAAATTCTTCATTCAGAGAAAAATCAGTGGAGAAAAAATTCAATGAAGGATGAAGAAAGTTTTAAAAGTAATAGAAAATGAGAAATGAAATGATTAATATCATATAATATTTAAGGGATGCAAGCTTCTATATCTCCCCAATAATTGAAAAGTTCAAAATTTAAATAAACTTCGATATTTGCTATCCTTTGAAAAGAGCGAAAAGAAGACAGCAACCTATCCAAATCTGGCATATCTTCCACTTTTTCATTAACTTTAGAAATCCATTCTGAATATTGCGCATATCCATCGATTGCTGTACGCCACCGTTTGTGTTCGTTTTTCCGTTCTTCTGTAGTATCCT